CACACACCAGCCACGCCAGGCCACACTATTGGCTTGCTAAGACGACCTGAGGTCACATCGACTTCCTCTGTCGGGAAAGCCAATCCCTCAGAGCCCGGGATCGAGAACAGACGAAATCTCGACTCCACCGGGCGGCGGCCCCTGGAGAACGACCGAGGCGACCGAAGCTGTCACAGATGGCCGAGAAGAGCGGTGAGAGTCTTGGGAGGTCGAGTATCGTCGTGGTAATTGGCGTCAATGAATCGGCCGAGAGGGAGTTACTGGAAAAGCCAATCTGCTTAAATGAGGGCTCCAGCGATGGTGCTTGCACCGAATCTTGTGTAAGCTGCCTAGCTTTGCGAGCGCCTGTTTCGCTCCTGCATTGGTGTGCATAAGCGTGCGTGTGCATACGCGCATGTGCATGCGAGACTAGGCTGGAAATCGATGTAGAGGCTGGAGGCTACCCACGCAACGAGCGAGACGATTGCCGATTGGCATAAGCTTTCGCGTCAGCTTTGAATTGAGGTAGACGTCCGGAGGCCTGCACCTGCAGCGAGGAGGAGCGACCTGTTGTTTGACCTGTGGTTTGACCTGTGCACCGCACTGCATCTTGGGGGGTTGGTCGCCCGACCGACTGGCAGCAGGGACCGCAGCAGCGAGGCCGTGCATGATAATAAGCGCGGATGGGAATGCTGGACGGCGGCAGCGTGACGGGCATGATCGACCACTATGCGAGGCTGTGCCACTGTAGCAGTACGATCTTTTACTACCCACACTGCCTGATGCTCGAGGCAATAGTCAGGCGGTTAATGATGTTATACAGTCAGGTGTTGCCGCGAGGAGTGACGGGGGTAAAAGCCCAGGCCAGGCAGGCCAGGAGCGGGAATGCCCGACACGGCTAGGAAAGACCAGACGAAAGTGTATCTCGCATGATATCTCGCTTCAGGATACCCACAGCAGCGTATGGGGTCGTGGAGTCGAGGAGACAGCTAACAGGCGTGCTGCCATTCTGTTCGCCAGGGACCAGGTGCCAAACAGCATGATGGAAGGAGGCAAGCGCGGGCAGTCAGTCCCTGTGACCAGAAAGCGGTACGCAGATGTACGTAGATGAATGCCTCGACGACTGGGCGAAGGTGCTTCCATGTCCCTGTCGCCGGCGATCGACGCTCGCTCACCCTCCCGTCCCACTCGCCGAAACACGGGCCGCTGTTGGTGGTGTGCCATGAGGTAAGTGACAGTAGTCCGAGAGTCGAGGAAACGCCACCGTCTCAACGGCCACACCGCATCTTGACGAGTGCAGATGTTGACGCAAGTCGATCGGTGGTGCCAGGACGAGACGAGACGAAACAAAAGGCAAGATGGGCCTCTGCAACGCTATAGTAGTATGTGTGTATCTTGGTCGACGACGGCGAGACTCGGGACGAAAGAAAGAAGTCGGTCTTCCAACTGTCAGACCTGGGTCTACCAGATCTGCTTGGAACCCTCCCCCCCTCCACCCCCACCACCGGCTGCCCACGGAACCCTGCTCAGATCTGCAGTACGTACTCGGCGGCAGCACTTGGGGGGTCTAGCCCGATTAGGGAATTCGAAGTTCCGGCCCAGCAGCTCTGTCCCACGGTTCACAATCCCACGGTGGTTGCCAGCTGTAACCTCTTCCAAGCTTTGCTATCCTGTGTCTTCCCGGCCCCCGTTCAACCGTGCCGACCAAGTTCACTCGCTCCTCTGAGGTTACTGTACAACTGCATCTTCCCGAGTCAAGCGTCAAGCCTCGTCACCAGACATCGGCCGGCCGGCCCTGCTTCTGCCGATCGAGGACAACGGAGCAGCTGCCAGGCCATTCCATGACCGTTGGATTGTTGCACCTGTCCTCATCTATGTGCAGTCTCACAGCACAGATGCTGCTTCAGGCCTGCATGCTGCCGTGACTGAGATTGCCACACGCGCTAATGCTCGATGTGCGGCGCACCCACCCCGTCACCACGTTGCACCCAGATGCTCAGGTGATGACAGCCTCCTCCTCCTTCGCAGCTTCGTCCGGCGAACCTGAGTGGCTCCCTCTCCTGGTACCTGGATTACCACTCCATCTTGTCCCATGCACGTCTGCGGCCTTCGGCCTTGGGTCTCCATCTCGCTGGACCTGGACCACGAGCCTGGACCACGAGCCTGGACCACGAGCCTGGACCTCCACTCCCACCACCATGCCCTTCCGAGTGCCCAACCATCCCACCAGCATACCACGGTCGGCCGACACCAACACCACCACCAACATCTCAGCTTCCTGCTCTGGGCCACGGCGCTCATGCGCCGAAGGCTTTGGCGGCAGCCCAATCGCCGACCTCCACGATAGAGGGCCTGGCACCAGCCCCCAAAGGCTGTAGGATTTTGTCTTTCGACATGTATCCCGTCCTGCCATCTTGTTGGCCGGCGCTCCTCCACCTAAAACACGCTATCCCCGCAGCCGATGCGGAGAAGCCCAACTGTGTGGTTCGGGTTATTTTGACATCCCTGGCCGTGAACACCGTCCCTCGTCTGCGGCCGGCAGCGTTGGCGCAACTAGATAATCCCCGATGGGGCCGGCACCGCAGCGCCCAACCCATGTCAGCTCGCTCGCGAGCCTGCCTACACTTGAGTTGGTTCGGCCTCCTTCCGTGCCGATGTCTGCCCGTGCTGTGAGGCTTCTACCTGGCGATGGGCTGCCCTGACTTGCCATCACCAGCATACATCTAAAAACGTTGTGAACTGAGAGCATCGCGAACATGGTCACCGCCACTGTCAGTGCTCACTCTGGCACTCGCGACTTGCCGTCATAGAGGCGGGAGCAGGCGCGCCATTGAGACGTTGAGACGGTGGCTTGACCATGTGAAGAGGCCAGCTCCTAGCCTGCCGTTTCTCCCGACATGCGGCTGATGTCTAGGCATTGAAAGCAACCCAAGGATCACCCACGGCTCAGGTCGACCTGTCGCCCGCTGGGTTGTGTCCTCCGACATATTGGCAGATTGTATGGCCCGGACTGCCGAGCCCACATCTGCCGTGAGGCTTTCAGCAACTTTACAGCTCGACGTCCGACGCCATTCACCTTGCTGACGGGCCATTCAATAGCCATGTTATGCCTGTTCGCCGCAGCACGAGCTTACACAGAGACCGGATGGACAGGCGGTGGTCTGGAAGCCCCAGATCAGATTGGTCATATCTCATTCGCTAGTGTCTGCCCGCCCTCCTTCGCCATGACCTACCTGTTCTTGTCAGATAGCCTTTGGGAGGAAACACCCAGTGTGGCTCTCAGGGCTCCCATTGGCGAATCCTATCTGCAGCACATCTGCAAGCACTTCACAAGTTGGTGCGCCTGCCAACCACAAGCGGTGCCAACTGGCAATGTGGACTGTGCCTGGCAAATCAGCCAGTGTGTGTGCGCTTGGCTGCGGCCCGCATAGTCAAGGATCCAAACTGTCAGCAGCGACTATAGCTTGGGCCTCAATCGAAGCCCTGGTCGTGAAGCTGCTATGCAAAATGCCCCGAATGCAGACGTCAACGCACAAGATCGAGATACCCATGTGCCACGACTTGACAGGCAGTGGAAACCCGCTAATCGATGTTGTGCCATCATCTCGCGGCATCCAGGTGTCACTGCTTCGAGATCTCAGGCGACCCAGCGGCCGACAGGGGCCAGGCAAGCTGGCAAAGCCCGCCCATGTCGCCATGCCGCTCTCGCAGGCCACCAGGATGGCCTCCCGCTAACGATGCCTGTTCCTGGCCTACGTCGTGGACGAGGGGTGTCTGAGCGCCCTGCCATGCCCAGCACAGACAGCACACCCGCCATCGATGTCCATCCCAATGTCGAAGGTCGAACCTTTTGCACCCTCTTGCGACCTGCAATCACGGCAATTGTGTTGTGATTGGTCACCTGCGAGAATTAACCAGGCAAAGTGCTGGAGTGGTAGGCACTATGTAGGTACCGCGGGATATGCTCCACCTGACCAGGCCATCCCGGCAAGGAGAATTTCCTCTGCGTGGCGTTCCCACTTACACGCCTAGCCACATGTACATGCTATGGTACTTGTACACCGACATACCGCAAGCCCCACCACCATCACCCAAAAGCTCTCGAGTTTCCATCTATTGAAACAGCTAATAAATCTCTGGCTGGTCCGCCATCCCCTCCCTCTCACCTACAAGTACCCCTCGCATCATCTCATGATAAGCAACGCAGACTTGCTTCACACCATCGCCGTGTTGCTGCCGCATCCGACCCCGAGCAAGTTTTCTTCGCGGGGCAACCTTGTCCGTCACGGTCAGCACCAGACCGGCTGCCCAGTATAATACCGTCTGGGCCGCATTTTCAGATGTCCTGGGTTTGCCGTGGCAGACTGACTGCCTCTGCCCAGTGCCTCCCGCAGCTGATCCTGAAGATTTATATGATCTTGCAGCGACGAGGCCCACATTCTCCCCTTCAACCACATTCTTTGTGAAATACTGTCTCCTTTTCTTCTCACCCTACTTGGTGCCGACATCCTCAGTTGGCAATTTCATTCTCTCACTCCTGCTCTCGAAGCTGGGTTGTATGTATGTTGTCCCTGTTCCCTTGCAGTTGAACTGTCGAGCCTTCGCCCCGCCCCAAGGTCACTTTTCCCCTCTCCAGCAATTCGTATTTTCGTCCCGCAACGATATGTCTCATTCAATTATCATTCCTTGAGGTCAACTTTGAAAAGGCCTTATCTTGGCCATGCCTTCTGGGTCGCCCCAAATATCCTGTCAAGCACATAAGGCTATGTTTTATCATTGGTTTTTGACTGCATGCGGACTTGGAGCTGCAACATCAGCGAGAACTCCAGAACTGACTTGTATAGCAGTATCTTTTTCAGCGAGAAGATAGGCTACACATATGCTCATGAGGTCCTCCCCGATTAGTCACAGCTGCTGAGGAAAGTAATCGAGGGATCACACTCGAGGGCTTCGACCAAGGCAGCACTCATTACCTGACCATCAAGGTCCTTCTTTGAGGCACAGCGCTTGAACAGCCTCCCATGTCGGCCTTTGATTTTCAGCCTCTGTCTCAAGGAGGAGAGGACTCGTCGTCGAGTCAAGATCTGCTGCCTTCTGGAAACTTCGGCGTCCAGCAGAGTGCAACAGTCACCGTCACGTCAATAGCAGTACAGTCCAGCAACCCGCCCGCTGCAACCGGCGGGAACACACCTGGCCCCAACTCAGCCGGCGTCTCGGGCAATTCGGCAAATGCTACCGCATCGCCCAGCATTACATCCTCCCCTGACAATCGCAATGACACCGGCTCATCAGACGGGAACCGGACAACTGTTATTATCCTCAGTACAGTCTTGTCGGTCGTCGGCGTCATATTGGTCATAGGAGCCGCCCTCGTGTGTCTACGATGCCGCCGGAGACGGTCGAAGCTATTCAGACGTGGAATCACTCCTATCGATGACGACGAGATCGAAACCTGGAAGAGCAAACGGAATGAGAAAGAACTAGGCGACGATGCAGGCCTGACAGGCTATGGTGACAACAACGGGCATGTCAAGCACGAATCAGTCAGCTCTACCAGGAAGTCGACCAGCGTGATTGTCTATTCCAACGCTCGCCGGTCCGAGGAGCGTTCGCCTAGGTCGCCGCGCACACAGTTTCATTATGGGAAGAGAAGCCTCGATGGACGGAAGGTCAGCCTCGACAAGGACTTACCGCAAACGCCAATACAAGCGAGGGCACCGAATGCTCGCGAGGGCCTCACAGACGACGCAGTCCCAGGGGACGACCCTTTTATTCAAGGTCCGAAGCGACAAGCCTCTCGTCTTTCTAAGATGCCACCCAACCACCCCCAACAACCTAGACACGCGCACACGCGGACGCGATCGAGCTTCAGCCTGCGCAGCCTCGGCGATCACATAAGGAGCTATGACTCTGATGTGGAGCTGACACCACGGACCTCCCATGACTGCCACGAGTACCAGGGGAGACGTTCTAACGACCGGCACTCTCGCGTGTTTTCGTCGTCGTCGATACCGCCAAGGCTATCACTTTCGAATGATTGGCCTGGGTCACCCCAACTCCGCCAGGATATGATCGGACGAGCCATCGGTTGAAGGCAACGCGCTGCTGGACACGCCCTCTGCCAGACCACGTGCGTCTGCACAGGGGCTGAGTCCTGAGTCGCCCAAATACGGAATCAAATCTCGATGCATTTTGCAATGCGCACATGTCGAGCAATTAAGTCGGATCGACATCGAAAAGCACCGCATTTGCTTTTGGTGTTGTGTCCTGTATGTCAAAATACAACCTCGGTTCGTCATTTACAGTCCGAAAAAGGTGACGTGAAGCGGCTGTCCAAGCTGTTTCAGGAACTGGGACGAAAGTCCGCGCTGGCCTGTCAAGACGGCAGCGCCGACGATCCTTGGCGGGGTCCATTTTCGGCCGGCAGTGACAGCTCGTCACATCTCGTCGAGTTTCAACCTGCCATCCCGCTGCCACACTGCCATGTGCCGTGGACGCGAACATTGGTCGGCCATCCATTATGTGGTCAGACCTAGTTCCTCCCAAGCAATCTATCGGATTCATGCCCCACTGTCGCAACACAGACGGTGGGCAGAGAGCGCTAGACGAGACGTCGTCTAGTACTGAACCTCCCACCCATGCCACGTATACCCATCTTATTATGTACCTTTTCATTTTTTCCATATACGATGTCATGACAAATGCTACGGAGGATATACCCCAAATCTGAAGCCGATGCGAGGCGCGAGAAGAAGAGCTCGGTACCTGTCTACCGGTGTTTGGCAGGCCTCCAGACAAATAGGCCTTGTTTTTCTTTTTTTACCACGATGTTATTACCTCTCCTCACTCCAGGCAGTGTAACTTTTGTGTATATCATCATCTATATCCAACACCACTCGTTTCAGCACATTCTTTGCGCATCACGAGAAACTTGTCACAGCAATACTCCAATAACAAGATTGGCGATTCCATCAGAAAACAAGACATCGGTACCCAGTTCACACTCGCGAGCCAAACCCTATCTAGACGTCACTCCAAGCACCGCCCGTAGTATTACGGCAGCGACCGGTCGAAATCTGTCGATCTGGAGTGTTTAAGCTTTCCTCGTAATAGATTGACGGGTCGTGCTTATCCGCCGTGCTGGTCAAGCCGTGGCCACGAGCTGCTCTCCATTTTCAGTATTCTAGATCGTGAACTGCCGGGACTATCCGCCCGAGTGGTTCTCGTATTTACCGTATCCATCACGGTGTCTGTGGCTCTGAACTAGTCTGGCCGAGGGAGCCATAGGTGACAGCAACCACGGCAAGATCAACGGTGCGCATCGTAATCGGACCAACCAGCCAGGCCGGCCGTCGTGGTCCCTGAGCGGAGGCCGTGCGTTCTGATTACCATGATAATTGTAAGCCTGGTTGGGACCCGTCTGTCGTCACCCTCCCGCGGCCAGAGCTGTCAGGAAGGCACTACGCACGGGCCCCCTCGGGGTATTCTTAAACAGTCCGAAGTTCCTCAGCCTTTTGGTATAAACTTAGATAAAACAAAAACCCTTGATATAACCTATCTTTACTACTATTTTAATAACTTAGCTTGAATTATAAGAATTAAATACTGGCTAATAATTATTATAAATATAGCCTTTTTTAATAAAAGCATTATTATTACCCATCTTTGCTGCTATCCTGACAAGAGCCCTGTGTGCCATGCGACGTAATGAGCTACGGGCACGGGGCACGGGCGCGTATGTGATCATCGGGCAGCCGGAGGTCTGTGGGCTCAGGGTACGCAATGGCGGAGGGAACTTTTTTTCTTCTGGACTGGGTTGGCTGGTTGATTCTGCCCATCAAGGGGCATGGTTGTTTTCCATTGCTGTTCGACCGAACAAGACAGGGAGGGGATGGTGGTAAAGTTTACACCCCCGTTTTTTTTTTTTTTTTTGTTCCTTGCCGTTCGATTTTCTTGGGCTCCCACCCCCATCCCCCGACTGACACGACTGACAGCCAGCCATCAATCAGCCTCATGACGAGGCACACTCTGGGCACTCTATATCAGGAATCGGAGGCATGTGACTGGCGGGCAGTGGGCAGGCAGAATCTCAACGACTTGCTCCATGTGGCATTGTTTACGATGCGAATCTGCAGCTGCCGAGTCAGCCGTCTACTCGATGAATCCGGTCAATGACGCGTGTGCAGCCGAGTCAGCTTTCCATCTGCTGCGTCGGCGTGGATTTCATCGGCAGTCAGATTTAGCATTCACGTCGCACGGGATTAATTGATCTTATCAAGTCGATATGATCAAAGTGACAAGTATTTGCCAGTCTTTACAGATACCTAATATTGCATCAGGAAAATGTTTATTTTTGATTCCAATTCTAGGTAGTTGGACGGCCTGTGAATATCCACCACGGGATAGATGATAGTGCTTAGACTACGGTACCAAAGAGGACCCTCGTACGTCTGAAGTGCCCTAGATCGGTGGGTGCCCAGGTGGGTAGGTATTCTGCTGTGGGGTGCAAGAGCCTGTAGCCGACCCGTGCTCTGGGCACTCTACGCGTGAGAAGTCGCGTCGCAAAATTCCCCTACTCGGCACCGTTACCCACTAATAATGTAGACGACCACGACGACAACAATCCGCCCCGGTTTGTCCAACGCCGCGCGCAATCGCAGCCAACCACTTCAAGTGACGTGCAAGCAGACCATATCCATGTTGCGACTTTAGAGAACAACCATTGCTAGGATATCACATACGAGATCGACATATCAAGCACTACTATCTCGTCCCCTGCGTGCTTTGCGGTTGCGCCCCACCTCCTCCTGCACCTCCTCCGCCCGCGAGGCCACGCCCGCCTGAAACGCACCATGTCGTCGCGCAAGAGCGACTCGGCTCGCAAGAGCGACGCCTCAGCCTCATCCGCGAGATTCGCCCCCATAGACGGCTCCCCAGCCGCCTCGGCCGTCCCAACGCCATCCCCGGGGCTCGCGAAGCCCTCCATGGACACCTCGATGCCGCCCCCGAGCCTGCCCCCTCCTGGCCTCGCGCAGACCCCCGAGGCCGTGCACCCCCTGAGGCCGACGTCGTCGTCGGCGGCGGCAGGGCACGCGTCGGGCGCGGATCAATCACAGTCCACGCCGTCCGAGAAGAGCAAGGACGAGGACAAGAAGACGGGCGGCGGCGGGCACCCTAAGGAGGCAGTCACTATCCCCATTGAGGTACGGCGATGCGCCCAGGCAGTCAGGTCTTGTCCACAAATACGAAGCGCCCGCGTGCTGATGTTGAAACTTTTGCTCAGGAGCTACAACTACCCAAGTCCATAATAACCCGTCTGGCCAAGGGCGTCCTGCCCCCAAACACCCAGATCCAGGCCAACGCAATCCTGGCCATGACCAAAAGTGCAACTGTGTTTATCAACCACCTAGCAAACGCGTACGTTCCCTTTGGCCACCCAGTCAGGAACCCACAGTCCACAGGGGAACTAACACAATTCTGTTTCTCCGCTGCAGGGCCAACGAGGTTACGACACTCCAAAACAAGAAGACAGTCATGCCCGCCGATGTGTTCAGGGCGTTGGATGACATAGAGTTTGGGTTCATGCGCGAGCGCGTAGAAGCCGAGTTTGCAAGTGCGCAGCAGCCTCCCCACCCCACCAGACAACAACAATACCATACCCATTTCTCCACCATCATCACGCTGCGCGGCACCCACTGACGCTTTACCCGTGCTGCAGAATTCAACGAGGTCCAGACCAGCAAGCGGTCAACCTACCGCAAGAAGGTCGCGGCGGCCAAGAAGGCCACCAAGGGTGCCGGCGAGGAGGGCGCAGATGCGTCGACGGCAGGCGCCGACGGGGACACGACGATGGGCGGCGCCGACACGACCGTGAACTCGGTCGCGGACTCGAGCGCGGCGGGAGGGGGCCAGCCGCGCGCGAAGAAGGCCAGGACGGAAGGCAACAACGGCGGCCAGATGGACGTCGACGAGGAGGTCGCTGACGCCAGCGACCCGGAGAGCGTCCCTGACGAGGAAGCGGACGAAGACGAGGAGGAGGATGCTGAGGAGGAGGAAGAAGGGGGAGGTGACGATGCCGAGGACGACGACGAGCTGGAAGAGAGGCAGGGTAGGCCGGACGAGGACGAAGCCCTGGACGATGGGAACAACAGTGACTAGTCGATAATCTCACCAGCCACGACCCGCCTTGGATCAGAGGCGCCTTCGATGCTTCCCCGTGCATGCAGCCAACCTCGTGCTCGAGTGGAAGAAGGTTTAAAGGGTTTGCTGCCCAAAGACCCGAACGCAACTGGCGAATGCGCTGGGCGCCCCACGGGGTGCTCGCATCAGGCGATGGGAACGGCGTCCTGGGTCAGCCTGGAGACGTGAATCTATTCAACACGCACACGAGAATTAGAACTACAGGCAGTTGACCCAGTATCACCGCGCCCGTTCCCGCCGGAAGAGCCAGCGCGATATCGCCCCCGCCGTTCCCAACCTCTTGATCTACCTAGCTAGCCACTGAATCCCGGCCCCTCTTGGTGAAGCTGTTTGGGGTTCAGCTCGCCATGGATTCAATCACATCAAATCTGGCACATGGCATAAGGCTTGTTACTGCCTGCATCGTGCCCTGGCGCGCCCGGTCTCGCCCGCGTTACATGGTTAAGGTGGGTTGGTTGGTACCTGCTTGGGGCCCGGGGAGGCCCGCAGGAAGTGTGTGTGTGTGTGTGTGTGTGTGTGTGTGTGTGTGTGTGTGGGAGTGGGTAGGGGGGAGGGGGTGGGTTGGGGGGGGGGGGGACGATGGGCCGGCGGCCACCCCCTCCCCGTCGATTCAAGGTTGGCAAAGACTACTTGGCTTTTCTTGGGGGTTCATCACTTGGCGCCTTGTCAGGCCACCCAAAACGGGTGTGTCTTCACGGAGACCGAGTGCATTGCCAGGGGCCCTGGCGCTCAGAATTCGCATAGACACAGTGAGGTATATTCAATCTCGATGTGTGAGCTCCCTGGTGCCTTGTCTGGTGTTTGGGCTGGAGTCCATCTGGGCTCGATACCTTAGGACCTTGTCATCGTCACTCATGCTTCTGTCCACCACACTTCACTTCCCATGTCTGTATCTGCTGCTTCTCCGTCACAGCCACGGCTCCGACATGAGCAGGAAACAAAATTTTCCGCAAACGACACTGAGTCTATTACCCGCTATGTCGTAGCTTGATGACCTGGTTAGTAGCAGACAACGCACATTTTGGAAAATTGGCGGGGCGATGATTGTTGGTGGCGCAGGTGAAGAGAAGCAAAGATTGGGCAAAGTATATTAAAGCAAGACTGCCGTCCTCCTCGCGGCGCCTGACGCGCATTCGCCCTTGAGAGATCGCGTAAGGACAGTAGCAGAATACAAGAGCCTTTCCACAGCTGTGCCCAACATCCGGGGTGACATTGGCAGAAAGACGTGACTCAACATGGAAAGCTAAAGTCGAGTGAGAAGAGCAATGCCCAGCCACTCCCACCCAGTGAGATTGCGCGAGGCAATACTGCCAGAAAACGAATAAACCACGTGTACTAACACAAGAAGTTCAAAAGAATCGGCAGGAAAGAACTGCGTGACAAATGAACTCCTCCAATGCTTAGAATGTAGCCGTCCAAGATCTGCGATCTCGACATGTAAACACGAAGCCTGATGGGCCGGGTATCAACACATCGAGGAAAAAAACGATGGTAGAAAAGTTCGAATGGAAGTGGAGCATCCCACAATGCCGCCGCGTTGTATGCGAAATCAGGGGGAGTAACCGCATGGCCCAAGGATATCCGACTGCCCAAACCTGAACAAGAACTAAGAAAAAAAAAAAAAGAAAGATGTCCATCTGACCACTGAAAGAAACCAGGTATACCGCCGACCGCACAAGCCTGACCACACCACAGGAGAGTAGGGTATCAGCACAACCAGCAAACCGCAGACCCGAGTCTGCGTATCATCCACACCATCGAGCAACCCCCCCAAATTTAAGCGACTTCCACAAATCAATCATGTATATCTTCAACGTAAGCGAGTCCAAATGCACGCTGTATGGGTCGCTCAAACTGTACGTAAACCATCGAGTTGGACCATGAGGTTGTCAGTGAGTTGGGCCCATCGGGATTTAACGCATGCAAGTATTCTGAGCCCCTGCCCACAGTGGTGACAAGACCAGACCATATGTACACTCAAAAAGTAGTCGTTCGTGAAAGATTATTGTCGAATGCGTATCTCGTTCAAACATCCCATGCGTTTAAGATCAAGTTAGGCCGTAGCTTCGTTTGCGGTTCGGACTCGCGTTCGTGGTTCGGATGTGCAGAGTTGTCCAGTGATCCCGAAGACACAAAGTCTTGCCCCAAACTTCCTCTGCCGCTTGGGCGTCTCAAGGTAGGCGAGGTGATGACAACAACAAGGGGCTCCCGTAACCGGGCTATATCGTGTCTGCGTCTTCGCCCATCTTTTCGGACCCCGCAGCTTCGCACAGTAATCGCTTGTTCGCCCTGATAGGGTGCCCGAGAACTCTTTCCCACTACTGAGGTTGCTGTGTCCACCACTGCTGCGGCTGCTGCTGCTGCCCTGACCATGCCTGCGTGACAGCTGGTGAGGGGGTCGAGCCTTGGTGCATGTATTGACGCGGCGTTTGATGGTCGTACGGCGATGGCGCAGGGTAGCCTTGTGCCATTCCCGGCATGCCGGAGTAGGGCATGCCGCCTTGCGGTACCGAGCCAGAGGTGCTCGAGTGTCGCATCTGTGACGTGGAGCTCTGTGGCGGGTGGGGGGACTGCTGCGCCTGCTGATTGTGGGTATACCCGTATTGAGGTGTCTGTGGCGTTGGTGGCCACATCTGGCTCGAAGGCTGATATCCATAGCCCTGAGCCGCCTGCGGCATGCTGCCGGTGGACCCTGAAGACAAGCTTGTTGGCTTTGATTGCGGCTGGCTTGGAACTTGGGCCATACCTCTCATCGTCGATGACTGACTTATGGGGTTTTGGGCCTGAATCGGGGTCGAGTACGGCGGCGCAGTCATCATTAGCTGAGGACTCTGGCTTGGGACTAGCCCGGAGTGCTGCTGCGGCATCCCTGCCGACGTCGCGTGCGGCGACTGCGTGGCACGGGACGTTGGGATGCTTGCGTCAGCGGTACCAACACTGACAGGCTGGGTCAAGGCCGCGGATACGGGCTGCTCATGAGGCCTTCGCCACATGTTGTTCATGTAATCGGTCCGCATTTCACGCTGTTGGTTGACAGATCGGTTGTACTCTGCAGCATGGTGGGCTTGCGCGTGGATCTCAGGCATCGCGGTTGGCTGAGATCTGTCCTGGTAAGGAGGGCCTGTGATCTCCTGCCGAGGCCCAGTCTTCAGTATGGACGAGTAGTCGGTCCGTCGGGAGTCAGGATATTCTGACGGTGTTAGCTTGTGCACTCCCGCCCAATGTGTGCCCAACTGGGTCACCTCCAAACGTACCTTGTTGTATGAGCTGGGGATGCGGAGCACCACCGAACTGTGCCGGGTTGTTGCTGTAAACTATCTCTCCCTGGGGACCACCCAGCAGGGACGCATTCTGCTCAGCCGCCGCCGCCGCCTCTCGGGCCTTAGACGCGCCAGGCCTCTTCTCCCCAGCCAGATCGGCCTCGGTGAAGCCTTGTTTCCTGGCTTTCGTTTCCCAGTAGTCGTCTCGGACTCGCCGGCCATTCACGATGACTCGGCTGCCGAACTGACGGAACATACTGCGTGCCGTGACAATTGCTATTTGTCTCGACCTGTACGAGAATGGAAGAATCTCCTGGCTGACGAGGTCGTCCTTCTCCGTTTGGTTGGCGATGATTTTGAACAAAGATCGGTTCTTGTTAAAAAGCAGGTATGAGTCGCGATATCCGAGAACTCTCGCGCACTCGGTCGCCAGCATGAAGAGTTTGTCTCCTCGGTTCGGGACGAGGAACGTTCGACAGCGATACTCGCGGCCCCCTAGTAGCTGCCCGTTGGGCATGACCTTCTTCTCCCCGCTCTCGTCGATTTCGCGGGGCAGGTACTCGTCGCCCCCTGGGCCGAGCTGATCCGTGGTGTGGTCCCGCACCGTGGGCAGCGCCTTCAGGGTCGACTTGGTCGGGGTGGGCTTGGGCGGCGAGGAAGCTGACGCCTGGGATGGCGTATAGCTGGGTTGTGGTCCCGGGAGAGGTGCATTTTGGGATTGAGGGGTCTGGGGTGGGATTGATTGTTGCATCGGAACTGGCGCCTGGGTAGGACTTTCTGAGATAGATCCGGGAAGATTCGATTTCATGGGTTTTCCGCGTTTCCTGGGGTTTCGATCTGCTTGCGCGACAACGCCATCAGCCCGAGGTTCTCACGCCCGTGTCGCACTGCCCTGATCATGTAACATGAGACATGTCGATGGCGACCTGACACAGCTACACAAAATTGACCACGACATACCTTCATCCCCAGCCAGACCAGGGGACGGCGCTTCGTACGTGCCCGGCGACCGGCTCCTCTTGACGCCTCTTGAGTTCTGATCTAGCAGATCTGCGAGGCTGCGCATCAGCATCGTTAGGCCATGGTCAATAGCGAGAACACAAAGAAGGGGCCATGCGGCGCGAGATTAAAAGACTGGGGGCGGCGCATCGATCTACAGTCAGGGTTGAGAGCAGGTCTTTGCAATAGTGATGCGGTGGGCAGCAGAGCGCAGCGAGGCGATGCGATGCGATGCATTGCGATGGTCGCGTTGCGGTGGCCGGCGATGCTGGGACAGGGCAGCACCGCGCAGCGCAGCGAAGCGCAGCGAAGCGAAGCGCGGGCCAGGGCGCGCCCCGGCTCAGCGGGAGGGGTCGCGATGGTTCATGTATGACACTTGGGAGGGTGGCGGCCAACTTACCGGACGATGCGAGAGCAGCAGGATTGATTGTCGCACTGTCAGCAGCGTTAGGCTGTGCGGAGTACATTGAGCGCAGCAGCGACAGTATCGGCACCCAAGTCCATGGGTCGGCGAAACGACGTGTCTTGATATAGTTGGAGGGTTGATGTGAAGTGGATGCAAAGACTGCGAAGCTTGACTTGGGGAGTGTGCACAGCGATTTGATGCAGGCAGGGCAAGGGGCAGGGCAAGGGCAGGCCGGACGTGCGTGTGCGTGGTGTGCGTACCTAATGGTTGGCACGAACCCCAGTGCCTTGACTTTTGGCTATTGAGGAATAATGAGAAGGAGAAAAGGTATTCGCTGCCTTCTGGCGCCGCTGAACGGGGATTTGGTCAGTCCGTCCTGGGCGTCTGGGGGACCGTGGGTGCGTGGGAAGAAGAAGGGGGACCGTTCGCTTCGCTTCCCGGACAGTGGTACCTCGATGCCGGGTCACGGTACTGGACCGCTGAATGCTGCACGTCGAATGCTACCGGCAAAGTACAGTGGTAGTGACGAAGAAGAAATGGGCCGAACCCGTTTTGGCCTGGTTGGTGGCAAGCAAGGACTGCAGAAGGGGGGAGAAGGGGGGGGGGGTCCGTGGTGTGTGGTTTTGTAGAGGTGGCCGGTTGACAAGGGCCACCACGCGAAGAGCGGGAAAGCTGGTGGGGCGGGCTGCAGGGCGGAACAAACGAAAGTGGCTTCCTTTCCCGTTGTGGTGGTGGTGGTGGAGGTCGGCTTGATCCAGTGAGGTGAAGACTCAAGTCAGTATCGAACGTGGACTATAGATCTGTATAATATAAGTATGCATGTGTGCCTGTCTCGTCTGTCTGCCAACTGCGTATGAGAGCACTTTGGCCAGATGTTGGAGGAGTGGTCGAGGATACAGGGTCGAAGCCGGTAGGGGAAAAGGTAGATCAATCGGAGCCTTTTGAAATAGCCCTGACGAATGACGATGGGACTGGCGGCAATCAAAAATATTGGGGCCGGTAAGTCAGCAGTCGCATCTGTTACTAATGGGATCGGAGGGGCTTTTTTGGCACAGGCGGATTGCTTGCGCCCAGGGCCCGTATTGGATTCGAGTCGTGCTTTTTTCTCGGGCTGCCCTGTCGTCGACACCGGTCCGATGGGCGCGATGGCGTCTCTCCCGCCCACGCCTCTGGCCCGAACGCGCTGGTGGATGGCAGACGCGTGGAGCAAGAGGTTCACTCAGGACGTCAAGTCTTTCGATATGCGCGTGCGCGTGCGCGTGCGTGTGCACTCTTGGGTCGTGGAGGCTGCAGGCGCTGTGTAGCCGAGATTTCGGCAGTGGCACAGGGGGTTGGTTGGCAGTCAAGGTCGCTGTGAACCTTGACAGGCAGTGGTGGAAGCTCTGCGCTGTGCTGCTCTGTCTCTGAATATCGGAGGGGACCAGACGCGGGCAGTGAGGCCCTTTGGGGTGGTGGAGGCTGCTCCGGCCTGCTCAGAGCATTTGGGGCGTTGACAGTGCTTTGGTGTACTGGCAATATCCTTGCTGTGGCGCAGAGATTGCCAGAGGGTGTGAGCCCGAGGTGTGTGAGTGTGAGGGTACTAAGTCGATGCGTGTGAGCGGATGACGATGGATGGAGTGGAGCATCCGGGTCGCGACGACAGGTAGGCAGGCTTTCGCCGTGTACTGTAGGTGAAGAAGATAGGTTGGGTTTAAGATCCCAATCTGCGAGATACGGCGAGATACGGCGAGATACGGCGCGATGGTTTGGCTCGCCTGCCTCGACGAGACCCAGCAGAGAGATGACAAACGGAGGACGCGATCGTTGTCGGACTGCAAGTATGTCAAGGCCACGACGGGGCAGCTGGAGACGAAGCACCGCGGCAAAATACATGCGCGAATCCAGGCAGACTAGACAAATAGACAGGAAGACGGACGGATCGGCGGACAGACTAACAAGAGCAGTCGGCCCTGTCAATTATTCACTACTGTGTATCCCGATCTTTCTTTGTGTCTTTCTTTCCTTCCTTCCTTCCTTCCTTCCTCGGAGTGAGCAGCGATGCCCCTACCCAGCATCCTGGGAGGGGGGTGTGCGAGCGTGCGCGTGTGTGTGCGTGGGTGTGCAGAGCAGGAGCAGGCCTGGCAGGTACATGTACAGTACGGGGCACCCCATGGCACCCCATGGGAAGACGGGATGGGAAAGGAGCCCCTGTCTACGCCAGCCTGAAGTGAAAGCTGATGCATGAAGCTGCAGCAGGGACTGCATGGTACAGAAGGTACGGCGTGAAAGGTATCAGAGTACCCAGATATCTTCATGGCGCTACTGTACGCGCTCCGTCCGTGATACCCCACAGAGCTTGGGATCACCCCGGTAGAGCTGAAGCTTGCGGAGGCTCAGACGGCGTTGTCGTTGTCGCGCGAAAGCGAAAGGCACCGTCACTTTTCCTCTGCTGGTCAGACAACAGCGAAAGGCCGCGGGCACTTTCTTAGAGAGTAGATGCAGCCCGGTCATGGGAAGCCAGACTCTCGGTGCTCGCGGCGTCCGGGGTTGGTGGCGAACGTCATGCTCTGCAGCCTCTTTCTCATCACCTTCTGGCAGGAGCCTGCAAGGCCGTGGGCGTGGCGAACCTTGGAACGAGGCAGCGACTGCAATGTCCCGATAGCCATCCCATGAGCTACCCAGCCAGCCATTTGATGGCGCCGCCGCTGCAGAGCAATCCAGAAGCAGCCAGTGGTTCCGCCCAGCTTCCAATTTACTTCCCCTTCAGGTTTAGCCAGGCATGGTGCTTCCGACTCAAGCCAAGACCCCGGCTGGACCAGCTACTTGGTACTGTACTGTGCGACGACCATGACCCGGTCTATACAAGCGTGCATTCCTGTAGTTGCTCCGGCTTGACGCCGGGCACGAAACAGAGACTCTGGTAGTAGAGATGCTGGATGTAGCGCATGCTATCAAGGTGAAGGCGCAAGGCAGACAGGAGCTGAAGCTCCTTGCCCATCGAGCGCTCGAGGCGTAGGGCGGCTACAGCGGATACCTACTTAATATCTGTGTATTTTGCACGGCCTGAATTATTATCCATCATTTACTTGTCTTTTCCGGGGAGATGTTTGTCCACGACGATGAGAAGTAGAATATGCTTGCTGACCTGCAGGCAGTCAGTCAGCGAGGTAGGAGCAGGCTGGCGGGCAGGCAGGCATGAGAATTGTGCAGGGATTTCTCATGCTCAGATGCACGCGAACAGTCAGAAGGAACAGAAGCAGGAAAGCAAAACAGGACGAGGCAGCTGACACTAGCAAGAATGAGGCAAATATCCCACCTCGTTTTCCCGCCTGGACGCGAATGAGCTTTTATTACACAATACCCAACTTAATAGTCTACACGCCGGCAGGAAGGACACGACGATGCTGGCGCGCCTCAGCGTCGATTTCGACTTCCATTTCCGGGACTACTTAGCCAGTATATTGGGTGCGCATGAATACATACATAACACATCACCACCAAAACAAAGCACGATGTAGAACGCATTGCATACATGCGTTTATATGTTGTGCGCTCTTTGTCTCTGCAGATATCTGCGCGTATAATTGTCCGTGTAATGTGCCGCTGTAGCTTTCCGAGGAAGGACCCATGGATGGCGAGCAGACAGCAGACGGGCAGGGGAGGAGAGCCTCGGGCCCCCAGCCAAGCAGCGCCCGATCGAGACGAGCTTCCTGCGCATCCCACCCCGTCACCAGGACAGGGTGGCCAGGGAGGGAGCAGGCAACTTTTCCGAGATGTGACGGCTCTGCTGCCCAGGCTCCAGTGTCCGTCCTGGTCGCGGCCTATATCACCTGGAACCCACAACCCAATCTTCAACCCCTGCATTGCCTGGAGAAGTCCATTCGGAGCCTTGGAGGGATGGATCGAAGGAGCGAACCAAGGTGATAAAAGCCGAGGGAGCTTGGGCTCCATCCATCCAGCCTGCCAGCCAGGCCAGCATCGTCACTCCCCGACGGATTGGGACGGGCCAAACAGGGCGTGACAGGGCACGGTGGTCTGGACCTTGTCCAGTGTCGGATCACGCACCGGTGAGGAAAAGATGAGACGGTTGGCTGGCTGTTCAGCAGAGCCCACGCGAGGCTGCACTTTGGCGGGTTGAAGCACAGTTCTTGGCAGATGCGCCGTACGGTATGGTACCCCCGTCGTCGACTGCTCTGGCTACTACCCAAGTCCATACCACATGGGACTGCGTATCGTGCGCGTGTATTCACCACGGTACGTACATACATGCCCACTCCAGCCCGTCTCGATGATGCCCAGGCAGGCTACATAGGTAGCTCTGGGCTGTCTGGACTTACCTCACTCACTATTTGGAAGCCACTATGCCTGCAGGTCAGCAGCTAGTAGCTACCATGGCAGGGGCCTGGGGGCCTAGAGTACCTCTCTTCCCGCGCACCCGCCGGTCCTGCCGATGTTGCTGCTGATGATATCGATACTGCACAGCAGCGCGTGCCTTCCTCATCCAGAAAGCTACCCCCTTGTCTGTATTTCCATTCCAATCACATCCTGCGCTCTGCGTTTCAAGATTTCAGCCGACATGATGCGCCGATGCACCGCTGTTCTCGAGCTCCTGAGCTGACGTCGACTGCCACCGACCGAGCGACCCATCATCAGTCAGTCACAGACCCCACTACTCGCCAATCATCATCTCATCAATTACTATTGCGCAAGGTACAGCACGGTACACCACGCCGCGGTACTGTGCTGCTGCACGCTGCGCTGCCTGCGAGTCCTGTCGATGGGACTAATGCGCTCCCTCCGCCTCGGATCGTTTCGAGCTACAGGCCCACACCTGGCCACCTGCAACTGCACATGTTGCGCGGTACAGCACATCCCAACCTATTTGGGGCCCTTCCTACCTACCGCGCCGGATTTCACAGCAAGCTCCCTGGCTCCCAGAGCCCGTGAGGCTGAGGCTCGCTGGTTTAACGTTTGGGACGGTACGCTATATCGTGGTACAAAGTACCTAGGTAGCTATAGGACACGGACTTTACAAGGAAAATTGCCTCGCACAGACGCCGTTCACCTTCGACTGGCGTACTCAACGACGGCGCATTGTCCTCACTAGGGTATCGCTGCGAGAACAGGTCACAGGCCTGGAGCTTCGCAGCTTTGGTGTCTGGCGAACCCTCGCTTCCAGAGGGCCGTTGCGACGGCGCTGCCGTCCTTGTCACTCGCTGCCGCTGCTCCCGAAACTCTCCAGCGCCCTGGCAGCCTCGACCTACATACCACCGCATACAGAGGACACTCCAACAAGATCCACGGAGCACCCGTGCCGCTTGCTGTGGTTCGCGGGAATCATCATTCGGGGCATGATACCAGCCCATGCCCAACTTCTTTCACCCCAATCGCCATTGCGTGCAAGCAGATTGCAGACAATAACAAGCCGTGCCTTGACTGGGCCCCGAATCCTCTCAGAGACCGAGATAACCACCAGCAAAGGCGCCCGGTTCGGAATCTTCCAGTCGCGAAATCACGACTTCCCCACTACCGTTGACACATGACGCGAGACTCGACTTCTCCAAATTCATGCCTTAGATGGGTCCCGGCTCAAAGCCCTCAGACGACACAGCGCACAGCTGGAAGCTTCACTCAGGGAATTCCCGGGCAGCCCAGGTTTGAGACATGAATGAGATCAGGCCTGCAGCTTTTCTTCAGAATTACCCGCGACTTGCACGATGTTTGACGCCACAGAACATTGAATCTACATGCTGCAGCTCATCTGGTCACAAGCTACCTCACTAGCTGCTCGTTAGTACGCATGGCAAAGACAGCTTGCTCCTAACCCATGTCGGCAGGATAATACCTGGTAATAATACTTGTCAGTCTCTTTCGAAATCTTGTCTTGTCCCGGGAACAGTGCCTTCAATACGTGAAGCAAGGTCCACAAGCCTGCCGCGTGTTCGCTTTCCATAGCATGGTATGACCCGTCCATCTGCCTGCTGCCTTTGCTCACCACAGCGGCACATTGATGACAACGAGTCCGAGGTCTCGGCATGCCGATAAAAGATTCGATACGTCGTTTCCGCCTCTAGCCCAAAGGGGTAGGTAAGACATAGCTCCAGGACAGTCACTTCCCCCGGAATGCACGCGGGCTGCATGTACGTCCAGAGCCAAGCCGCAGCTGCATCCATCGCTGACGACGCAGGAAGGGCGTGCTCCAAGGGGGCTCGTTAACCCGCGGTCAATCAGTGTCGCCGTCCGTCACGAGTACTTTGTTCGTGTTTGTGTCGAGTGGGGACTGGCATGTTTTCACATCTGATGACGAACAAGGTGATATTGTATGGCGGTCATCACGACTGTTGCTCAGGAATGCGAGTGGTGGATATGATGCCCGAGACACTTCAGATCGATGCGACAAAGTCAAACATGGACGGACCGCGCCTGTGGTCACAAGGCCCGGCTTCGCAGACGTACCATATTCACGACCGCCTTGTCCAGGGCATATTGTGGGAGCACAAGTGGTCCAGTTGCGAAGACGGCAAGAACGATGGGCGGTAGAATGCTCTCCTCGCCATTCCCAACGGCTTGACCATTGGTTTGCTTGACCCGTGGTCACGTATGGCATCAACAATATGGCACGCAGTGATCGCCCACCAATGTCGAAATACATCAGTGAGCGCAGTTTCGGAGGACTGCCACTACGACGTCGATGGATGACCAGCTAAAGCAAAACCCAGAGCAGCTTTGTACCAAGCCTGCCGGGGAGCCGTACAGATGACCAGGGAGAGAGCAGCTTATGCTCTGCGCTGCCCAGGGCAATGCTCGGTAGAGAAAGACGCCTTCGGCTCTCTCCCAGCCATTCTCGTATGTAACATTAGACCCCCTCTGAGCGGAGATTCCCTGCAGTCAGAACTCGGTTACTGAAGCATTCCACAGCATGATGACTTTGAGAGCCGTTTTGCTCAGGAAGTTGTTCTGGAAGCTGTTCGAGAATATCCCATGTGGCAAAGCGTATGTGACCTATTCGCATATTCGGAAATCGTAAGTGCTGTCAAGTGGCTGCGATGGCCCAGGGTCGCGGGACCAAGGTGCGGGAGCACGACAAACGGAGCAGCACTCCAGCACCGCTACGGGACGTGAAGAGGGTGTGGATGGAGAGCTTGAGTCAAGGCATGCACGAGATGAGGGTGTGAAGGACCAGGATTAAGCCTGGCGCGTAGCAGGCCAAGTCCAGACGGGCGCTACAGGGGTCAACTCTGTGAATGGGTTTGTCCAGAAGTAGAACACCTCATTGGCCTCCGCAGCGTCGCAACGACCCGTCCAGCTGACACCTAGGAAGCCCTTGGAGTTTGGCTGGCCAGGTTCGACGTGAATCGTCGAATCATCGACCGATCGCAAACTGGGTCTTCCATCAGACGGGTTTGATAGACGAGCCTGATTCGAAAACGCCACGGCTCGAGGACCCTCGGGCTTCTCACATTCCTCCGGATCAGGTAGGGGCCTGACTGAGCCTGATGACCTCGGGATACCGGGAACACTCGCATGGACCTTGAGACAATTTCAGACCAGCGAAAATGGAATTTCCGCCATCAAAATCTGTCAAGACGGTCCAGAGCGGGCCCACCAACCAACACGGCCGAGGATGTGCCGCCGCAGCCACAACCACACCAACTTTCGCCCTGAGGGTCGATCAGGACATGGGGACCTGTTCGTGTCGCATTGGGCGAATGCAGGAGAGTGAACGGGCAGTCCCTTGTTCCCGCTTTGCAGGCTGGACAAGGAGGTGTCTCCATCTGCACACAGCTGGTTCTGTGTCTTTATTTTGTTAAACAAGATCCAGATGTTGTTGGGCCACGCCTACCTACCAGACGCAGCAGCCCAGATGCTCAGAACTCGACTCCCGGGACCATGATTAGCCACGGCTAAGTGCACACCCCTACCCAGGCTCTCTCGACGGCCGTCGGAAAGATTACACGATCCAGATAACGCCAACTCGTGGCGCTAGTCCTGACTGTGCGACCTCCAAAAGTCCCTTTAGCAGCGACTTCGATCGCGGGTACCAGTACCGAAAACCCCCCATTTCTCCATGTGGCCGGCGATTTGACTCGATTGCGATTAGCTGGCTGGCTGGTCCCTCACGTAAGACAAGTAGTTGAGTCACACAAGAAGCGGAAGCCTATCTAGGCACTGTCCGTGTTCCCGCCCGCCGTGCGCCAGGACACGACAGAAAGGGGGCTGGCTGTACGGCTGTGCTAGTTCAACAACCCACTTGATGAACTATGGATTGACGGATCCGGGAGGCGGCCGTTAAGAACCAGAGCTCTGGAATCATGCCCCCGCGACAGAGCAGCCATCCTGGGAGGTGAGTTACCGTAGCCCATGCGGGCATGGACGTGTCGTTGCTGTCGCTGACCTCGTGGGTGTTCGCATTGGGAGTACTATGTAGATGCATTGCAACCCCGACGGATCCGTGAGCGACGGGCTTTCTGGAAGGGTGTGTGGCCCGGCAGAGGCAAGGACGTCGGGACCCAGGACCCAGGACCCAGGACCCAGGGCTCCTGGGGCAGGGAGGGGACCCCAAAGAGATCGACGCCGCCGCACGCTGCTGACGCAAGAGACGCAGCCTGAGGATTATTGTACCAAGCTGCGCAGATGCAAGCGAGCAGAAGAGGACCCCTCTGTGGGCCGCCTGTTGGTGAGTGGATTCCATTCTGGGACAGCCATCGGCCACCTGGCCGCCCATGCACTGCACCGTCGCCCGCCCACATACAGAATGACCCTGATTATATCAGTCATGCAGATGCAGGTGCAGATGCAGATGCAGATTCCCACTGATCATGCTGGCACGTCAGCAGCCATGAGGTGAGGTCTGGATCGCCTTGCAGAGGGCAGACAAGCAAGCAAGCAAGCACAGGCCAGCGCGGGCCACGGTGGATCCATGATGCCCGCAGGCCTTCCCAGTTCCCACTGTCCAGTTGATGGATGGGCGGATGGACGCACGGTGGGCCCCTCCCCATCCTCGGCAACTTATCTTATCTATCTCTGTGTGATCTTGCACCGCACCGTCGTACCGTACGCAGCTAGACTGTGCCACTGTGAACGTGCTGCGCCGCGTGTAACAAGGTTGCCCGTGCTAAAAGTAGAAGTCTAAAACGGAGCACGAGGATTGCAACATGACACGGCGCTCAGGGCGGCCTCAGCACCTCTGTCCTGGTCACTTGAGTGCCGTCATGGCATGGTATAGCTCGTCCGTCTGCTCCATCCCTTGCTTGGACCAAGCCTTGTCAAGGTTTCAGCAGGTGGATCAACGGGGCGGGACCTTGGAAGGGCCCCCACCGGCCTCGGTGCTCCACTGGCATACCCACGCTGCGAGCAAGTACCACAGCGAAGTACCCGTCGACGAGGACGGGCCCGAAGCTTTGATCGCAACCAAGTCCATGTTCTGATTTAGCTCGGCGCCGACGATCAGAGCAAGGGAGGCACGCCGAAGACTGCGGGTTAGGCTCTGGGGCTTCCGAGGATATGCCTGCGGTTTGCGATGCTGTGGGTGAGCAATATACACATACATATCATTGTACCATGTAGTTGTCGGGAGTCGACCCATGGAACACCCATTCCAGCGTGCGAATCACAGCAGCTGCCCTCCCCGTCTACCCCGTACACAGATGCCTATGACTCGACATGCACTTGCTTTTTTCTGCCCCTTGGGCAGAACCTGTGAAAGCCTACACACAGTAGTGCATTGAAGGTTGTCTAGTGCCCGGCAGCTCGTTCGAGTTACACAGCCTAGTCCTTGAAAACCCGCCTGTTTGAAAAGGCAAAAGACGGAATAGCGGTAGGATCAGAAACACTACAGACTGGGGCGGGGCCTCCCTATACTTCGTACTGCGAGGCATCGAGAGCCGATGGGAATGGAAGGCATCTGCTCGCAGCGCCGTACAGACTACCTCCCTCCTACCTAGTACTTTGTTCCACCTCGTCTGCCCGACAGCACAGACGGATGTAATGCGTTGATTGACTCGGTCGCGATTCGATCACGCGGCTACTCTAGCTCCGTGATACCTTTAGGCATCTCTCCGAACGCCTGGGCAATCTACTCGATGCTGTGTTGCCCAACTAGCTGGACAGTAGGGCAGGCGATGGTTTCAGCATTCCATGCTCCGCATCGTCTCGACCGCCGGCCAGCTTAGTAAGCCGGCACGTGATGAGGTTCTCACGATGCCTCCTGGGCTGTCTTTTGTTGCTTTGCGCCTACCGTCGATGGGAGAACAAATCGAGGCATGAGGGTGTCAAGCGAGGGGCTTAGTAACTATCTGAGCGTGTGCTGCAATGTTTGCTGAGAACAAGGACATCCCATCCAGAACCTGCGGATCATCCAAGCACCACGTCTCGTCTTATCGATAAACAGGACCCAGTGAAATTTCCAAAGACTACATCACATCGACAGCAGCCGTCGAGAGCAGCAAACGGACCACATTAAATGCCCAGACAGCGGACTCTGCGAAGATGACCAGTCTCAAGAGGAGCCTGGGCTCTGACCCCTTGGCTTCAAGCATCGCGAGCAAAGTCTACATCCGGTCTACGAAGGCTGGCAAGCTGCAGAAGATTGTCAAGGAGGTATACCTGCGGCAAGACATCCCCTGCTCATCCGAACTGTGTTCGAGCTGCCTTAAGACTGCCCCTCGAGATGCAGCAGGGAAAGGTGAGATAGATATGGCCCTGTCTACTTCTGCGCTCCATCACATGCTCACGTATCACAGTCGCGCCATTCGTGCTCTCCCAGGAGCCTGCTGGCACCAAGGCCTTCCCCAAGGGCCACTACATCGTCCCCGACACCAACGCGTTCCTCAACGCCATGGACCTCTTTGAGCAGAGTTCTGCCTTCTACGACGTCATTGTGTTGCAGATTGTCCTTGAGGAGCTGCGCAACCGCTCGCTCCCCCTGTACAACCGCCTGATCGGCCTGACCAAGAGCGACGAGAAGCGCTTCTACGTCTTCTTCAATGAGTTCCGCCTCGAGACCCATGTGGCCCGTGAGCCTGGCGAGACCGTCAACGACCGCAACGACCGCGCGGTGCGCAAGGCCGTCTCGTGGTACGGCGAGCACCTGGCCAAGACCAGGGCCAAGAAGGTGCCCACGGTGGTCATGCTCAGCAACGACCGCGACAACCTGCGGAAGGCCAAGGCCGAAGGCATCGCATCGTGCTCCCTGGGCGAGTACGTCAAGGGCCTGGACAATGCGGACGAGCTCATGGATATGATCCCCGAGTCACAGGCCGAGGTCGACAAGCAGCGGGGGCCGGGCGGGCACATCTACCCAGACTATTACTCGATGTCCAAGATGATGACGGGAGTCAAGAATGGACTGCTCCACCAGGGCTTATTCAACATGTCGCCATACAACTATCTGGAGGGCTCAGTTCGAGTACCTGCTTTCCCCAAAGCCTTGATAGTCATGGGACGAGAGAGCATCAACCGGGCGGTCGACGGTGACGTTGTGGTCGTGGAGGTCTTACCCAAAGATCAGTGGAAGGAGCCCTCCACACAGATCATCGAGGAAGAGGCCCTGACAAAGAACGAAAACGCCGAGGGTGACGACGGTGATGAACTCGTCTCAGTAAAGGAGAAGAAGGCGCTTCAGGATGAAGTGAAGAGGACACAGGGCAAGACAGGAGAGGGCCATGCCCAACCGACTGCAAAGGTTGTGGGCGTGATCAAGCGGAATTGGCGTCAATATGTTGGGCATATTGACCAGTCATCAGTCAGCCAATCCTCAACGCAAGGGAGGAGGCAAGATACGGTGTTTCTCGTTCCCATGGACAAGAAGATCCCCAAGATTCGGCTCCGCACAAGACAGGTGGCTGATTTGCTTGGAAAGAGGATATTGGTCACTATGGACGCTTGGGACCGAGACTCGAGACATCCTGTAGGGCATCTTGTGCGGACCCTGGGCGAGATGGAGACCAAGGCTGCGGAGACTGAGGCGCTACTTCTCGAGTACGACGTACAGTATCGACCTTTCCCAAAGACCGTGCTGGACTGCTTGCCAAAGGAGGGACATGACTGGAAGGTTCCAGCCAGCACGGATGACCCGGGGTGGAGAGACAGAGAGGATCTCCGAGGGCTTCTCATCTGCAGTATTGACCCCATTGGCTGCCAAGACATCGACGATGCGTTGCATGCAAAGCCGTTACCAAACGGTAATTTTGAGGTTGGAGTGCATATCGCCGATGTGTCACATTTCGTGAAGCCAAACAACGCGATGGACACGGAGGCTAGCATTCGCGGCACGACAGTATATCTGGTCGACAAGCGTATCGACATGCTTCCCATGCTCCTGGGCACAGATCTGTGCTCCCTTAAGCCCTACGTTGAGCGATACGCGTTTTCAGTGTTGTGGGAGATGAACCCCAATGCTGATATCGTTAACGTGCGCTTCACGAAGTCGGTCATCAAGTCAAGAGAAGCTTTCAGCTACGAGGAGGCACAGCTTAGGATCGACGATGTGTCTCAACAGGACGACCTCACCAAGGGCATACGGACGCTACTCATGCTGTCTAAGAAGCTGAAGCAGAAGCGCATGGACGCCGGCGCCCTGAGCCTTTCCTCGCCTGAGGTCAAGGTGCAGATGGAGTCGGAGACGTCAGATCCTATCGATGTCAAGACGAAACAGCTCCTCGACACCAACTCCCTCGTCGAGGAATTCATGCTTCTCGCCAACATTAGCGTTGCAGGCAAGATTTACGAGGCCTTCCCCCAGACCGCCATCCTCCGGCGCCACGGCGCGCCGCCCAAATCCAACTTTGACGAGCTCTCGAACCAGCTCAAGGTTAAGAGGGGCCTGGAGCTGCACGTTGTCTCATCACGCGCCTTGGCCGACAGCCTTGACGCGTGCGTCGACCCCAACGAGCCCTTCTTCAACACATTGGTCCGCGTCATGGCCACCCGGTGCATGATGAGCGCCGAGTATTTCTGCTCGGGCACGCAGTCGTACCCGGAGTTCCGGCACTACGGCCTCGCGTCCGAGATCTACACGCACTTCACGTCTCCGATCCGGCGGTACGCGGACCTGGTCGCCCACCGGCAGCTCGCGGCGGCGATCGAGTACGAGCCGGTGGCGCCCTCGGTGCGGAGCAGGGGCCGGCTCGAGGCGGTGTGCAAGAACATCAACGTGCGGCACCGCAACGCGCAGCTGGCCGGGCGGGCCTCGATCGCCTACTACGTCGGTCAGGCGGTCCGCGGCAGGGTTACCGAGGAGGACGGGTTCGTCATGAAGATCTTCAGCAACGGCTTCGTCGTCCTCGTGCCCCGCTTCGGCATCGAGAGCGTCATCCGGCTGCGGGACCTCGCCGACCCGGAGCCACAGGCCACGTACGACGCCGAGGACTACGTCCTGAGGACGTCCGGGAGCAGGGAGGTCAGCGTGGAGCTTTTCCAGAAGGTCAGGGTCAGGATCAGCGACCAGAAGGAGGAGTCTACGGGCAAGAGAACTGCTAAGATGGAGCTGGTTTCTGTATTTTGAAAAGACGGCATTCTAGATCCCCCTTCGGTATTACGGGGTCGGATATTCGAGATGGATCCATCTGGCTCAGGCCACGGCTAAATTGAGTCACCTAATTCGTGTCCACCCTCACAAGAAGAAACTTAATGCAACAAGGTGAATGCCATGCGGTGCATTCTGCTGATCCACTAGTATCATGCAGGCCACAGGTCTACCTCTGTTAGCACTATCCTGGTGGACATTTCACAAAGCACCACGTAGCTGACGGACCATTATACTGGACATGAAACGGTATGGATACCTCATGACCGAGACTCGGGTCCAGTTCACGCCAGGGCCACCTGCAATGCAATTTGGCCCTCGAACAGCTCTGAATCCTATTCCCTTCTCAGAAACCCACTTGGGCTCGATCCACCTACCTGGTTACAAGCCCGGACTCACGGTACCCTACGCCAGGAAAGTCAGTTCCGCCGAGCTGCTGAAGACTTGAAGAGCTACGTCCCGGTTGCCTGAGGTGCGAGAAGATTCACATCCCCAGTGAAAGATCAGTACTATGCTCTTATATCATTTCTGATTGTAGAATAAACGTTTGAGTATCACGTATCTGACTCCGAACGCCCAACGCACATAATGTGCCACAAAACCCTTCACATGACGAAGAGCGGGCCCTTCACCATCCACCCCCAAGTGTCCTTCTTTTTAGCCCTCCATCTCGACCTCCTTGACCGCAGACGCATCATCGTCACCCCAGAGCCCATCGAGTTTGAACTCGGCCACCCACTCCGTGACGATCTGCTTCTGGTCCGCAGCCGCATCCGCATGCGGCGCAGGAGCGGGCAGCTTGATCCCGGCGACAGGGGCGGCGCCGTCGGCTGACCGGGCCGCGGCAGCAACGGCCGGCGCGTCCACCCATCCCTGAATGCGGCCGTCCCGCCAGTCGGTGACGACGGTCATCGCCGCCGCCTGGATGTTGGGGACGCCTCCCCTGCCAAGGCGGCCGCGCTTGCGCGCGACCTGCACGAGGAAGTCCGTGGTCGCGTCCCCCGTGTCCGAGTTAGACAGCAGGGGAGGGAGGTCGTACGCGCCCATCAGCCTCTCCATCAGGGCGGGGGACGTGGACAGGCGCTTGAGCAGGAGCGTGACGGCCGGGACGGGGTCCTCGATGGCCTTGGGCGGGACGACGTTGAGGAGCACCAGGTGCGCGTGCGCCTCGGTCGGGTTCTTGGGCACGAACCCGGTCGGGGACACCTCGGACGTCGAGGGGAAGACGATACCGGGGGAGTCGAGCAGGGTCAACTTGCTGTCGATCTTGACGGATCGGATGGAGGTCGTCACGCCGGCCTCGGCGCCTGCCGGGCAGGCTGATCGCTGGCCCCGGCCGCCGCCTAGTCTTGAGAGCAGGGCGTTGATGACCGAGGACTTTCCGACGTTCGGGTAGCCAATGACACCGACCGAGATGGAGCGCTTGAGGTTGCGGGTTGCGGCAAAGGCCTTGAGGGAGCGGAACAGGGTAGCGCTGGTGCTCTGCACGGTTAAGTCGCGGTGGTTGAATGTGTGAGCGTTCGGCGCGGCGTTGGATGCGCGGATGGGAAGGGTGGGGAAGTATGTGCGCAGGTGCGCGAGCCAGGCCTTCAGAACTGGTGGCGGGATGAGATCGATCTTGTTGAGTACCAGGATCAGCCGCTTCCCGCCTGATGCTGCCAGCATGACAGCCTTCTCGACGTCCCTTGACCGTGTTCCCTCGGGGTCTCTCGCATCGAGAACATAGAGGATAACGTCGGCCTGCCCCACAACCTGCTTGAAAACCTTGTCGTAGGCTTTCCGAGAAGTTGGGTCACCTGCCACTCGGGTAGCTCCAGGGTGTTCGTCTTCTGAGTCGTCAGAATCGTCATCGGAGTCGTCGTCCATGTCGTCGTCACCACTCTGCAGCTCCCGCTCGTAGTCCTCGGCGGCCCGCCTCGCGCTCGCCAACAGTGCGGCCATGGGATTTGACTCGTCGACGTCGTCCTCGTCCATCACGTCGTCGTCCACCTCAACATCTTCATCCTCGAGGTCTTCCTCCATCAATTGCTCGCCATCATTGGCCTGTGCCACCTGGCCGGTCTTGGCGGCCTTGAGGGCCTCCTTGCGCTTTCGAGCCTCCTCCTCCTTCCGAGCCTTCTTCTCCTCAATCTCCTGCAGTAGCCTCTCCTTGTAAGGGAACAGGTTTGGGATACCCGGATCCTTCTTCAGTTTGGAGCGCCATTCTGGGTTCTTCTTGGCTTGCTTCCTGTCCTTTCGTTGTTTGGCGTGGGACTTCTTCTCGATCTTTGCCCGTAACCTCGTGGTGCCCCGCTTGGACTTGGGCTCTGCACGTGAGAGGTCAGCTGCATGGTCTTCACGCTCAAAAGCACTTTGCAAGTATTCTCACTCTTGGGTTTATTGATCGAACCAGCCATTTTGAGTTGGAGGCTGGTCAGCACTGAATTGGAAGGTTATGGTCACGGAGACTGACTGGGTGTGTTGGGATGCGACGAACTCGAGCAAAAGGCGATGAAAAGCGGCAGAATGCAGAAAATTCTCACCGCCCGATGTAATCGATTAGAACCCTAGCCCTCTTCGTCGGGGGTTTCGCCAGACCGGCAGCAAACCCGCCAGGTTTTTGAGGAGCCACTATTTCCCACCCATCCACCGAGCGCACTCCTAGCGTCGAACCTTCGGGGTTGATCTAACCTGATAATGAGTGGAGTTGATCAGGTAGGAAACACGCAACGCTAAAAGGAACATCTCTCAGGCAAGGGAAGCCTCTGCCAGACCACGGTGCCGGGAATCCATCCCATGGGGCGCTTAACTCAATCTGGTAGCTCCGATGGAGCCGCCGGCCACGCTCCGTCTGTCATCACGACAGCGGCCCAACACCTTGCTGGCCGCTGGCGTGTTTTATTCTTCAATTTTTGGAAATAGAGTCATAGCGATTCTTTCGGTCGCAAGTCTCTTGCGGGCTATATGTATATGTTTGGAATCCTTTCACTGTCGTTTCCTACCTCACTGCATCGTTGCAATAACAACCTCGGTCTCATTTTCCCAATTCTACAATGGCCTTCTCAGCCCCGCCCGTACGGGGCTCTTTCCGCGGCTTCCTATTCGACATGGATGTAGGTGATCTCATGATCTTCTCATCGTGTGTTCTCAGGCGTCTTTCAGGGCAATGTTCTGTACAGGAAGAATACTACAAACTGACCTCTGCGGCCACCTCAACGGCCACTTCTTGCAGAGATTTGTAGGCAGTTACTGACAAGGTCATAGGGCACAATTATAGACTCAACAAATGCGGTTGTGAAGCACTGGCATACGTAAGTTATACCCCAACGCGGTTACGATGTTCTGGACTACTTGGCCGCCCGCTGACAGACTGTCTGAAGTGTGGGAAAAGAAATCGGGGTTGCGCCAGAGGTCATCCTCGAGACGTCCCACGGCCGGAGAAGTATAGACATCCTCAAGATCTTGGCGCCTGAGAAGGCGAACTGGGAGTGTAAGTCTGACCATCCGAGGGACCTGTTCCCCCTTCCCACCGCAACGGCTGTTCTTGGCATGCAATCGGAGAAGCAAATCAGGTGGCTGTCAGGTCCAGTTCGGGATTTGAGGGCACTCAGAGTGGTTGGGAGTGGCCGGAGCTCCCCGGCTCCCAACCACTGGCCAGCTGTATTTGTCGGTACTCGTTCGGCAGGAATCTGCACATCAGGGGCTTGCAGACACCTGAGGGGAAGAGCTCGGGATGCGATGAATGCATGAAGCGTTGCTCTCAGCTGAGACTTCTCAACCACGAGACGACGTGTTCTTTGCATTCGCCTTTTCCACCTCTCCCACAGGACTTGATCCGATTTGCCAGGCAGGGACAGCCAGGACGGGCCGCTCATCCACTCGTCACATGGCACTGACCCTTTCCCCAGATGTCAAGCACATGGAGGGCCTCCTCCCACAATACCACGGCGAGGACGCATACGAGATCCCCGGAGCTCGTGCGCTGCTCAAAGAAATCGGCGATCATCACATCCCTTGGGCAATTGTCACATCGGGAACAGTCCCTCTCGTTACTGGATGGCTCAAGGTGCTCGGTCTGCCCAACCCAGAGCACCTGGTAACTGCAGAGAGCGTCCAGAATGGGTAACCATCCCCTTCCTGTGCTTCCCCTCCAGCCCCTGGCGTATCCCGAGCTCTTTCAGCGGCCCTGAAGAGGAAACGTGTTTCTAACATGAGAACCTAGGAAACCTGACCCAGCCTGCTATATACTGGGCCTGGAGCGGATCGGCCTGGCCGGTGCTAACGAGAACGCAAACGTACTCGTGCTGGAGGACTCCCCCGCGGGTATCAAGGCCGGCAAAGCGGCTGGATGCAAGGTCTTGGGACTCGTAACAAGGTATGTTCCTCCTCACCTCGTGTTGAATGGAAGCTGGGAAACGATTTGCATACTGACAAACGGCCCAGTCATACCGCAGAACAGGTCAAGGCCGCCGAACCAGACTGGATCGTCAAGGACCTGGACTCGGTCAGGATCGTCGGGGTCGAGGACGGACTGGTCACGTTGGAATTCTCGAACGGGCTGGCGGAGCTGCCCACGGAGAACGGCGTGGGCATGGGGCCCCAATGATCATCGGGACCTTTGCAGATATGCTTCGCACGGGGCCAGTACGGTGCACTGGAAAGAACTCACTATGATAGAACAGACATTTAGAGAAGCATTTTAGTTGCCAACTCGAGAGAGGAGACAGGCATGTCTTGCGGAAGGGAACCTGTAGCGAGATATCGTAATCTAACCTGCAGGATTGTGCATATCCCACTGGCCCATCCAACAACTCGTGATGTCCAAGCTATCTCGCATGAGCTTTCGAATTGTGTTTTCTTTGCGCTGCATGGCTGGCTGTCTTTGCTTTTGCGACGCAGTCAACTCCGAGGTGGTTCCGGTGGGAGACAAACCACCAGTGATCCGGGAAGCGTATCGTGGCTGGACCATGAATCATCATCCACGAGCTGGTTCGGCCCGTTGCCCGCATGACAAATTGCCAGAGACAGACGTCAACTTCTCCGTGTAAGTATCTCTGGGTGAGGGAGAGCCCCGCAAAGATCCACAACTACAACCAAGTGTCAAACAAGTCAGGAAATAGTGGATATTTGCGGGATGCGCTGCCGGTTGATTTGGCTCTTTGTCGGGCTCAGACACATAATTCGGATGGTAAGGGCTCACCACCGTTGTGACAAGCGACACCATGCTGCCGATGGCAATGTCTTCCTATGAACAACATGCTTGATGAAGATTCTGGCCCACATTGTGTAACGTCCCTCGATGCGGACCGAGCAAGCACCACACCGATATTGCAAGGTGAAAGCCGCCGAGCCGATTCGAGAGCAGGAACGGCATCCAGAAAAACATGAGAGTCTACGGTCATCACCGAAACCTACGGCTGGAACTATTCCGCCGTGGCCTGCGAGGCGGTTCTTGTTCAACGAGACGGATACCGAGTCCACGGTACGGGGGCGAGCACAGGACCGGTCACGGGAGACTACTTCCCGATGCTAGATGATCGAATTTCATCCTCAAAGTCTCAGACAAATATTTCCACCGCCGAGCAGAGATGGGCAATAACAAAGCTCATCCAGGCACCAACCCGGACGCCGATGACAGGGGGGTGGGCGAGGAGACAATAGGAGATTTTCTTCTCGAACCATTTCAAGCCCTATCCTTTACCGACCCACTGGATTGTGGCGGTGGGGACCTACAAGAAACTGCTCGCCATGGAGGGGGAGACCTCACCACCATCCTCCGTATAGATGGTTGCCTGTCTCAGCCACCAACTGCAAGGTCCCGACGGTTCGCGCAAGAATGGCATAGATTTTGTGTGGAAGCCCAGAGAATTCGCCTGCCCGGGGAATCCTCCGAGACAGCACAAGGCTTGGAACAGGGGAGTTCGGTGTCGTCGTGGATCCCTGCTTACCCTTCGCCCTGTGCCTCGTTACTGTCTGCCAGATGAGGCCGAACGGCGGCGGTTGTACGGTACGACGCAGGGAAAGCGACATAGTGACACCTGGGGCCGACACAATCGTCCACTGTCGGGATGGTCGCCGATTTGCGTAACCTATCTCGACATTTTAGGTCCCCGATGTGCCGTTGACACGAGGTGACGGGCTTCGGATGCGACGAGAGTTTCGCGCACTTTGATATCCATCCGGGCGGGCTCGACATCACTGAACTGTTTCCTGGTTTGGTTGGCGCTGCACAAACGATCGCCGCAAGGATGATCTGCTGATCCTTTTGCGGCAAGCTGAGGTCCCGGTTGACCTGGAGCCAATCGCTTCCGAGTCAGAGGTGTCAATCTGCAGGAGAACGCCCCTAATCGGATGTGTTGGACCAGTGGCGAGCTGGTGGCGTATGCAAGAAGCAAGGTAGGAAGACACTTCGCTATCCCGGGGCGCCCCTGCGAGGGCAACACTGTGCACCGAGGGAGGGGCTGAAAGATGATCCCAAGCGCCTGACCGCATGCTGTCTTGGTGGGCGACAACGCGCTGCAAAGCAGTCCTTAGAGCATGAGAAGCCCCGGCAGCACAGCGGGTTCTGCGAAGCCGCTCGCAACGTCAACCACACAAGGCGTGGCGCGTGGCAGAGATGGGCGGTAGAGGAGATGCGGTTGGCTGTCTGCGCCGAGGGTGACAGTGTCTGGTTGCAATGGCGATTTCCCGCCATTGCGCATGGGATCGTGGACGGGCAATCGCTGGGCCGCCGCCCCTGCTGACAACGTCGGTGATCGATCAGCTGTTGACTGTGCGGCCGTTGGCGTGGAATTCTGTATGCCATAGGCGTCAGGGGCCAGTCAGCTGGGAGCCGTGACGGCTGTGACGGCCGTGACGGTGTGTCTCTTGAGAGCCGCGCTGTGCAGCCCAACAAAGATAGGCCCGCGGGGGATAGAACGAGATGGGGGAGAGGCTAAAATGAGCGAGTGCCCGTGCACTCAGGGACGACTCCCTGACACTGCCCTAGCCAGGGAGCCCATGGCCTCCCCACACCGATCCCTGTTTGATGATCGAGGTATCCCTGGTACCGCTCTGGGCTGTGCTAGTCTCGAAAGGGTGGTGCAGTACGGGCTCGGTACATCTGCTCCTGGAGTCGGCGGCGGGCCAGCACGGCGCTGCCCGCAGCGCGCACTAGACACACGTGGCATGCCCGGTCATCAGGGACAGATTGATTTTCAATCTCCTGGGGCCCCCTGGTTTCGTCCGAACTCCATCTTCATCGTGCACGTGAATGACGACGGATCCTGGATGGGTGGAGACTCCAATCTTACCCCTGGTCAGTTGACTTTTCGTCATTGCCCTCGGCCAGATCGGCCAAACAAAGATCTTCGCGCACCGCAACTGTCGCATCGCACAAGGGAGAGACCTAAGGCGGCTGCTCGTCCCGATGAGCTCCTTGGAAGATCCGCAGTAGCGTGAAGAGCTGCCAGTGCGGAGCCCGTCCTCTCGACCACTGACTGCCCTGATGCATGGTAGACGGAGACGTACTGTGCACGGTGGATGGTCGGCCACGGCGAGTCCTCACTAGTCCTAGTTTGCAGCAACACCACAGTCTGGGCGGCAAGAACATGGGGTCGTGTCGTCGTCGCTGTTGGTGAAGGCCTAGGACGTAAGCCTTTATCCAGGCTCTCAGAGTCATGCTAGGACGCGAGTCCGGCTGCAGCCGAAGAAACAAGCTAAAACCCAACTGGGTTGTGCCTAGATTCATCAGACGAGGTCTCCATCTCTGACTGTGTTCGTTGTCGGCCGCCGGTATCTCTGCGCAGAGAGGCTTGCTTTCATTGGCCCACAACTGAGCAACTCTGACAGAAGATAAACTCGTTGCGAAGTCTGACATCCATCACCGTTCGTTTGGTGCTACTCTGCGGCATGCGCGCCGATGCAACTGCGAGGGATCATTCGGCATCTCGAACCATCAAGGCACTTTAGACCCGTGTGAGATTCTTAAAATGAAATGCACCGTTCACCACACCTTGCCTGCAGGAGCAAGGAACAAAAGGACGTGCTTGCTGTTCGCGACAGAACTGTTGACCCGACGGACCACAAGACGGTCACCCATGGAAGCCCACAGGTGCCCAATCAGGCTGGTAATGTGCCACAGCATGCAGAAGCCCGCATAAACTGCCCTGCAGGTTTCGAATCGGTTGGTGGAAAATCTATGGTAACACCGCTTGCCGCTCGCAAACAAGTCTCGATGGTCGAGGCAGAACTCATCTTGCGTTTGGTACATAAGACTCAAGGTAGATATCAAATTTGCTCAATAGTTTTCAAGAGTCTTGGGCAATGTGATTGTCAGTGCCAGGCCTTTGATCCCGAATAGAGATACAATGGCAGACTTGTAATGGCGGGCGGTGCTTGCCATCGTGGTTTCAGCTCAATACACCAAGCCGTGTAAAAAGCCGAAGGCTGTAGAAACAAGCCGCAGTGCAGAGTTGCATCGTAGGTCTGCTTGCATCCAGCCAGGGACTGCACGCTGGCCAAAAGTCTCTACGTTCTTGACCAGAGGCTCGAATTCTTAGTTTGCCACTTCGACGCCGGTAGGGAAAGCAACGCCGAATTGCCGGACAGACGTGAATGGCTGCCACTTGTGAGGGCTAACATGCCACTGACTTTGTCGGAGTCGGTGTGGAATTCGGCTTCTTGGAGCTCCTGGACACTGTCAGTAGAGCCTTACCAGGCCTTACCCGGGAGCTAGCCTTCAATGCCGGCCACCCCCCGGGGTTGGGCACAATGGTACGGTGACAACGAGCAGCAGGTGCACCGGAGAAGGTGGGACAAGCAGCTGCTGTACTGTCCTCGGCGCTATACAAGCCTGGTGGTCTTAGTAATTAGGTGGACGGTGCGAATCTGGTGCGGTGAGCGCTGTGAGTTTGAGGCTGAAAAGACGAGAACGGGATGTTTTGGTGTCTACGACACGCCTTCTTGCTTGCCCAAGCCGTACTACAGATGGCGAGAAGATGCTGTCAGTGGACCCCACCAGCAACAATCTTGCCCACCGAGTCGGACTCTCTGTGTGGGCGGCAGGAGGGGAAGATGTCCGCTCTAGGTGCCGTCGATTTCGCAGACACTCATCATCAGTTTGGTGGTCTGTCGGTCGCCCCTTCATACCTGACCTGCTCGGTCCTCATTGATGCGCACTGAGCAGCTCTGGAGCCCAATTCGAGATTTGAGGTCCGTACAAAACCACAGAAGACTGCACGCCCCCACAGACCACCGCAGCGACTGCGGTGGGTACAAGGCATGCATGCTGTACGGATACTGCGGTGGGCAGAGGCACTGGCACTGGCCGTCTCACGGCCCCCAGAGCTTGCAGATTGAAATTAGAGTTGACCCATAAATAGATCAGTCTTTCATGCAGAAGCACTGCAACCCTGCGGCAGGGACTGCACAGGCCAGCGCACCACTCCGAGTCCCCACAGGCTCCGAGTCGTCCAGTTGCGATGGATGGCCGGCAGCCCCACCAGTCCGTCAACAGGATTGAGATGTCTGGTTGCGTACACATACCCGCAAGGGACAATGACACATGCCGCGGGCGAAGGTGTGGTCCGTCGAGGGCCATGAATGGGGGCAGGTACCGTTTTTAGTAGCCATTGGGCGCGCAAGAGTGGCAGTGGCCCCTGCCCAAGGCTGATGGCGTTCGTCAGGAGCCTGGTGCAGGTGTGCAGGATGCAGGATGGGTCGTGTGTGTGTATGTGTGTGTGTCCACCGGACTGCCTACCGTGTGTATACGGTGCTGAGGAGAAGTGCTCCGCGACGAGATGATAGGGCAGACAGGCCGCGCTGGAGTTCATGCCGCTCAGCCGCTGTGGTTGGTCATGATGAGAAATGTGGGCAAGTGCGATCCAGTGTGGTGTGTGACCACGCATGGGCTACCTCTGAGCACTGTACGGTGACTCGGCGGCAGACTACATACTCACGTAGGCGACATTCTGGAGGATGGCGCGGGAGTGCTGGCGTGCACATGACATGGTATACGGTGCAGGAGTAGCCATCTTCTCCCGACGCTGCCCGTCCTGGGAGGCGAGCGGCTGGACTTGGACTACTGCTGCAGTCGCCGCGGGGGGGCGAGGGGCGGGTGAGGGGGCGGATCGCAAGGTGCCGAGGCGGTGGCATCGAAGGAGACAAGACCTGAAAAAAAAAAAAAAATTGGTACGAGGGGCTGTTTGTGTCGTCTTGCGTATGAGTGCCCCTGTGCTGCCCGTGGCTTCGACATGGCGCGTTAGGAAGATGAAAGATGGGTGAGGTCAGCACTGAGCAGCAAAGATGGGCAGTGGCGGAGGATGACGGGAGGGGAATGTCTGCAAAAAGAAATGGCCCGCGAGTGGGTGATGGGCGATGGGTGAGGTGAGGTGGGCCGTGGACTGGGACCTGAACCAGGACCTGAACCAGAGGGCAGGCGGGGCCAGCCCATTTCAATTGCCATCTTGGGATTCTGGGACTCAGGCACAAGGAGACGCCTACCATATCGGTAGAGCTCCCCCTGGCGACTCGTCCGCTTTCGGTACTTGTCTGTGCACAGTCGTATCCTTCCAACTCCCGACCTGGCCGCCAACAAAAAACACGTCGACGGCGACCCCACCATCATCACTCTACACGTATGCCATCCATGCATCGACGTGGACCGACCTGCCATCGATGCCACTGACACTGCCGTTGACCAAGGCGCCTGCCCGCTGCCCGCCTCCCACTCTCGAGTCTCGAGGCTACTGCGTAGTCGCTTCGGCCGGACGCCATGCAACGCCCCCTCCCCCCCGAGCGGCACGAGAGAATGCTTGATCAGCTCTCACATCCCGTCCCATCCGTCCCATCACATCCCAACTCTCACCCACCAACCCACCCGCTCGCATCTCACTGCACCCACCACACACGCCTGCTGGTACGGATGTTTATGACCAACGGCACAAAAGAAAGAGAGTGAGATTAGGAAGGAAGGAAGGGGGGAAAAATTACACGTGCCCGAGCCTTTGGGACGCGCCGAGTCGTTCCTGGCTCGATCGGACGCTTGCACGCCTGCATCCTGGGTCCCTGGCAGGCCTGGCAGGCCTGGCGGCTCTCGCTTAATTTACGGGCTACTTCCGCGCAGCTCGCTGGGCCGTCCCCAGCCCTCCTGTTCCAGATCCAGGCCCTCCTGGCGAGCTCCCAGGAAGATGACGACGGCCGGATACAGGTGCAGATTGCAGAGTGGCTCATGGGCAGCAACCTCGTGAAGCCGTGAGCTTGCACCCAGCTCTTCTTGGCCATGCCATCATGCCGTGCCGCGCCATGCCACGCCATGCCAGCAGCCCAGCAGGCGGCCAGCAGCCAGCTCAGCTCTCGTCACACAACGAGATCCCGAGAACTGGGGCCCACTATCTTGGCGTGCCCACTAGTCAAGATCCAGGAACGAGCGCTCCAGGGCAAGCACAAGTTGGGATGCCATGGCATGGGATTGCCCGTGCCCCTGACAAGCTGCTCCGAGTCCTGCGTACCCCGTCCGTACCGCCAGGTTACGCTGGACAGGTACCTGCTCCCCCTCCCCACCTGCGCACCACTGGCAGTGGAAAGCGCCGTGCCGCTGATCAAGCACCAGCCCAGAATGTCCTCCCTGCCGACCATCATCTATCTCATCTCGGCCGGGGCCACGGGGATGATGATGTGAACGAGATGGCGGATGCAACTAGCTGCACACCACCCACACACCCACCCGCACGCACGCACGCACGCACTCACTCACTCACTCGCTCACAGCACACACACCACCCACCCACCACAACCCACCGGCCACCAGGTTTACTTTGTCCTTCAGCTCCCACCCGCCGCTGCAGCCAGACACCCACAGCCCGCCCGCACTGCAGCACGCCGACGCCAGCGCCAGCGCCAGCGCCTTTTTGACGGAGACCTGGACCTGGACCTGGACCTGGACCTGGACCTCGACCTCGCCCTCATCAGCCCTCACCCTACGCTTTCCTCCACCCTTGCCTGCGCCCTCGCTGCGCTTTGAACCCACGCCCAGCTCCATCCCTCGACGCCCTTTAATCAAAGGTGCAAACTCGCGCGGTGTCTCCGTCATCATTGTATCTCTGGACTCGGGAGCGGAGAGCATCAAGTGTTGGCTGTGTTGATTGCCGCCTGTGTCAATGTGTTCATCCCATACCGTCATGCTGTGGCGGCAGCCGCATAGAATTAGCTGGTGATTGTATATGTGCACTCCAAGGTTTAGGTCCAAAACTCTATTACACAGACCTGACCAGACGTGCGAGGACAGCGCAGCGGGTTGCATGCGCAGTGCAACATCGAGCCGTCAAGTACAAGTTATGTACTGCACAGTACTGCACAGGTCAAGATGACTGGGATGACTTGGATGGGGACGACATCCTCGCTCCGAGACTTGGGGGGCCCACCGCCCAGTGGCCCCCCCTCCTCCTCCTCCTCCTTGCACCGGCTGTCTTACCCCTGTCCGGCCGACTGGACCCCAGCCAGACCGAACCCACTGAGATTGCCCGCTTCCACAGCCTCAGGGACCCCAGCTTGAGACCCAGCGCCACACCCAATCACAATTACGCCCGGGCACACAGCATCTCCGTAAAGTACTTCTCTCCCGCACCCTCCTCCTGCCTCCTTCACGTCCCTGTCTTGTCATCCCGCTTGGACGACTTCGGCTGGCCTTGTCTTACCCGTCGTCCTCGACCCTCACACCCTGAGCTTCTTGTTATCTCGCGCCGCCTCCATCTCTCCCCTCGATCCCTCTTCACCCGCCGACAGACCTCCTTTTCCTCATCCTCCTGTCCTGTTCCTCCTCCTCCTCCGTTAAATCAACACCGGGACTTTCAATTTCCATGCCGTGCTAGGCTGCCGGCGACTGTTGAATCACACTCTTTTTGCGAACATTGGAACTTTTCACGGTGAATTTGTGAGGTCGACCATTCAGCGGACTAAGATATCTCCTTCGGTTTCGAAGAATTCGCCAGCTGCCGCTCCTTCTTGATTGTTGGGTGCCCGTTCTCTCGTTCTACGCGCATTCCTTCTTAACAGCCACTGAAAATTTGGGATTGCCTCTGTCTTTCAAATTCTCATCCGCCGGACTTGCATCCACTCTTTCGCGCCAAGCACTCCGTCACCGTTGACAGTCCAGCCTGCCAGGATGGGGGACAGCAACTTCCAGCAATTGTTCCAGGAACAGACGAGTCATGACTATAACAGACGTGCTTCGTCGATGATGGACCCCAGGCAACAGCACTGTATGGAATCCTTGGCTGCCATGCAGCGTTACCAGACTCCTGTGACGATGTGGCAACAGGCGCAGTCTCAGCAACCCAATCTGGAAACCATGTCGATGTTGCAGCAGGTCCAGAGCCACCCACACAACCATGGGTTCCCCATGATGTTGCAATCCAACGGACAGCGATTCTACCAGCCCTCCATGAAAATGTTCCAGGCACTGCAACAGACTCAAGGCTCCCAACTCTACCATGCCACTATTGCATGCAGCAAGCGCTTCTCCGAGGAGGAAAAGCAGAAGCTCGAGAAGGTCTTTACAGACGAGACCCAGAAGCCAAGCACTAGCCGAAAACGCCAACTGGCGGAGGAACTGGGTTGTCCTGTCCCAAAAGTCAACGTATGTAGCAGCACACTCCCTGTCCACGCCATACGCTAACAACAGATGTCCTAGAACTGGTTCCAAAATCGGAGAGCCAGAGAGAAACAGGTGCACAGGGTTCAAGCGTACGAAGCCAGCAGGCAGCCGATTCAGCGTTGTCGGAGACCGACGTGGTTGATCATCAAGAGGATGAAAGCGAGCATGCTACCAGCAGCGAATTTTACAGCTTGAGCAACCGGAGCCAGCCTCTACAGCCCTCGTCGGCCCCGTTCTCTGACACCGATGACCTCCCGGAGCAGCATATTCCATCTCCCAACTCCGCGAGGGGCCAGGAAAGCGAGGATTGCGCCACCGACTCATCCGCCCCGAGTCCCGTCGCAGGTTACGGTGCATCACGAGAGGACGATGCCAGCAGAGATTTAGCCGGCGACAGCCACACCACCACCTCACAGCCTCAGCCCTTGCCGCCGAATCAGATAGATACCTTCTCTAACACTAGTGTCCCTCTGATCGCAGCGAGTTTTGAGAACCATGCTGGTAACTTCTCGTCCTCCCCTGATGCATACACGGATGCGCAGGATCAGATGTCTTTCCAGTCGCTTAATGGCCAATTCGCACCGGATTTCTCTTCTGCAGAAATGCATGGCCTGCCAATTTTCTCATCAGGCATCGAGCGATCGGACTCCTTCGCCTCGTCAGTATCGATCTTGACCCCGAGCACTGCGACATTCAGCACTGGCATGGCGAGCCACGACCACACTGGAGACCAATCGGGCACAGGAGAGTCGGACTTCTCCAGTGTGGAGACGTTGTCCCCAGACATGACCTCTGGAACCTCGCCAGCTCTCGAACAATCGGACTCGGCCGCTGATACTACGTTTACGCATCCAAGCATTGCGTCGCGGAGGAAGACCCGGCCGCCGCAGCGGTTGAACCAAACGGCCCTGCGCAACTATCCCAACGGACCAAAAACAGGAGTCGAGGGCTCCAAGCGATCTGACATGTACGGATCGATGAGGAGAGCTGCGTCGGCCAACGGGCCACTATCTGGCAAGATTTTCAAATCCGGTCCTCCTGTCTCACCTCTATCCCCTCGATCTTTCGACCCGAATTTCCTCGAGCAATTCGCCAGGAACTCGTCATTGACTGTCGCATCGAATACTTTCAAGGACGGATCTGACGGGTCCCCGGTCGGGTCGACTTTTGAGACGCAGTATCTATCAGCAGATGCTCCTCGTTTCAACTTCCAGAGATCTTCGGTTTCGATGAATGGCCTCAGGGAAAACGCAGCAGTCTCACCGAGCACGCCTGACTTTATGCGGGATATGGCGTATTCTGGTGTCCAGAAGCAGGGCTTCCAGTCCTTTCACCACCCCACCTTCACACTGGACACTGGCTACGGGAATACTTCCTCATCGGACGAGGCACTGGCCACTCCCAGTTTGTCTCAATTCGGGTCCGAGGTTGAATTTCCTACCTCGCTCTGTGCGCCGAGATACGTCGAAAGCGAACCGGCAACTCCTGCTGCCGTACAATCGCAGGCATTCCCAGCTTTCAAATTCGATTCGCCGCCACGAGGAGACATCTATCCTTGGTCAAGGTCGCCTGACCAAATCCCAATGTGGAAGGGATCCATCGCGCAGCTCAGCGAGCCTCAGTCACACAACTTCCAATTCCAGCCGAACATCACTCCACAAAACTTCCAATCCCCCGGGCAGGGTTGAGAGCGGTATATCAACCTCGCCTCTGGAAATACTGTATTTTTATAATGATCTAATGAATGGTCTGGCATTACCTGGAATGCCCCTGTGGATTGGGATAACCTCTTTCATTATATATCATCTTGTATCAACACCACACTGGGTCTCGCTCTTTTTTTATTATTATTTCGCATTGGATGGAAGCAGACAGTCACAGCGTCCTGGACGATACCCTCAAAAATTGCCTTAATAGCACACACTCCCTTAATATAATCCGACTGTGATAATGTGAGCCGTGGGCTCAGCTGGGCCGATGGATCACGAGGAGTAGGGCCTGGACGAGGGAACGGCGCGCGGGTAGGAACAACCGAAATCACCGGATGGACAAAAGGCGTAGGAAGGAAGCGACAGCGAAACTCTGACGGTCGAGGCAGTTCATGGCAGACGTAGCCAAATGAATAGACACGAGGCTTGTTGTACTCTTTTGCTTTCGTGATGCCGACACAGGATTGACTATGAGCGAAGTCAGCAAGAAGAGGTTGTTTTTGGCCTGGTTAATCAATTAGACTATGAGCCGCATTCCATGCACCGGATAAATGTGGCACGCGCCGTGCCGTTGAGTCTCACCCAACCGCATGCCATAGCAGTTTCCCGGTTCCGAGCCGATCCCTTGGTAGTCGATCACTTCAGCCTCGATGTCCTTTTCACAGTACCGCGCTTGGCAACACGATGGGGGCCAGCCTCGTGGATTGATGTGTGGCCGATGGCAAACCGTACTTTTGGCAGCACCGCGTAGAAGTAGCGCAAGAGGGAAGGTAGCGTGTTATGGCTACACTGCCATGGCGTATAGAGGCACGACATGTAGATGTGCAGTATGGCCCGAAATCATCGCAGCCACCGCGGGAGACACGGGGTGACACTTCTCAAATTTAGCCGCGGATCTGCCGACTGCTTCTCATGCAACCCCAGAGTCTTGCACGAGTGTCCCATCCCACAACAACGGAGATGTTCCCTGCAGCAAAGATGCTTAGTGGTTCATCCGACGGGCCCCATCCCCACATCTTCCACCATTCGGTCCGGCATGTTCCTGGATGGCCAAGGGGACTGGAGATGCGAGAAATCTTTGAGCGCATCACACGACAATGTGCCCTTGCTGGCAGGGTGCCTGGGTGCCCTGGGTGCCTGAGTGACACCATCTCGGCGCGACTGCCAGCGGTGTGACCTCGTTTGTCTCCTGAGCCTGGTCAGGACTGACTCGACCGCCACGGGGGCCTGTCGAGCTCTGCCCATTGCCGAAAAAGCTCTCAGGGTGGGCTTTTTCGGAAAAAGGTGCTGATCTGGAGCTGCCATTCCCTTGGCGCAGGTCCAGCGCCGAGGGATTGCCCACAAGGTTCACCCAAGCTCTAGCCCCAGATGCTAACTACATAGATCGTTCAGACGAACCACCTGGTCTGGAGGGGTTGCCGGTCCTCACGAGGAAACACACTACATCTGCGCACCGAGGGATCCCCCACGTTTTGCCCTCCTCCCCCCCCCCCAACTATCGACCGGGGGTGCCTTCTGCCGTACCAGAGTCTGGGGAAATGCACTCCGCGGTGCGGAGAAGGGCCACGCGTGTGGATCGGCGAACGGGGCGGCCATGCTAGACGGGCCGATTCTAGCAGGCCTGGGAGGGTCACCGGCTGGTACTACGGAGGAGAACGAAGGTCGCGACAGGCGTCATTCATCTTCCAACAGAGGGCCTTTGTCCCCAAAGGGATACCAACCCGGCAGATCCCACGGTAGTTGGCAGGGAGCAGGCGGACAGCCAAGCCTGCTGCCCAGGTGCGGGTGGAGATGTTCTCGTTTGACATCTGGGGACGGTGGTGGAAAACCCGGGATCGGTCGCCTCGATGAGGCCGTCCGTGATGTTATAATAATAAAGGAGAAGCCCGACCCAGGCTGCTGCTGCGGCGCCCTGTTGCCACAACCACCAGCAGTAGCAGGCCCTCCCTTGCGCCCAAATAACAAAAAGGCCGCTTCCTCGACTGTTGTCGCCAAGATGGCTTCCCTCGCGAAAACCCTCCTGGCTGGCTCGCTGTTCGCCTTCGCCTCCGTCCACGCCGGCGTCGCCTCGCACAGGGGCAGCTCCGGGGGCTCTCTGCTACGCGCCAGGTCGAGCCCCGTCGTCACCGTGAAGAATGGATCCTACGAGGGCGTCCACAGCTCCGAGTATGACCAGGACTTCTTCCTCGGCATGCGTTACTCCCAGGTACGCACGACATCTGTGACCCGCAGCTATGAAGTGTTGTTGTTGTTGTTGTTGTTGTGGTTCCTTTTCGCTGACGAGCACCGTTCGGACGTCCACAGCCAGCAGAGCGCTTCTCCCTCGCACAGCCCTTGAACTCGACCTGGAATGGGACCAAACCAGCTACATCCTATCCGGTGTCCTGCGTGGGCTATGGCGGCGACAACATCGGCTACGCAATGTCTGAGGACTGCTTGTTCTTGAACGTCATCCGGCCAGCTGGCATCGATGAGACGGCAGAGCTGCCGGTTGCAGTTTGGATCCACGGAGGTGGTCTGGTAATAAGTCCCATTCTCTGCAACTAGTGTACCGACTTTGGATGGCCGTGCTAACTTTCCTATCAGTACATGTCAGTAGCTTTCCCAGCCGGGTTCCCCATATCCTTGTGACGCATTCCCAGCATGCCTCGGAAGACACCAGGACAGGCTGTTTCTGGCCTTATTTCTACGGCATCACTTCTCTGGCTCGTCGCCATCGAGCGCGCACCGTGCTGACCAGACAATAGGGGCGGGAGCCAAGACAGGCGGTACAACCTATCCTTCATCGTCCAGAACTCGGTCGACCTCGGCACTCCCATGGTCGGGGTGAGCATTAACTACCGAGTGTCCGCGTTTGGGTTCCTGGCCGGCAGCGAGGCCCTCGAGGCCGGCATCGCCAACAACGGCTTCCGGGACCAGCGCCTCGCGCTGCAGTGGATCAACGAGAACGTGGCCAGCTTCGGCGGCGACCCGACAAAGGTGACCATCTGGGGCGAGAGTTCCGGCGCCGAGTCGGTCAGCGCGCAGGTCCTGGCTTACAATGGTGAGTCTTTCTTCCGCGTGGAGATTCCTTTTCCGGACCAGGCTGTGAGAGTTCATGTTTTGCTGATGGACCGTTCCGTGCACAGGTCGTGATGACGGGCTCTTCCGGGCTGCCATCGGGCAGTCCGGCTTCGGTGGCGTCCTGTCCAGGTTCCCGGGCGGTGCCAACAACACCGAGGCCATGGACGCGCTCTACAACCTGTTCGTGTCCAACACCTCTTGCGCGTCGACGGCAAACACCTCGGCCTCTCTCGGCTGCCTGCGGTCACTGCCCTTCGACGAGATCAACGCCGCGCTGAACGGCACCGAGGCTGCGCCGTGGCCTCCGATGCTTGATGGTGATTTCAGTGAGTACTTCCAAGCAGACGCATTTCCCAGTTCTGGCGGAGTCGAGATTGGACTGTCATCATGTGTGGTGTGAGAGACCAGCACAGCCTGGCGACCAAGTCTACGAATCTGGAATCAGTCACTGACCAGGCCTCAGTCGCGGACTTCCCCGTAAACCAGCTCAGCGACGGGCGATTCCCCAAGATCCCGATCCTGATCGGCACCAACACCGACGAAGGCTCCGCCTTCGGCCAGGGCAAGGGTCCCAACGGAACGGGCGTCAACACAGACGACGAGATGCGGTCGGCCGTCGAGGCGATCTTGGGCCCAGATGCCCCCACCCAGACGGGCAAGTCCCTTGACGAGCTGGCGGACGAGCTTTTGGCGCTGTACCCGGATGTCCAGGCCGTCGGTGTGCCGTCGCTCGACAAGCTCCCCGTGATCGTGGAGGGTGACTCGATTGCCACGGCACTGGGCCTTCAGTTCCGGAGGACGGGCGCCTTCTTTGGGGATTTGTAAGTCTTGGGCACTTTTCCCAGGTCATCTGAGTTGGCTGTGCTGGGATGCTGACTCCATGGGATAGTATGTTCCAGTACCTCCGACGCCGGGCGAACATCGCCTGGTCCAACGCGGGCCTGCCCTCCTACAGCTACGAGTTCAACGTCGTCAGCACCGGCGTACCGAGTAAGCAACCTAATCTCCTGGCAAACAGCCCGAAACCCCTACTAACAAAGACCGAAAAACAAGACTACATCGGAGCAACCCACTTCGCAGAGATAATGTTCGTCTTCGACAACGTCCTCGCGACGGGCTACGACAGCACCACCGTCCCCATCGCCGACGAGGCCCCCGTCTACGCGGCCCTCGCCAAGGGGATATCAAACGCGTGGGTCAACTTCGTCACGGGCCTCGACCCCAACGGCGCCGGGCTCGAGATCGACGGCGTGGCCGCATGGCCCGTCTACAACGCCACCGAGGGCGGCGGCGTCGGCAAGAACGTCTTCCTCGACACCAACGGGAGCTCCATCATCTGGGACTCGTACAGGGCCGAGGGCATCAACTGGATGATTGAGAACTCGCTGGCTGTGTTTGGGAACTGATGTGGGTCTTGAGAGAGAAAGTGGGGGGGGGGGGGGGGATGTATATACATACACATACGTGTGAGGTGCACATATCTTCTTTTCTGCTTGTGTAATTCTGTACGTATATACAGGCTCAATGAGCATGGATATTTATCGAACGAGGTAGACTGGTCCAGTGACATGAACCGCGGTTGTTGAGTGAGTGGAGGGCTTGTCCTCCTTCCCCAGTGACTGCTTGTGCAGCAGCGGGAACAGTCTACATACCAACCCGGTGACATAACAACGCTGCTCGCTCATGCGCTGCGTCGGTCAGCCCGGCCTTACAAACAACGAGTGATTATCGCTGGAGGTGTTGTCTGTCATGACTTGACAGGACCGCTTGCAACCATACTCGGACAGACGCGCAAAGCCGCATCTTATGTTCCGAGAGGGTATGAAACAGACAGAGAGACTGGCCAAAACCAATGGCTCATTTCCTTCCCTGCGGTACACCTAGCTAAGGGTGCGCATGCACCTATGCTCACAGGGAATGGGGGCGAAGAGAATCACTTCTTGGAAACCTACTTTGGGAAGCAGGGAAGCATGTGTTCAGTTAGGTATTATGATTTATTTATTCCCCAGCAAAGGACCCGGCAATAGTGTGACTGACGTTCCTCCGCCGCGCCGTCTCCGCAGACCCCGTGCAGCCCCCCTCCCTTTCCGCTAGCTGTGTATTTATGTATGAATGCGGCCGCAGATTTACTCCCAATAAAAGCCAAAAAGAATTCTATGCCGCCCGTATGTGAGGCACCTCCTTATTGTTGCCTATGTGATGATGGTCATTCGTTTCGTCATGATGGCCGTCAGTGATGAAGAAAATAAATCAAAAGTAAAAAAGCCCTGATGGAAGCGCGGAACCTTTCGCCACCCCAATAGAAACCCTAAGAGCTCTTGCAAGAAATCGAAGCTCTGATAGTATGAACACAGAACGCGCTGGCATGCAAGGAAAAAGTCAAGGCTGCGCTCATGAGAGACTCCAAAAACTCGCTGCTCAATGCTGTCCTTTGGTAAGTCGATCAGAAACACGACGCTCAGACGCGCTAGATCTGCCTGGCTCGGCAGCCGTGGGGGTTTGCGGAGTCATCTGTGAAGATTGTATGTACAGCCAATAACAGAGTGAAGATGAGTGCGGACGAGAAGTGGTGGTACAGAGGAATCATAGCGGGCAGGACCAAGCGATACCTATCTGCCATGGCGATCAGTAGAATCCGTCCGCACCGACGCTTGTTCTGCTGGACCCAGAGGTCGCAGTCGGCGTAGTCTGGGCCGAGGCGCTCGAGTCGCTAGGTGTCGAAGGCTCGACGACCCGGTTCCGGATGGTCATGATCCAGTCATGCTGCAGCAGTTCCACGGCGGTAGCCCTCTTCTTGGAGTCGCGGTAAAAGCAGCGCTTGAGGAAGTCAATGCCTTCTGGGCTGAGCTGATCTGGCGTCGGGAGCTGTGGCGGATTGCCCTGGGCGATGTTGTACATGATCGCCCACTCGTTGTCTAGGTTTGCCCAAGGACGTCGCCCTGTGGCCATCTCGAGAATGACGCAGCCGAGAGACCATATATCGACTGCTCCAAAGTGCCCTGGGTTTTCACCCTTGATGACCTCAGGAGACATGTACATCGGAGTGCCAGTCATGGACTTGTTGGGTTTCGTAGCTGAAATGTCTTGCATGAGTGTCCGTCCCTGGCGAGCGATTACTTTGGCTGCGCCAAAATCGACATATTTGATGATGCCGTTATGGTCGAGGAGTACGTCTGTAAGATCGATTAGCTTTGGTTCGCATGCGGAATTGAGAGTGCACAAACTCACTTTCTGGTTTAATGTCACGATGCGCGATCTTGATCTCATGAAGGTAAGCAAGGCCTTCGAGAAGCTGTAGCGCATAAACCATGATAACTTGTTCATCCTCGATGCGACCATGCTCGAGCAAGTTGGCAAGTGAGCCTCCAGAACAGAACTCCATGAAGATGTAGACCCTGTCTCTGTGGACCTCGATGCCGTAGTATGACACGACGTTGGGGTGGTCGACAGACTCAAGCACACGCATCTCGTCTTTGATCTGCGTAGCAATGGTAGGTATCAACTTCGGATCCTGCAACCTGATTTCCTTGACAGCCATCAAGTGCCCGGTGTCCAGGTTCATCGCCGCATAGACGTTGCCGAATGTTCCTCCGCCGACAAAGTGCCCTTGCTGCCACCTCATCGTGAAGTTAGTAGCAGTCGATGACAGGTACGCAAGAGACCGGTCCACCTCGTTCGAGGCCTCGAGCACGCGACCTAGGGCGGATCTTTCGGCTAGAATTTGTTTCCTCCCCTCATCGATCCTGGAGAGTTCTTGAAGACGGTGGTCTAGAACAAACTTGGAAGCAGTGCGATCATCGAGATTCTTGCCCTGGTCCAGCCTTCTGAATTGGCCCACGAGGGCCTCGAGCCGCTGTTTCTCCGCCTGGGCGGCAACGCTCGACCTCGCGCCCATGATGTCAAAGTGCGAGATAAGCAGAGACATGCAACCGGCGACCTTCTCTCGCAGTCTTGCATATTCCTCGTCTCCAAGTGCTAGAATATGCCTTCCACGGGTCATGCCCATGCTGAACTCGAGAGCCAGGACGGCCCACCGGAAGGTTTTCCGGTCAGAAGACACACAATCATCGCAGATGAAGCTCACCCAGTCCAAAGCAAGTTTGGTCAATTTGATGTTGTTCATCTGCCTGCGATTGCTGTCCATGAACAGTAGAGATCGCTGACCAAACTCTGTCGCGAAGATGAAACAGGTCTGGATGAGATCCTGCACCTCCATCCCCTTTGTCTGTGAGCGGATAGTCTCAACGCTGTCCATGAAGGTGTTGGAGAGCTTGTATGCCACTTTCTTGATGTCTCCCAGTTTTTGGTTGACTCTCTTGAGGTTCGAGCGTTGCTCGACAACAAGGTCCAGGTGCAAGTCGATGAGCTCCAGGAAAGCTTTCCTCGCATTCGTGAGTCGGTTCTGAGACCCCCCGGCAATGAGCCGCAGATGGCCGACCTTCAGATCCAGAGGCTCTTCCCGTACCGTCATGGATACCTTGGGTCCGTACCAGTGGGGTGCATTCTCGGCTCGGATCATTAGAATATATGGGTCCGTAGGATCTTCAGAGACATGCTCGTACGACGCAGTGCCAATGATAGACTGAATCTCCTCGTGACGGCCGTGTAACGAAGGCGAAGCGACCAGAATGACACCCTCATGTTCGATGCTTGCGGTGTAGATTTGGAAGTGGCCAGACTCTATCAGTCTTGCGAACAGAGTGTGAAGTCGATCCGGTCCAAACGCGATACTAAAGTCCGCAGCGTTTTCATAATTGCCGCTCAGCATTCTGGAGAAACGTTGCAGCATTCTTTGGCGAACTCGAACCGAGTCAAGGATCTGCTTGTACCTCTTGCTCATCTCGGCGGGGCTTTCTTTGGGCTTCCGTTGCAGCTCTCTTTCGAAGGTGTCGCTCAAGCGCCTGATTGCCTTGAAAGTCAGATTGCTGAACTGCTCAGCAACCTCGACGTCACCGTGATCCAGGTGACTCCCGATCTCATTGATAAATTCCCACTCCTGGAACAGAAGCTCAGCTTCCTTGAAGGTGTTCTTGTTGCCGCTCAGTTTCCAGTTGAGCATCTTGAAGTAATATTTCAAGGCGTCCAGGACAGCCTGGTCAAAAGCCTCGTCGATGCAAGGAGGCAGCTCCCAACCAGGCTCAGGCTGTGATATCCCCAGGTATTCAAGCTTGATGCCAATAGCCAGATTCAAGAGGACCTGGAATTGAGAAATCATCTGGTCCTGCAGCATTGGATTTTGCTGTGCTGATTCCTTCATCTTCTTCGCGTAGGCCAGGCGGACCTTGATGATTTCCTCGATCAGGCGGGAGGGAAAGCTGATCAAGGTTAGGAGATCCTCGATGTAAGGGGGCAGGTGCCGTTTTCTGAACGCCTCTGCGTTGTGGATAAGGGTTTCCTTGGCCTTGAGGATTACATTGGAGATGCCTCTCAGCATGCTGTTCCGCTTGCTCTTGAACCCACCAACGTCCTCCTCAATGTGGTCGTGTAGTGACTTGAGGCCGTCCTCCTTCAACAACTTATCGAGGAAAGAGGACTCGTCGCCAATAGCGTTGCCAATCGGAGATCGTTCTCTTGTTCGCAGGAAGTCCAGCTCGTCGTTGCCCACCCATCTTCTCAGGACAGTGAGCTCTGTGTTGATGAGTTCATTGACATTGTACCAGGAGGTGATGGCGTCGCAAGCCTCTGTGAATAGAGCGGATCTTGCAGAGGTGTGTGCCGCCAGCATGGCCTCTCGCGACGGATACAGGCCTTCCAGCCTCTCGATCTTCTCGACCATATCGCGGACTTGATCAGCCGGGGGCTTGCCCGCCTCGCTCTCCCCGGCTATCTGGAAGTTGATAATTTCCTCGATTGTTCGATCCATGGTGCCCCGAGCGTCTTCCACCATTCTGCGCTGAACGGGTAGATGCCTACCGCATATGCGGGCTCGTATACCGAGCCATAGCTCGGCCTTCTGCGCGGTCTTTCCAACCTCCTGCTCAGACGAGCCGATGAGACGCTTCTTCTCCTGTCGCACGACATCTCCGGTGAGGACAGCCGCGAGCATTCCATGCCATTCCAGTCTCTCCCTGTTGTCTGGGTCTCTAATGTCTTCCTCGGTCGGTTCCAGATCCTCGTCGTCGTCGCCCTCGAAAAGTCTCCTCGCGTCGTCGTCCTGCTCGGTGCTATACGGCGCTTCTGATCCAGGAGTCTCGCCCTCAGAATCACTGTCCGGGTCGCCCTGGGTGCCAAAGCTTATGGGGTCGAACTCGGAGGGGAACGGATAGTCTTGCTTTCTGGCGTTGTTAAGTCGCTGGACATATGCTCTTTCCTGGCGTGCGAAGGTCGAGTTGGAGGGCAAATTTCGTGACCTGGAGGCGGAGCGAGGATCAGGGTATCCCACGGGAGTAGGCTGCGGTCGGCGCACGGGTCTGTAGGTATTGGAAGGCTGCCTTGCCGGGCCGGTAGGTCGTTGGGGTCTCGTAGATGTGCCGTTGGAGTGGATGGGTCCTCCGTCTGTAGCTGAGCGATGGCGGCCAGCCGTGCCATTAGCCAATGAATCGGAAGCGACGGACGACATGGAGCCTGCAAGACCGGCCTGGTCGATGTAGTGGTGGAGGGTACCTAGTTCATCCTGGAGTTCGTAGTCGACGAAGCCATTGGGCTCTGGCCGTGACTCGCCTGAGGAGCCCGAGTCGCCGGAGTCGTTGGTGACGGCAAGTGGACGATAGCCCTTGGACATGGACGGGTCGACGTCGCCGTCGGAGAAGCGGACAGCCCTAGGCGAGGTCTCTGCCGACATTGTCGTGGCGATGAGCTGGTAGGCGTGAAGGGGACGTGCCGAGCTTGATCGTGGGATGCGCGCCCAGAGATAAAGGCACAGGTGAGGGCGGGGCAGGACCTTCCTTGTGGCAGTGCCTCAGACCTGGGGAGCAGGTGGTCCAAGGGGCAGACACGGCCGATGGCGACGATGCTCAACGGGACCCAGATGTGTCCATGAGGATGGGACGGGACGGGACGGGATCGTATTCGAATTGGCACAGGCGCAGTCTCTTGTGATAGACCTCGGTCGCTATAGGTGGTATGGCGTTCTAGACCGTGGGAGGGAATCCGTACCGAGCACGTAACATGGATTGACTGATGTCCAATCCCTGGCTGAGGCTTGAAAGCCGATGTTGCAAGGCTGAGGCGGACAAACTGTGGCGAGGAACTGAGTCGAGCAGACGGTCTGGACAGTGGCAACTTGGTAGCGTATTGAGGCCCCCCGGGGCGGCGCTGCTAACTGATCTGCAGGCCTGGCGGATCCGAGCGGGTGGTGTGGTGTGGCTTGTTCTCCCCAAAGGTCGTGCTGTAACCTGTAACAGTGCTGTAGTCTGAACCGTTCTCTCCCGGTTTTCTGGCTCAGGGTCACGGAGCCAAGGAAGGATCGCGCGGATGGAGCCAAAACAGGTTGAGAGGGAGAGACAGAGAGGACCAGAGAAAACAGTCTGAGAAAAAAAAAAGAAAAGAGAAGCGCCAACACGATACCGGGTGCAGGCGACGGGCTAGATTGGACCAAGTTGCACAATTTGATGCGAAGCACGCAGACTTAGACCAAATCAGCCGGGAAGAAGCGCTCAACCACAGGCGGGCGATGCTTGGATCTGATATTGGCAGAGCGATCGACCTCTGCAGTGCACGCATCTGCAATCCGCATCTGCTGGAGACTCCGGGGCTAATGAACAGCACCCCAACACAACAGCAGTGACCCCTACCTAGGTACCCTGGAAGACCTTGGACCACGCGCGAGGACGGGCCATTTCCCTGCGTGCACTCACCTGCACTTGACCCATTTTACGTTGTTTGAGGTTACTGTGTAGTTGGATCCAGTTTGGATCCAGAACTGTCGACTGCCAGCCAGCAGAGGTTTTTCTGCATGCCGAGGCGCCCATACCCGCCCAGCCCGTCCAGCCCGCCCGTGGTCATGCCATTCTGAGCACGCGGCGGCGCCTGAAGCCTCACGACACTCACGATACAGACCACATGCCAACTGATGCATAGATCGGTCCATTCTCCCGACAATAGCCTATTAGAATACCCACCCAGCCATGTGCCTAGGTAGTCCTACTGTGTTGGTGGTCCATACGTGTGCAGGCTCGTAGGCAAGCAGCTGCGCGACCACGTTGAGGTCTCACCATTGTCTCGATGGCATCTGAGCCATGACATGACGATTCGCTGGTCGCAACCAAAGACAGGAGGCGGCGTCCCGTGATACTGGTGCTGTTGTGCTCTATCTCCACGTATGGGACATACTGCAAAGCTGGAAGCACCAGCGAATGGCTGGCATTGATGAGCGAGTGAGTTCAGACACACAGGCTGCGCGAACTTTCCGATTGCTGGCGGCGACGGCGACGACCTAAGCCCCCTGACCCTGACCCTGACCCTGGTGCTTCGGCCTGGCACCCATGCAGCAAGCATGCGTGCGGGTGTGGTACCCTTGTAACCTCGGCAGCTAGCCCAGCCTGTCTCGTCGTCCCCCGGTCTCCATAGGCCCGTCAAGCTCCGGCTGGCACACCGCGTCAGACCAGCCGACGCGTTCCCTGCTCAAGCCCGCCGTGAACAGTGCAATTGCCCAAGTGCATATGCCATGAGTGAGTGAGCCAACGAGCGATGAGCGTGCAGCTGCTTGTCATCAAGCGACGGCCGGCTGCTCTCCTCACTGCCCTCTCCTCTCTCTCGAAATCAATTCCATGGCCAGCCTCCAGCTGTCGCCAAAATGTCCGCAAGAGGTTCGGACGCGTCGCGTCCCCCTTCCAGATCCAAGTCTGCAGCCCTCTCTTCGTCCGCAGCCGGCTCACGCATCAGGTCCCAAGATGACGCCCTGCCGTCCAGTTCACACAAGAGGAAGCGTGATTGTCCTGCCTTCCCCCTGGAAGAACTGCTCAAACCAGCTATTACAATCAAGGTGTGTACCGCTCATCCAGTCGCTACCTCTGCGCGCGATCCAGACCAGTGCTGACCTTACCAACAGCCCCAATTCTCCCTAGGCTCTGAGTCCGTGAGACCTCCCGTGTTGAAGCCACTCATGTTGTTGTCCCGCGAGCATCTTGCCTTGTCCGCTCTGGACTTGTCCTCCCCCAATGGAGAGTTCCCAAGTGGCCCAGGCCGTTTCTTCGAGTCTCACATCCGAGTCTTGGATCTCGAGGGTCGCTTGCGCCAGGCACCAAGCGTACTCATCGCACGCTCAGACGCCACCCACAATGTCTATGCCATCGAACGCCACCAGACCGGCCTCTATGTTGTTTGTAAGCTCGGCGCTTGGGTTGCCATCGAGAAGCTCAGCCACCTTGCCGAGGCCTGTTATGAGCAACGCTGCCGTCCAGCCCAGGCCGCACACGCCAACGTGGCCGAAGCTCCTTCAACCACGCCCCAGTTGCACCACGAGAGCAAGAAGAAAAGGCTTGCCATAGAACAGATCCAATCCATGGTGCGAAAACGCCCAAGGACCGTCTCTACAACGCCCTGCGAGTCACAAGACCAGAGCCAGCCCCAGATTCAGGCAGTGACATATGCTGTTGCACATTCCCTGGAGGACCCCTTCCAAGCACAACCTCCCGGAGGTGGTGTGAGCGACCCGCCACCCAAAAGTTCCCAAGCCGCTGTAGCAGATTCAAATGCCGACATGCAGACTTCCGCCGAAGACATATTTCAGAATATCAGATCCCAGTATCTCGAGGCTCTTTATCATTCGAAGGTATGGGTATTCGAGCTCCCTTATTATCTGTTCGTTACTTACTGCGTCGCAGGGATCATTAGCGTATTTTGCAAAGGGGCCTCTATCTCGAGCACGCGCAGCCTTCCACCTGGACTGTGACGCAAACCTTGAGATGAATGACCTCGTCGAATTTTTGAAAAGCCTTACAATGTCGACGGTGCAGGTCGATAAGAAATTCCGCGAGACTTTGCCGGAGCTTGTTAAGGACATAAGACTCCTGGCCGAGAGCTGTGCCGAGGATGAACCAAAGAAGAAACGGAGAAAGTCCAAGAAGATGAAAATAGGCAAAGACGGACTCTATCCTGGCGAGGTCGATCATGTGAAGAGATGGTGGAGAACGCATCGGTCTCTCATACGTGATGGCGACGAAGCTATAATTAACCCTCAGGAGGTCAAATACCACATAACTTGCCTTCGGACTCGAGAAACGCAGCTGCAAATGATCCTCATCCTGGAAATACTTGCGTTAGAAGCTGTGCGTCCGGCCGAAGACGCACAAGACAGCCAGTTACCCGGGCTGCCCGTTGGGGATACGCCGAAGAAGACGGTCGAACCTGCCCCAAAGAAGCGCCAAAAGCACAACTTTTCAACACTGGTCGATATCCACGCCGACAGACTGTGCATCTGGCAGTCCACGACGCTGGACGAGATGGAAATGATAGCTGCCGAGTCACAAGCCAAGGACGGATCGGAAACACAGAAGTCAGGGAGGGCGAATTCGGACCCGCTGAAGGACTTTTGTGTAGACATTTTGCTGCCATTGTAAGTCAGCTACTTTGTACTTGGCTGCTGACGGAGAGCTGACTATTGCAGCTTCGCTGGCCGACTTCCTGAATTGTGCGAGTCCTTGAATCACAAACTCGGTGGCCCGGTCGTCGTGTCCCCCCCAAAGCCAAAGAAGCGTGCAGTTACAGCTGCTGCGAAGGCAACAGCAATTCCCGGATCTGTGGCCAAGAGACCGGTCTCAACCAGTGCGCCCAAGTCACTGGACAAGGTTTTCTCGCATGACCAACTGAGGCGGAAGGCATCTCGTAGGCCAACTGACGTCTTGGCAAGAATGAGATCCGCGACGCCCGCCACGATCCCTGGGCTGAAGCGTGAAGCAAGCGAGCCTGCTTCATTGAACACGATACCAAGCGGAGACAGGTCTTTGAAAGAAAGATCACGAAATGTCTTGTCCAGGAGTGTTTCGAGTCTCACTGCCGACGACTCGAAGGCTCAGAAGAAAGCGAAGATGGAAGCAGACCTGAAGGATGCTATCTCGGCCCTGAAGAAGCCTAACAGACAACTTGCGGGTAAAGCTATTGTCGAGGAAGCCGAGAAGCGAATAGGGTCATCGAGCTCGCCTCGTCCACGAAGTGAGCACTCTCGTAAGATGTGTGCCAGCCATGAAAATACTGACCTTGGACCAGAGCCGAAGAATCCCACACGCTTCAACGTCAAACCACAGACTCAAATTCAGGTCAAGGCTACTCCGGCCAACTACCGCTTCAAAGACGCTGTGTCAACATCAGACCAGCGCAGTTATGGTAGCTTCCACATTCCTGCACCAAGGATGGAGCTGCCACCGATTCCGTCAAGCTCCGTCATCCCGTCTACAGCACCTAGAAATGGCCTGCGAGATGGCCTCGAAGCATTCCATATTGCCAGCACACCTATTGCGAGCAAGTTGCAGGCAAATGCCGTGCCAGACTCGGCAGCACCTTCGAAACCGACAATGAACGATCCCTTCACGCAACCTTCTTCACCCCTGATGGCCAGAAGGGCTGCGCCAAACACCCAAAAACACCTTCAAATACCGAGTATTGACATCTCTCCATCATCTCCTACACTCCCTCGCCTGTTCGCGACACCTGTTAAGCAGAAATCCTCGGCCAACATGGCCTTTGTTGACGAAATCGTCACCTCTACTCCTCCTGGACCTCGACAGACAGCTACTCTGTTTGTCACTCCCGCTAAGAAAGCTCCCACTTCTGCACCTCCCGCGGCAGAACAACCCAATGAACCCAGCAACAAACCGGCACTGACTATCTACCAGCAGCTGGGCTGGGATGATTACGACGTTGATGACCTTGCATGATGAACCAAAACAGAAATAGAGCGCACACATTCTCCGGCGTTTCGGCTTGCTCGGCTACGAACACTTCTGGCACAATGATGTCTCGAAAAGTACCGGAAAAAAATTGAATGAGGCCCTCCGTTGCCCGTCCCAGAGTTACCAGTCACCGCAACATCGGATCCTATTGCTTTTTTGGGCCACAATTAGAGAGCGCGACAGCGCAATGACGACGAAATACCTCGGACTGTCGAGCACACATCCGGCACGAATGATTGCCATTGATTTCCAACAAGGCTCGAAACTACCGGCGCAACATATTCAGAGAGTGTAGCACAAATTTGAGCATAGCACTGTATGGAGCTTGGATAGGATACTAAAGGAGGTAGGAGAGCAAATCTCCTGCTGTCAGGATCGAGTCTGATTCTGGCCGGCTTTCGGAGGACCTAACATCTATCTGTTGTCGGCATACCCAGACCACAAGCACAGATAGCGGTCCTATGGTTGGAGTTTTTGGGACAGTCCAGCATCTTGCATTGCATTGGGTGGTTAGTGGTCGTACTTTCATGGCCCTTCGCTTTGTCGCATAACGGCAGCATGGCACAACTATGTTGCCCCTGATGGCTCACAGCACACATAAAGTACATTGGATCAAATAGATACCCTTGGCATCAATATCGGAGTTAGTACAGAGGCGCAGGGGTTGTAACAAAACACACTACCACAATTTCAGGCTTACAGTTGGAATTCTATGTGACGTAGAACATATGCATGATATGATTTGAATGTGCCTAAACTATTCGCTCTTTGTAATGAGGCACTGTGCCTCCAGGCACCTCTATCAGTCTTTCCGCTTCTCAACAACCATAACCGGCAGATCTCTAATGTCAACATGCTCCTGGTTTCCCAGATCTACCACCCGGATGCACTCTACACCCACAATCCCCTCCTTCAGCGCCAGGAAGCGCAGCTCGACGACATGGCACGCGTTCGGCGCCAAGGGTCCCACGCGCACGTCCGCGGAGAGACAGACGACCTCGGTGCTGTCCACCAGGCTGCTCCTCTGCATGGCGTGCACGATGTTCTCGTCCAGCACCGCATCCGCGATCTCCGCCTCCGGGCCCTCGCCGATAGCAGCGGCGATGGCGGACTTGCGCCGCGCCAGGAGGTGGTCTCGCCCGGCTGTCGACGGCGGCCGTATCACGCGCATGTCGTTCCTGCGCCGTCTGGGGATGGCGAGGAGAGCCAGTTTGCGCGCTGCTGGGATGGCTTCTGACGGAGGTTTGGCAGGGTTGAGTACGGCAGAGTTGCGGTTGACGACGAAGACGTTCCAGACGAACTCGTCGCCCGGGTATATTGGCCCGTCGGGTGCGGTGAAGGTCATGGTTATCCCGAATTCTGGGATGTTGGCCTCAATTGAGCGCTCTGCAAGAGCTTCGAGACCGGGCAGGGAATCAGGTCTGGACACCGAGGGCGAGACGAAGCTTGTGCCGTCGCTGATGGAGAGTTGGGCCGGCTTGTGGGACCGCTGAAAAGGCTTGTTGACGCCCGAGCCGAAGCCAGGGTTGACAGGAAGGGTGAAGTCCAGAATTGTAGACCATGCCATGCACAGCTTGGGATTGCAAACCCCAGCGCGAACGAGAGCGGTACACTCTATAGATATGTGGAGTTCGCGCGTCGGGGTTCTGGATGGTACATCGCTTTCCTGGGGCGCAAGCCGATACATGAGGGTGATGTGATCATGTGCCACACAGTTGAGAGGGAGTGACAGGCCAGATATACTGTTGAGATCTTCGATTTGACCCTCCGGCATGGAGAGTTCGACCTTGTCCACGGCCACCTCGCAGTCGAAGTAAGGGGTGAAGTCGATCTCCAGTAGGGCTATTATGGCGGGACTGGGTGGTATGGTGTTGGGCCGTGCAAAGCGCACGCGAGTATGTGCAGCTGGGTAAATCTGCTGAGAGATCCTGGGCTGGCCCCTGAGGATTGGGAATGAGTCCTTGGACTGAGTGACTGGTGCAACACGAGATACTCGCACAGCAGACAACTGAGGCTTGACGCCACCTAAGAGAGGATCTCCGGCAAATGACCCGAGCAAGTTAAGCCCAGAGGGTACGCCACTCTCCAGGTAGCCGTCCTGCTGCCCACCAGACTGTTCTGGGCTGGGCTTCAAGCTTGCAGTGGCCGAGAAGACAACAGAGGGCCCGTATAGCCGCATTCGCGGTCGCGTCAGGAAAGCCGACGCTTTCCACACGATATGTTTGGTTCCCGTCGCTGTGCCATCATCGTCGTCACCTGCTTGTGCAGTGTCCACGACTGTCAAGGGATTTGCGACATCTTCGACGTCCCCATTGTATACCACCTCCGAGGCAGGCGCAAGTTCGGCGCGGTCTGTCGCAGGACTGTTTACTATTTGCGCCTGGAGAGACAGCACAAGTCTCTTCAGGTATGACTGTAATAAATTGTCGGTCAGGTTGTGGGTGCGAAGTATCAAGAAGACCTCGACAGTTTCATCTGACATCTACGAATGAGTATTGTGAGACAGGAACTTCGGGGGATGATCGGCTGGGAGAGGTCCTCACCGAAGAAGAGCCATGGCCGATTCTCCAGATCCTCCAATGGCTGTCCCTTAGCAATGGCGGCCCTGACCTCCTCCTCGATGTTGATATCTGTCCTGAAAGGGACCGTGTAGGTCAAGAATGATTGCTCGAGGAAAGCTGTGTCTTCTTCTCCTGAAGCAGTGTCTCCGTCGCTGGAGTGGGTAGGGACTGCCATCTTGCAGTACACCAGGTAGGTTCAAGCGCTTACAGCATCGTCTAAGGGGCCGACTTGCTGATAAAGAAGGGTGAGGAGCCTTAGTCCACCACGTACGTTTCCGCTCGACTGTCGTGACTTTGTCTGATGTTCCAGATCGAGAGGCGCATCGAACACGGTCCAGGGTCCATCCAGCATTGATGAGGTAACGCTGGAGCTTCCCAGGGGTGAGCAGCGGGGCCTGGATCGAGCAAAGCTAGGTACCTATGTACCTGGGAACCTGACGGGTGGATCTGGGAACGGTAGCTCCTTCCAAATGGCCCGTGCACCCCCAGCCTTTCCTTGGATGAATTTGCCTGCGACTTTTATTTTGCATCGCGACTCGTCTTCCCCCAACCCTTTGGATCCCAGAGGTGTCGGCTTCTCCTGGCTGTCACTTTGTTCGTCCTTTCTGCATTCTGTCCTCCTTGAACTAGAGGTGAACGCTAGTTCTTTTTCTGGCTGGCTTCACTTGCCCGATAACCCTTTCAGGGGCGAACGCGGTACGCGCTGCTGAGAATGAACGGCCTGAACGGACAGTTTCCCCAGCCGGGGGCTGCCGTCTGGCAGGAACATCGCACGCCCGATGGTCGCGCGTATTATTACAATGCAGCTACCAAGGTGACGCAATGGACCAAGCCAGAGGAGATGATGAGTCCGGCAGAGGTAGGTCTATTTCGACGATGGCCCAGGGACTTCTTACCTTTGCTAACTTCAGTGCAGCGTGCGCTCGCGAACCAGCCGTGGAAAGAATATACCGCCGAGGGTGGTAGGAAGTATTGGTACAACACCGATACCAAGACGAGCTCATGGGAGATGCCGGATGTCTACAAACGCGCCCTTGGGGCCACATCCGCCGGCACGCCGACGACGCCTGCCACCCCGAGCGCTTTCCCGACACCTGGCCCAACAGGCGGCCAGAGCTTCGATCAGTCTCGAGACTCTCGCGACTCTCGCGAGCCAATCGGTGAATCGCGACAGCTGACCTTTGGCAACGATATGCGAGCCCAACAATTTGTCCCTGCGAGCAACGACCCGGAATACGCCACGGCTGAAGAAGCTGAGGCCGCTTTTGTGAAACTTCTGAAACGCAACAATGTTCAGCCCGACTGGACATGGGAGCAGACTCTTCGAGCAATAGTGAAGGACCCTCAGTACCGTGCGATTAGGGACCCCAGGGACAGGAAGGTCGCCTTCGAGAAGTACTGTCAAGACGTTATATCGCAAGACAAGGAGCGAGCTAAAGAAAGACTGACAAAGCTCCGTGCTGACTTTGCTACCATGCTCAAGAGTCACCCCGAGATCAAACACTACACCAGGTGGAAGACAGCTCGGCCGATGATCGAGGGCGAGACAATTTTTCGCTCTACCAGCAATGAGGAAGAACGTCGCCATCTCTTTGAAGACTACATCATTGAGCTTAAGAAGCGGCACAGGGAAGAGCAGACAGCTCTGCGCAAAAGCGCCATGGACGGGCTGATCGATCTCCTCCCTAAGCTGAATTTGGAACCATACACTCGATGGTCCGAGGCCCAAGAAATCATCTCCGGCACCCAACCGTTTCAGAGTGACGAGAAGTATCAATCCCTGAGCAAGTTCGATATCTTGAGCGTTTTCCAGAACCATATGAAGGCAGTGGAACGCACTTTCAACGACAACAGACAGGCCCAAAAGTCGAAGAAATTCCGCAAAGAGCGCCAGAACCGGGATGCCTTTTTGAGTCTGCTAAGCGAGCTGAAGAACGATGGCAAAATCAAGGCGGGTACGAAATGGAAACAAATTTTCCCGTTGGTCGAGAACGATGCAAGTTATACAGCCATGATCGGCCAGAATGGATCTACTCCGCAGGAGCTATTCTGGGATGTGGTAGAGGAAGAGGAGCGAGGGCTCCGAGGCACTCGCAACGATGTGATGGATGTGCTTCATGTGAGTTGCCTGGAATCTCACGTGCAGCTCAAGTATTAACAGCTCCACAGGACAAGCGATTCGAGGTCACCCCCAAGACAGACTTCCAAGATTTCCTTGCGGTGTTGAAAGAAGACCGTCGTACTGCTAACATTGATCGAGACATACTGAAGTTCATCTTTGAACGGGTAAGGTCCCTTGTCTCTAGTACTGTCGGCCCCCGCCCGCTAACAAGAACCTTGTAGCTTCAGGAACGCAGAGCGAAGCCGCCGGAGGAGGACCGACACTCCGAACGCCAACAACGCCGAGCCGTCGATGACCTGCGCTCGTACATGAAGCGTTTGGACCCCCCAATCACATTGAGTGACACTTACGAGAAAGTCAAGTTGCGTCTCCAGAAGACGCCTGAATTCCAGGCAGTGACTACTGAGGAGGGACACCGCAGCGCGTTTGATAAGCATATGCGGCGTCTACGAGAGAAGGAAGAAGATCTCGAAAAGGATAGACGCCGCCGTGATCGATCGCGCGATCGCTATCGGGAGCGAGAGAGAGAGCGAAGCAGAGACAGAGGTGAGAGATCTCATCGCGGTGGGCGAACGCCCCGCAGGTCCAGTCGTAGCCCAGAGCCAGACCTCTACGAAGCCGACCGCCGCAAGGCCATTGCCGAGAGGGAGCGTAACTATCGCAAGTCGAGCATGGCCGAGACCTTGTTGTCAGATCGTAGGTCGTCAGACGGACATGATCTTCATCGGGACAGAGACAGAGACAGGGACAGAGAACGTGATCGCGATCGAGAACGAGACCGCTATAGGGATCGCGAGCGAGACCGGGACCGGGAACGGGATCGTTACCGCGACGAGGATCGCCCCCCTCGCTCTCGCCGTGACGACCCGCTTGACCGTTATGAGCGCGAGCGCCGCGACCGCGAAGAGGAGCGTGAGCGCTCCTATCGTCGCCGTGTCGTCGAAAAGGATGTCGATGACCTGAACTACGACGAGAAGCCATCAAGTGTGAGGAGGCGCCGTGCCGACGACGACGATGAGCGTCGTCCAGACTCCAGGGACTCCAAGGTACGTGTCACCGGAAAACCTATGTCCTCGCTATGACTAACCGCGACCGCAGAGACTGAAGAGAGACATTTCACCTCGTGAGCGTACCCCCCGTCGTGATGGTCGTCTGAAGACTAGGTCTCCGCAACCGCCCGCGATACCCAAGGAAGAGCCTGCGGGCGTGCATTCCGGCAGCGAAGAAGGCGAGATCGAGGAGGACTAAAGCCTCCCCAACGAGCGTCGCCGACTCGAAGTGCCTTCGACAGGGAGGGGCCGGGCAAATCCTTCAGGGGCTAGATGGATACTTGCCACTTGAGAGGGACAGACACCATGTCGCCACCAGTACGTACGGCAATCATTTCCGACTCACTGCTCTGGTGGGCAAGATGACCGCTCCGGACCAGCAGACAATTGCTCAGCCTCGCCCCTGGCAGGCGAGAGCCTCACACGCGCGCCCCTGCCACTCTTGTAAGCTGGCTGGGTCCATTCTGGACCGAGACCCTCTAAAGTCGAGATACCGGCGCTCGGGTTTCATTCTACAGTTCTCATTATTTTGCGCCCATGACCTCGAGCAATGGCAACCGAGGCAATTGTTGCCTAGCCGTGTACGTTACTTATTCCCAGCACACCTCACCGACTTCAGAACTCCTCCAACACATGTGCCAAACATAGACAAGCTCTGACTCTGGCGGTCGGTTGTTTTTCCTACTGTATTGTGGTAGATTGGTCACTTCAATATTAATCATGCAGCTCAAATCATTGTGTTTCTCTTCAATTGACGTGTTTGTATCTTGTCATACTGGTAAACTCTGTATATGGGATTTTTATCCACAGTTGTCACGCATGCTACATTTGTGTGAATGTAGCCTTGACGGCAGTCACCCTCTTGACCCACTGCCCCTCTATCCACGACGGTGGTTGCTGGTATCGCTCTTTCTATACCACCTCGCACGGGTCAGGATTGACGCATGCGAGGAAAGAATAGAGGAATCGGACCTCGAGCTGGCCGAGCCGTACCATGCACCCGTCGTGGGACCAGGCAACAGGGGATAGACTGCCGTCGCCATCGTCAGATGTCAGGATCGTCATTCTCATCTGGGCCGCCCTCCTCTAAGCCCAATTCACCAGTGGAGCCATCCGCCCGGCCCACGCCTTTCTTTTGGACGCCTAGAACGCCTGGACCCGATGCATGCTTGTGATTATGTGGTGGTGGGAACGTGTCCTTGTTCTTGTTTGGAGTGAATCTTTCAGGCATTCGTCTTCTCCGGATCCTCGAGGAAGAAATAGTTCCCGTTCAGCTTCTGCTCCTGGTCGAGTTGAGAGCCGCCCTTGTTGATGCGAGGGCGGTAGTTGACGGGATCACGGCGGAATGTGACATCCAGGTTCTTAAGGAAGGAGTTGCAACCTGTGAGCAAGGACTCGGGCGAGTTGGCATGAGCATTGATACCAGGTTGGCCGTCAAAGACAATGACGCGATCGGCGAGGTAGGTGGCCATGATGAAATCGTGCTCCACGATGAAAGCAGTCTTCTTGGCGTGCATGATGAATCGCTTGATGACGCGAGACGCGATGATACGTTGCTCCGAGTCGAGGTAGGCAGACGGCTCATCGATCACATAGATGTCGGCGGGGAGACCCAGGGCGAGAACAATGGCGACTCTCTGCAATTCACCACCGGACAAGTTCTTGACTTCCTGGTCGATGAAATCGTCACTGTGCCTTGGTCAGTTCTCATATTCTCGAAGGTGGAGCTCAGGGAAAATACTTACAGCTTGAGAGGCTTCACAACATCAGTCTGGAATTGTGGGGACAGGACTGTCACCGTTGATTAGCAAAACCGGCCAACCGTCTCAGTTTGGTTACACTTACATGATGCACGGATTTTCTTGAAGAACAGCTGTCGCACAGTTCCCTCGAACTTGGGAGTGATAGTCTGAGGCTTCATGCTGATTCTCATGTCCGGTACCTTTTGCGTTCCGTCGGGCTTGAGAGCACCGGCCAGCATCCGACAGAAGGTGGTCTTGCCAGTACCGTTCTCGCCCATCATGACAAGGATCTCCGAGTCGGTGAAGGAGCCGCCGTCAATCTTTAGCTTGAAGTTGCCCAAAGTCTTCTCCATCGCGGGATAGTTGAAGGCACGCGTCTGATCATTATCGAAGATATCTTGAGCTTCTGCGACCCGGAAGGTGAGAGACTCCTCGCGGAAACGCAAGTTCTCTGTCGGAATGTGACCATCCAGGAAAATGTTGATGCCTTCTCGGACACTGTGAGGAAGAGTGACGACACCGTAGACGGCGGGTTGACCGTAAAGGACGCAGACATAATCCGAAAGATAATCTAGCACACTCAGATCGTGCTCGACAACTGCACCGTGTTAGTAAAATGAAAGAGTAGTATGGCCAATCCGAAAGCTGTCAAGTTCCGGACGCATGTATATGCAGAAGAGACGAACCGATGATGTAGTTGTCGTGCTTTGACAGCGACCTGATCATCCTAGCAGCAGCCAGACGCTGCTTGACGTCGAGATATGAAGATGGCTCGTCAAACATGTAGACATCCTTGTTTTGCACCTGTTCCAAGACCACGTTTAGCAGGATACTGGGAGCACAGGCGAGCGACTGTCACTTACACAGGTAATACCGATGGCAAATCGCTGGAGCTCACCGCCAGACAGCAGGGGAACATCACGATCGTAAATGTGGCGCAGCTCAAGGACGTCCAGGACCTCCTCGAGGTTGTCAAGCTGCTTCGCCTTGTTGAGGAGGAACTTGACGGACTTCTCCGGGCCGCGAATGGCCTTGGGGAGCTGGTCGACATATTGCGGCTTCACCACGGAGGTCAGGTCGTCCTCCAGAAGCTTCGTGAAGTAGTTCTGGAGCTCAGAGCCCCTGAAGTACTTGATGACGTCCTCCCAGTCCGGCGGGTTGTCGAACCTGCCCAAGTTCGGCTTCAACTTTCCACTGAGGATCTTCAGCGCAGTGCTCTTTCCGATACCGTTTGTTCCAACGAGACCCAAAACGTTTCCCGGCCGCGGCATAGGCAGTCTGTGCAGCTTGAAGCTGTTGGCGGAGTATCGGTGGGTCACCTGGCTCTCGAGGTTCGTGGGCAGGTTGATGATGGTGATGGCGCTGAAAGGGCACTTCTTGGGGCAGATACCACATCCGATGCAGAGGGACTCAGAAATGAAGGCCAGTCGGGAGTCGGGGGCCACTTCAATGCCTGGAGTAGAGACACCCGTCAGCACACGGCACACTCTTACTCAGGAGCCCAGGACGGCATGGCAACTGACAGAGCTTTCCGCTTCGCACGACGGGACATGCCTTCTTGCATTCTTGTCGGCATTTCTAGTGATCTGAGTTAGCCGACCACGATTCCCTCACGTCCTGGTCCTAGGCTGTGTAGGCATGTAGGGGCGCACCTTTGGCTTGCACTATTGGGCGAGAAGATCTGTCGTCAGTTCAACAACCTCACTTGGATTACTAGCGGGGTAGCGGGGCAGTCGGGCGGACCTTGTCGCTGTTGACGATGGCGATACTAGAGGCAGCATCATGTCAGTCTTGTCCACTTGAAGCCAAGGTGCGCATCCAGCCGCGCTGTGGCTGCCTCTGCTGGCCTGCTCAGGAGTCGCCATACCGGGTGAGTTTGTCCGACATGTTGTTGGGTTGATGCCGCAGTCGTCGAGCTCGCTGAAAAGTTCTTGCTCCCAGAGGATCACGGTGCCGGTGATTTGTGGGATCGTTTGCGGCGTCGAGTACTCGCGAGAAAAGGAGGCGATATCTGTGAGGACCTTCCTGGAAACAATACGAGTGGGAATGGGGGTGGGAAAAGGAAACAAAGATGGTGGAATGGGGCGCGGTGAGAGACAGCAATCAACCCAGTGTACGGAAATCTGGCCAAGGTCTTTTTGCCAGCCAGATGGCTCACTGCCTGCGAATTTGTGGGCAGCGGGGTAAGAATGGCAGAAATGGTCATAAACAGGAGAGACTTGATAGGCTGAGCTGGGCCGGAGGGGGCCAGCATGTACTCTGGTACCTGGATTGACACCACAGATCAAGATCAGCATGGGGCCTGCCTGCCTGCCTGGGATTCACAGCCTTGTGAGCGGCTCTGTACGGAAGTGCTCCGTGGTCTACAACTAGCCCTCTCTACATGGGGGTGGGCAGCCGAAGCCAATGCTGACGTGGGCTGATGAGGTGTGAATAGTAGTCCAGTCTCTGAGTGACTCAGATCTGGATTTGCCTTTTTTTGTGAGCACGGGATAAACACCATTCGAAGCATACGCAAATATACATGTGTGAATATATTTTATATACCCACCTATAAGTAGTCCAGGTGGGCTGTGGGTTCTAGCTGCGAAGATATTGCTCCAACAAAGCTGAGGTTGTGTGGTCCCTCCAAATCCGGTGCAGCCCCAACTTCTGCTCCATCCTCCATTTCACATGGCACGGCAATGCTACGTGACAGATCATGACCAAGTATTCATGAAGCTGGCAAGGCTTGTAATCTTGCTAAATCATTTGCAGACCCCCGTTTCATGTGTCTGATCTGGCCTGCGTGGAATTCGAGTTGGCTGTGCCGCATTTCGATGGATAGGGGAGCACGCAAGTTGTTCTGAAATTAGAAAGGGTCAAAGCAGGATGTAACCTACCTAGGTAATGGCTTTGCAGCTGTGCGGCCCACTGCCTCACCTCTCCAGGCCATCCACATGTCGAAACTAAGCCATATGTCAAACATATAGCTCAGCAGTAGATATGAGGGCATGAATACCAATAAAGACGGTCGATAATCTACTCCTACTCATTGTTCCTACCTACTCAAGTACTCAGCAGTGGTCACAGTGGTGCCGTTAGCCAGTCTCTCTGCTGGTCTGCTGGTTTAAACAGCCACAGCAGTCCCTCATTCCTTTGTTGCATCTTTGAGCACGAACCCATGGTGCATATCTCACACACACAGACAACCTTACAGCTCAACTGCGTCACAAAATAGAGGCGACAGATGCTTCTCATTTATACACATATTCTATGTGCTCATATCCAGTAGAGGAAAGGCAAGACAGTGGGTCAATCTTTTGAGGCTATCGACATACCAACAGCCTACACACCTACTACGGCTCCTAGGGAGGCACTATCTGCTGAAGCACCTGAACCGGCCTGCAACCATGACTACTAGGGAGGCACACATGATGTTTGGTTCACGGAGCAGAGACCATAATACCCACTGACCTAGTCCACATACTATCCTGTCAATTGACGCCGGATCCCCAGAACTTACGTAGGTACCTGCCTAAGTGCTCAGTGCCTGCTTGTGAGAACCAACAACCACTGGGAAAGCAGCAGGAACTAGAGTATAGGTGGGTGGTAGCGAGCACTACCATCAGGGCACTAAGACGCTGGTGTAAACTGTTAGCACAGGAGCTCTGACCATCCCGGCACACTGCAGCCGCAGGCTGTCCAGGTGGCCTGGAAGGCCTTGGGAACCCGGCTTGGATTTTGCCCACTGCTCTGCACTCTCTCAAAATTGCCTGACCCGACCGACTCCTCCAGTTGCCCATCTTCTCACATCCACCCATGACATTGGGACTCCCACCCACGAGAGAGCTCCCCCAGTCCACAACACCATCCCATCCACTCTCCCGGACTCCAACACGCTCGTTCTGCTCTCGGCTCTCCTGCTGCCTGGGAGTCATCGGTTCATGACTTGTAAGTTCCTCCGTGCCTGTGCCGGTGGCTCTTTGCTGTGTTGTCCGCGTGTCGTTGCCTCGTGCCTCGCCATCCAAATCCGAATCGGCTCTGGGTGCATGACCCCTGATAGTCGCCCATATGCCGCTGTCTGAGGTCTCTGGCGCTTTGGCAATTGATGGATTCGCTTCTTGCTGATGATGCCGATGCGTCTAATGCCTCGGAACACCTGCCCTGCTTGCGAGGCGGCCTCAATTGCCCGCCATCATCCATCAGCCTCGTCTCCATCGCCTACCCCCCAGCGGATGCGACAAGCTCAACAGACGCATCGCACTCTGCTTTTCTCTCGCGGGAACACTCGCATCGCGGTCGCTTGTACTATCGCTGACGTGTCCTCTGGCCACGTCGCGCTCTCCTCCCCAGAAAACCCTGACTGACATCGTCGTCTTGCAGCAGGCAGCCTCTCCAGCCTCGGTGACCATGTCTGCTTCACCAGAATCTAGTCCGGCCAACGGACATGTGTCGCCCGTCGCAACATCCGTCGCCGTTCAGCTACTAGACCCAGAGCCCAGCGATAGCGATCTGTCCGACGTTCAGGCCCCCGACATCGCTTCTCCCTCCTCCGATTCTGTGAACAACTTCGACTCGACTGCTCGTGATGGTCGGGTTGATGATTTTGATGGGGCGTCTAGCCCTAGTGACAATGGGGCCTCCGATGATGCCGACTTTGATGAAGTGGCCGACAGTCCGGCCTCTCCTCGCAGCAATGACCCGGCTGAGGGTGCCGCCTCGGCTTCTGACGATTCCCGGACAGCCTCCAAGCGCAAAGCCGGCGGCAGCCTTGAGGAAGACTACATGAGGGAGAATCCTGAACTCTATGGCCTGAGACGAAGTGTAAGTCCCTCAATAGACCCATCACAGGTTGCTGTGCTGACCACACACCATAGTCCCGTCCACAACAGCGCAAGATGATCGTGAGTTGTCTCCGAATGGTTCGGTTGTCGCTCTAGCTAATGCGTCCTGTCATAGGTCGGTGCAGATGACGACGACTCAGAATCCGACTCCGTTGTCGTTCATCGGAGAGCTACCAAGAAGCGACGGACAGAAAGATCGTTACCTTGTAAGCTTCTTGCGACAGACAAACACGTACGCCTGCTTCTATGTCTAACATTTCTCCACTAGCCTCGAAGCGAGATACCCCCCTGCGGCATACGTCCGTCGATGATTCCGACTCCGACACCTATGGCGGTGCTCGGGCCCGAGCGATGCAAAAGAAGGCTCGTCGGCAGGCTGTGGCGCAACCCGCATTGGCTTTCGCCGAAAAGAGGTGGAACAGCCGGAGGGCTGCTCAGGTCACCGCGGGCGCTTACCAAGAGAGCGACGCCGAGCAAGATGACGACTCGGATGTCACTCCAGCCCATTGGGCAGGTGCCGAGGACGAGGACAACTCGCCCTACATTGAAAAGATCATTCGACACGAGTTGAAAGAAGGTGCCGAATGGAGTCCGGACCTGACCCGGCATGATTTCAAGTATTACATCAAATGGCAAGGCATGTCCCATTTGCATGACACGTGGGAAACCACCGCGAGTGTCGCCGGCTTCCGAGGCTATCGCCGGTTGGAGAACTACTACAGGAAGTTTGTCGAATTCGAACTGAGCATGCGATACGAAGACGACGACATCACCCCGGAACAAAGGGAGCAATACATCCTCGACCGTGAGCGCGAGAACGAGGCCCTCGAGGACTACACCAACGTCGAGCGCGTCGTAGCTGTGCGTGAGGGTGAAGAGGATACCGAATATCTGATCAAATGGAAGGGCCTACAATACGACGAGTGCACCTGGGAAACGTCTGCCGACGTAAGCGAGCGGGCGCAGGACAAGATCGACCAATTCATCGACCGAACACAAAGGAGCTGGGTGTCAGATCGGAAGGAGTCGAACCCCGACACGAGAGGCCGCATGACCAAGCTGGAGCAACAGCCTTCCTACATCACGAACGGGGAGTTGCGGGAGTTCCAGATGAAGGGCCTAAACTTCCTTGCACTCAACTGGACCCGTGGCAACAACGTCATCCTTGCCGATGAAATGGGCCTCGGAAAGACTGTCCAGAGCGTATCCTTTCTCAGCTGGCTGCGCAATGACCGCGACCAAGAAGGCCCATTCTTGGTGGTGGCCCCGCTCAGTGTTATTCCGGCCTGGTGCGATACCTTCAACCACTGGGCCCCCGACCTGAATTATGTTGTCTATCTCGGCCCCGAAGCCGCGCGCTCAACCATCCGTGAGCATGAGCTCATGGTCAACAACAATCCGAAGAAGACAAAATTCAATGTCCTTGTCACCTCTTACGACTACATTCTTCTTGACTCGGATTTCTTGAAAACCATCAAATGGCAAGTGCTCGCTGTCGACGAGGCTCATCGCTTGAAGAATCGGGAGTCCCAGCTTTACGCTAAGCTCGTGAGCTTCAACATTCCCTGCAAGGTTCTGATCACTGGCACGCCTATCCAGAACAATCTGGCCGAGCTGTCGGCTTTGCTGGACTTCCTCAACCCCGGCAAGGTCCTCATCGACGAGGAGCTAGAGCTCCTCGGACAGTCGGAGAAACCGGAAGTCGTCGTCGATGAGCAGAAGGACGAGGAGCAGCGCCGACAGACCCAGGAGAAGCTCGGTCAATTGCACAAGGCCATCGCTCCTTTCATCCTCCGTCGAACCAAAGAGACTGTCGAGTCCGACCTGCCGCCAAAGACAGAAAAGATTATCCGCGTGGAGCTCTCTGATGTCCAGCTGGATTACTACAAGAACATCCTGACACGCAACTATGCTGCCCTCAGGGATGCCAGCGGCCAAAAGCAGTCTCTGCTGAACATCATGATGGAGTTGAAGAAGATCAGCAACCACCCATATATGTTTCAAGGCGCCGAGGAACGGGTGTTGAATGGCAGTACGCGCCGCGAGGACCACATCAAGGGTCTTATCACGAGCAGTGGCAAAATGATGCTTCTTGACCAGCTGTTGACCAAACTCAAAAAGGACAACCACAGGGTACTGATTTTCAGTCAAATGGTCAAAATGCTGGATATACTTGGGGACTATCTGCGCATACGTGGCTACCCTTTCCAAAGACTCGATGGCACCATTCCTGCCGGACCCCGGCGCTTGGCCATCAACCACTTCAACTCTGAGGGCAGCGATGACTTCTGCTTCCTTCTCTCGACGCGAGCTGGTGGTCTTGGGATCAACTTGATGACTGCGGACACTGTGATCATCTACGACTCCGACTGGAATCCCCAAGCCGACCTTCAAGCCATGGCTCGAGCTCATCGTATCGGCCAGAAGAGACCTGTCAGTGTGTACCGGCTCGTCGCGAAGCAGACAATTGAAGAAGAAGTCGTCAAGAGGGCCCGCAACAAGCTTTTCTTGGAATATCTCACAATACAGGCAGGCGTCACCGACGAGGGCAAGGCCCTGCGTGAAAAGTTCCAGGAACGAGGGGTCATGGTGGACGAGGCCAAGACGTCCGAAGACATTCAGATGATCTTGAAGATGCGGTCTCAGAACCTATTTGAACAGTCCGGTAACCAAGAGAAGCTAGAGAAACTCGACATCGACGCCATTCTGGAGCAGGCAGAAGAGACCAAGACTGCCGTCGATGACAAGCTCAATCTTAGCACAGGAGGTATCGACTGGGACAACTGGATGCAGGTCACTGATGTCAAAGTTGACGAAATGGCGCTCGACTGGGATCAGATCATTCCTGCCGACCAGCTTGCCGTCATCAAGGCCGACGAGGAGAAGAAACAGAATGATGCGTATCTCGCCAAGGCGATGGAAGAAAACGCCCCTCGAAAAGCTACGTTAAAGGGCGTCAAGAAGGGGTCAGACGCTGACAGGGCCGACCGGCTGGCGAAGAAACGAGAGCGCGAGAGGCAAGAGCTCGAAGAACTCGAGGAACAGCGTGCTCTTCTGTCGGACCCAAGGCGGCCTCTGAACGAGAAGGAGACTCGCAATCTGATCCGAGCTTTCTTCCGATATGGCTCAATGGACGATCGCGGCGACGAAGTGGTCCACGAGGCTCGCTTGTCTGACCGTGACCGTGATTTTCTCCACGAGATCATTGGCGACCTCGTTAGAGACAGCCAGGCTGCTGTCGACATTAGTAACGAGAAAGTGCGCGAAGAAGAAGAACGGACGGGCAAGTCACTGGCCAAGAAGGACAAGAAGGCCGTGCTTGTTGATTTCGGGGAAGTCAGGAAGGTGAACGCCGAGACTGTTGTCGAGAGGCCCCCCCAACTCAAACTTCTCCGCAATGTGCTAGGCGAGCACGCTAATCCTCTCACTTTCCGCCTGCCAGAAGCTGCGAAGGCCGCACATTACACCTGCGAGTGGGGAGCTCGCGAAGATGGCATGCTCTTGATCGGCATCGACAGATACGGCTTCGGAGCGTGGACCCAAATCAGGGATGACGCCGAGCTACAGATGCAGGACAAGTTTTTCCTGGAAGAGCATCGCGTGGACAAGAAAGAGGAGCGCAAGAAGGGTGACGACAAGAGCATACAGTCACCAGGTGCCGTTCACCTGGTCCGCCGTTCCGAATACCTTCTCTCGGTCCTGATGGCAAAGTACTCCGACGATGCCGCGGCCAAGAAAGCTGTCGAAAATCACCATCGCAGCAAGAAGAACCTCGTCTTGAATGGGCATCGCCGCAGCGACGTTCATTCTGCTTCTGGATCTCCCGCCCCTCAACTCATCAAGAAATCCGGACACAACAGAGATCGTAACAGAGAGCGTCTGCATAGTGATCATCATAGGTCTCGTAGCATCGCCGACGAACGTGGGACTCCCCGCCCCGAGCACAAGAGGAAGCATACAGATGACTACGACGACCGCCACAGCAAGCATCGGCGTACGGACCATGCGCACGGCGATAACAGGCACAGTTCTCTTGACAAGCATGCCAAGGACGACAAGGCTCGTACGAAGCTGGATTCCGAGGCGCTCGATCGTCTCAACAGAAGACGTGAGGAGGCTGTCCAGCGGTTCAATCGCCTGATGGAGCTCGACGACAACAAGCTGGATGTTCAGGACAACGAACAGTTGATCTGGTCCTTGTTGAAGCCTGTACGTGGGAACTTCAAGCGTATTATGTATACGACACAGGATCATATTGCATCGGCCAAGGAGCGTGCCAAGATCATGGGTACTGAGCTCCGTCACATTGGAAATCACCTCACGGGTCTGAAGGATGCTGGACTCCCTGCGGAACAGCTTGATGGACTGATGCCCCAGTTCTGGTAGAGAACCCCGAACCCCCCAAAGAACGGAATTGTGTAGGAGGCTAACCGTGGCACAGGGATTTCCTCTCTACTGTCTGGCCCATTGGCGAGATTGAAGTGACGGGCGACAAGCTCGCCAAGATGTATCGCACACTCACAGACAAGGACAAGGGAAAGGACAAGAAAGAAGGCGGAGACAAAAAGTCGGCCAAGAGGCGCGACGATCTTGAAGACGGTGAGATCGACGATGAGGACGAAGCACATCGTCAAGCGCGCAGGGAGGCGCGTCGCGACCCCAGCGAAGACAGCCGCCGTGATTACCGGCGGGACGACTACAGACACCGTGCTTATGAGAACGGAGACCGCTTGAGCTTTAGGAAAGATCGGGATCGACCTCTGAGCGATCGAGGTCTCGCCGACCGTGGCAGGCCATCGTGGTCACCCCCGAACAACCAACATCGGCCCAGCCCGTACTAGAGACGCGGGCACTGCGAACCGCGAGAGGGCCTGCACCAAGATAAAAGTGGTATTATGCTGGCACTCGAGGATGTTTGGACGAGGTTCAACAATGTCGTGTCGGCACGCAAGCCCGGGTCAAACCACCTCCGAGGCTATCAGTTACTCTGATGTTGCGCACGAACACGAACATCTCGCATATTGTCGGCTCTCGAGCCTGTGGGCTAATGAACCAGAAGCATTGTTTAGGCGTACTGAGATGATGTCCGTTTTGGCGTTTTTCGGCTGTGAGGAGTTTATATAAACTAAGTCATACCCAGAGTCGCATGATTAGGCATACGGTTTTTACAAGCATGGCTTTTCTTTTCACAGACACATGGCCCGTCCTAGGAGGGGACAGTCACCCCCTTTGTTTGTCACCGGTGGCCGAGAAAAGATTTTGGTGGGTTCAGTCTGTATTGCTCCATAAAACATTAGATTCGGCTACAGGACTATGAAGTCTGCTCAAATCCGTGGAGCGAATGAGGCCGGGATTGTCGCCTGGCGTGTTCTCCTATGTCTATTACACGATAGACAAGACAAGCCTGGCTGTAGTTATCGGGGTGGTGGTGGGAGGGGGTTGCTATCAATAACTAGCCCTGACCAGGTTTAACTCTGGAACGGGGGCGTCGAATCAAAGACAAGTTGAGAGCAAACGGAAGCCTTCACTCTGGGGCCTGCGAAACACGTGACATGTATTGTGCGTAGGATGTGACCGGCCTGGCGCAAGGCACTTGCGCTTGTGGAGTCTGGCTGGATGCGAGGCAGGGGGGCATGGCCAGGCGCCTCGGGTACAGTACGGGGGATGGCAGTCCTCGAGGCGCAGCTGGCGACGGTTTGAGTTCACTGTCCCTGTAGAGGCCGGTTCGCTGCAGGTGCTCTGCTCTGACCCCGAGGTCAGATCCGCGCGCGCCCTCATTCTGATACAAATGCTCACACGCAGACACAAAACTCGGGCACAATGCACCATGAAAGAGCACAAAAGCCATTACTCGACTTGGATCTCATTTTACGAACACTGCGACAGCAAGTGTCCGTCCCTTTTTGGATCTATAGGTATACCATCAAAACTCCTAATGTGCTCGTGTATATTTTTCCCGTAGGCGGGACAGATCCGCCCGCATCAACAAACGCAACGCCTCGCTGGTAAGGCAAACCTCTCATTTCCCAACGTGTTTCGTTGCCCTTCCTGGGCACGACCCCTGATATGTTGGCGTCCTATGAACAGTAGCGATGTGTGTGGGGAAATTTTATACAATCCAAGGCTGCTTGGTGTTTGGCAGCGCAAACGCTGCCCGGCTACAACTGGATATCGCCCGCCAAATAGCCCGAATCGCAGGGATCAACCCGTTGGTCGAGTATTTAGGTTTGTTTCGTCAGATCTCGAGGCAGGAGGCTTCTTCGGCCGTACGGAGGCCCACGGAAACCACTGCTCTTCGGTAAGGTCTGCGGATGTCTGGCTGCTGAAGCTGAGCGACAGACCGAGGGCTGGGACTCTTGTGTCCTGTGCCGAATCGTGAACACCAGCCTCGCTGGACACCTGAGGGGCCGGGCGGGTTCGGGCTGAGGTATGGTTCACAGGGCCAGCGTCCAGCGCCCCTCTGTCTGGTCGGAGCAAAGCCTGGAAAGATTTCTAATCCATCAGGTTCTCCATTCCACGCGGCTTCGAGTTCGAGATGACCGATTTGTTGCCCTCCAGGTCGCTTATGGCACTGACAAAACTCAGCTCACTCGACGAGGCTCCGACATTGAGGTAGGGAAGCTTCCCGTGGTCCTGACCCTCTGGCCGCAGGGACGGGAGAGCGTTAGGCAGATTTCCCTTGTTGCCCAGTGGTGATGACATTCTTGGGGAAGGCGACTCGCTCTTGATTTGCTTCGCGAGCGCCTTGCTTGGCCTTCCAACCTTTGTGACAGTCTTGGTAGCCTTGAATGCTTGGGTGATTCCATTACTGGGCTTCGCATCTTTGGCCTTCTTGGGTTGTCGGGGCTTCCTCGGTTTCGTGGCTTTCGATGGCTTGCCTTCGCTCTCAGCAGCGACGGTTTGGCCACCAAAGCTGAGCGTGCTCTGCTTGACCTTGCCCTTTGGTAGTGGTTTGCGAGGTTGTGGCGTCCCCTGCCTGGGACTTGCACTCGGTGTTGGTAGTGCATCTTGAATCTTATCCACGAGTATGGACTTGATATCGGGTACGTCGCCTGGTCTGGATTCCGTATCGCTTGACTGATCAAAAGAGCGTTTCTTGTTGGCCAACAACACGTCGATCCTATCGCGGTTGCACCGTTCTTTGTACTCAACCTCTTTTTCAGCCGATCCGGAGACCATGTACTCTTCCTTCTTGCCGATATCTTCCATATCACAATCCCAATGGGGCAGGTTTAGGAGACCGGCGATGTCGTCGCATTTCCCGCGGACCACGAGATCCCACAGGTCCTTCATGTCCGGGGCTTGGGGCACTGGGTCCAGGTTGATCCAGGCCGTGAACCCATCTCGCTTTGAGCGGGTCGCCAGGCACAGCTCCCTGACGATCCTTCTGACGCCAGGTACCTTGAGAGATGTGCCCACAACGATCACGGCGTCGGGGACCCGTCGGAGGTCAGCTTGGGAGACTTTGCCAATAGCATCCTCATCTGGGTTGTACTCGTTATAGAGGACCATTCGTGGTCTGAGACGCCCGATTCCGTGGCTTCGCTTCCCTCCAAACTCGGTTCGCACAAAGTCGGCCTCCTTGCACTCGTCACACAGAGGAGGCTCAGGCCCCTGAAATAGTGAGCCGTCGAAGCCATTCACGTGGCTACACTTGGTGCACTGCATCTTCTCGAGTCCACCATGGAGTTGTATCGTGACCGGCCACGGAGCCTTGGTGTTCAGGGGTATGTTGGTCGCCAGAGGTTTTAGGGATGTGTCGAGACAGTCGACATTTTGAGAGTACAGCCGCATCAGGCGGCCCTCTTGGGCGATTGTTGCTAGCATATGGTGAAACGGTGTGGATTTGGCCTCTTTTGTCAGGCTTGACAGCTCGCGAACCATCTTATGAAATTCTTCCGTAGACTTGTCGTCCTTGTAGACCGAGGCATCGAAGAGGGATTTGCCGCCACCCTTGATCTTGTGCTTGTCACCGAGGGTCTTGAAGAGGCCCTCCCTGGAACGGAAATCGGGTACTAAGCAGACATTTAGTTAGCTCGGATGTTCGAGAGGGGCGCTCCAGGCCAGGGTGCACTGAGAGGAGACTTACTTCCGGCTGAGACGGAGATGCCGGCTCCGGCGATGACCACGATCTTCTTCTTGCGCCGCAAGGTGTTGAGCAAGCGCTCAAGGTGAGCCTCGGCAGCGTCGTCGCGGTTGTCGAGGTCTAGATGCTCGGTGGTCCGGGGCTTAGGGGCTGCGAGCCTGCGCCTCTTGGGGGGAGGCGGTGCGCCGTCGGTGCGGACCCGAATCTCGTGGTTGTCTGGAAGCTTGAGAGGCGAGGCGCTGCCTGACTGGGTGGCGGTAGAGCTAGGGGATGGGTATCTTGTGGTGACGTCCATGTTGGCGGTCGCGGTCGCGGTCGCGGTCGCGGATGCGGCCGGAGACAGCGAGGGCGACTTAGACAGTATGGAGAGAGGTGAAGATGGCGACGAGGGCGAGGGCGTGTGGGAGAGGGAGGAGAGAGGCGACGTAGGAGGAGAGGTCTGGTGGCGGGCTGGAGAGGCCATTGCGCGCGAGTGGTTGCCTGTCTGGCAGGCAATTGACGGGTTGCGAGACTTTGTGCGGTGATACAAAGTCAGGACAGGTTGGGAAGGAGGAAAGGGGACAAGAAAGGGTTGCCGCGTGAATGAGTGGGCCGCAGGGTGGTCGCTCTGTCTCTTAGACCATGGCGGCGCTAGTATTGTACATCGGATGTGCCTATTGTGTGAGGTGCGGTGGGAATCTTTGTTGTTGGAACAGAACAATAGGGCCTGGAAAAGTTTGGAATGGCTGAGGTCAAGTGCGGTCGGTCGGTCGGTGGGTGGCAGGGTGGAGTCGGTCGGCGCTGACGGTGATGGCGACGGCGACGGGGGCGTGGTTCATGTCCATGGGAGAGCGAAGGGCGGCTGGAGGTGACCTCGAACAAGGCCTGGGGACCGGCAGAGGTACCCCAACATTGGAAGGCTGCATTGCGCGTGCCCAGGATTGTACAGGGAGGGCTGGCCCACCCGACATTGGCGTCCCCCCGGGCCGGGAGTAGGTACATGTGTAATGTGCGGTGCTGCCCATCCTCGCCTTAGTACCCAGCTAGTGGCTGATGTGAGTCTCTAGAAACAGAGCAAAGCACAGCAGAGCAGAGCAGGCGAAGCCAGCAGGCGAAGCCGGGCCACACTAGACCAGAGCGACGGCGAGCGGTCGGCATGGAACAATTTGTGCTGCGTTGGTCTTGGTTGTGAGCTTGTCAAAAAGCTCTCCCCCATGTGCCGCGCGTCTGGGCTTGCTGGTTGACTGACAGACGAATACTCGCAGTCCCGTACGTATCGTGCTGCAGCCCAGGGCATCCTGTCAGGCAATCAATTTAGACGATCGAGCAGATCCATCCTGCTTGGGACACGATTTGGTGCAGGCTGTCGATGCACATAGCAGTCTAGACTTGCCCAACGGTACATGGCATGTGAGGGCTGGAACAGCCAGTTCCCGACCGGCGATAAATCAAGACCGGCCTAGCTTGAAACGGTAACATGACTGAATGGCTAGCATATGTGCCTATCTGCCCAGTAGTTCCAAGACCGCTCCGGCTGACTGTAGCGAGCTCGGAGCCAGTTGTTAGAACGACATAATGTCAACCAGAACTGCAGCCATGTGATAACGAAATCAAATGATTCTGGATGGTACCGTCCGTACTCGGTGTGTTCTTGGTTGCCGGGAAACGGTGCCCACCCTCTGTTTTTTTCAGCGTCTGTTTACTTTGGATGTCAAAAATGCAGGGATGAGGTGCAGATCCACCAACGCATGTCGGGCGTCGGCAGGGGTAGGGGCTTTACTTAGTACAGTCCGCAGCACGTAGTCCACCGCATAACCAGTGGACCTCGACGCAAGGCTGGAGAAGCTAGGACCACCCGCAAGGCTTGCCGAGCAGGCACCGTGTGAGGACAGGACATGCACTTCCTTAGTCAGCATCTCAACCACGTCCCATGCACGGCGAACGTGGGTGGTCCACTACCGTAGTCTGTGCTGCGCAAACCTGCCTTCGGTACTGCGCCAGCCTCCACGGTAATTGGGAGGTGCAGTTCTCAGCAACCAAACGATTATCCACCCACGCTGTCTCTGTCAGACCAAACAATTCCCCGCTCTTCAATGGTGTCTTGCCACTTGTTTGAAAAGAGACACAGTCTTGTTGTGCCGGGTCCATGATGCTTTCCCCATAGCTCCTTCTCTGCTCTGCCCAGAAGCACTCCGTCCGCCTGCCCGGGGTGTAGCAGCATCTACACAGTAGCTTAATTTAGTCCTATGCACTCCATACCAGCAGCCATCAGCCGCTCGCAGCACATCATCCAGGCCCGGGCCGGAGCCTGCACTCGCAAATGACCTCTTCCAAGATGCCCATGATGCTGGATGACCACATGGGGCCGTTGGGTGCTGCCATGCCCAACATGGACGATGACCTGTTTGGAGACGAGGTGCTCCCCATGACCACCCAACCTCCCACCAAGCAGCTGCAGCAGCGTGTCGACGAGATGCGAAGCCGGGGGTGTTGCCGGTAAGTCAGCCGCGCCCTCGCTTCACTCCCGCTCAGCCAAGCCAGCCATATCCTCTGACGCCCATGACAGGAGTATTGCATGCTCAAAGCTCGGCACCATCGCATCCATCTCCCCGGACGGCACGCATATCAACCTGCAGTGTTCTCGCGCCCACCCTTCGGATGCGTCGTGGGAGCTGAGCGAGCCCACCCCGTGCTCCATTTTCTCCCCGACCCTTCCTGGAGGGCCCATTGTCCATCTGGCATGGTCGCCGGCCATGAACCCGGAGCTGGCCGTCATCGACGCTTATGGGAGAGTCTGTCTCCTGTTATTCAACAACAGCCTAAACAAGGCGTCTTTCGTCACCAGGAAATGGGACGCGGACACTCCCGACGATCTCTTGTCTGTAGTTGGTTCTTACTGGCTGCCCTTGTTCGTACCACCAAACAGACAGGTAAGCTGTTCCTCCAGCTCAATACCGCACCGCTCCGAAACCCTGACCAGGCCCAGTTTAATGTCACGTACGGGCCAGCCGTTCGTGAGAACGGAAAGTACCAGTTCAACAGCAGCATAATACAGGCTAGTGGTCCATGGCATCCCAACCCTTCCAAGAGCGCCTTGGTTTCCGTCACTGCCAATGGGCTTCTCAAGCTGTTCTACCCCCAGAACTCCAGTCAGCTGCAGGAAACGCAGCTGGAAATGGAGAGCATCACTTCATCTGACGACCTGATCACCCATGCTGCCATGTGCCCGGATCGAGGTAAGACTTAGCTCCACTCACCCATCCCTTGAAGAGAAAGAAGGGGAGCAGGAAAATTTTCGCTGGCTAACACCCAGCCAGGTAAATTGGTCGTTGTTCTCGCTACGGCAGCGAAACAGTTGAAGGTTCTCCATGCGGAGATCAATTGGGGCATCTCGCAGCCCCAAGACAAGCAGGTACCACCGGGGAGTCTGCCTCTCAAGCCCTCTCTCAAGGCGGAGCACGTCACCGGGACGAGTTGGCTGCAACAAGGCCTCGTCGACTCGCACCTGGATGCGTCGATGGATCAGATATCGTTATTAGAGGTCTATCCGCCTGTCGTGGATATCAAAGCGAAGTCTTCCTTGCCGGCCGCGATCCTGATTGTCAGGTCACATGTGCCTCCAGCACAGACGCCTTACAACGTCGAATATCAAAGTATAATCGATCGCTGGGACATCCTTACGGATCAGGCTCAACAACTGCATCCCGCTTTCGAGCAACGCGGCACCAAGGCTGGATCGGCATCGGCCCTCCATTCCATGACACGGCTCCGGAAGCGAGAGTCCATTGTCATCAACAAGATAATCGTCTCTATCGAATCTACCCAGTTGGGGAGAATCATCTGCATTGGCTTCAGCGACGGGACTATTCAGTTCCGGGACCGCTCGACGATGGCTGAGTTGGCTAATGAGGATCACCACAACCTAATCTTGGTGCCTCAGCAGGCCGGCTTCCATTTTGACGACGAAAAGCCCTGTATACAGATGGCCATTTCCCCGAACAATTGCTCTTTTACACAGGTTTGTGAAAATGGCAAGCTCAAGTGGAGCAGTTTGAAATACCCAGTAGACCAGATCGGATCCACAAAGCAGGACCCTCAGTACGACGCTGTACTAATCAGCCTGACATTGGCTGCCGCCAACGCGGCGCATCAAGGCTCGAACTATGACGACGTGTTGGCTGTCGCTAGGCCTTTCGTCGAGAAAAACCCTCGATTTCTACATGACTTGGTGTCGACGTTGGTGTACATGTTGAATATCAACGTCGACTACTCCGAAGACTCTCATCACGACGCTCTGATAAGGAACTTGCAGATGCAGACCGTCCTCGGTCTTCTGAACCACCTTGGCTTCCGAGGCGAGTTCAAGTCGAGGTCATTCATCAGCAAGTTTGCCATGCTCGGTCTCAGCATCAGGCACATCGTCATTCTCATAACCCTGGCAAGCAACTCGTCCATAAACCCAGCTAAAGAGAAGTGGACACCACTTGACGAACCTGGTGAGTCTTGTCCGCTTTTTTCGAAATCAAGAGATGTCTTTCTCAGGCTGACGTTGTTTCCAGAGGTCGTCGACGCACTGACTGGGTGCGCGAAGTGGGCATTGGACCTACTGTGCTGGCTGACGGACAGTCTTTTCGTCTTGCGCGATGACCCGAAGTTCGTGGAGCTTCTCAACCCCGGGCGCTTCTCAGAGATGACGGCCTATCTCAAATCCAAGAATGACGTTTCACTGCACTTATTGCTTTGTTCGTCGACGAGAGGATTCCTCGTCGCCGCTTGCAAACGTCTTGTTCACCTCCAAGTAATGAGCGCTCAGGCTACCCAGTACTGGGACAAGAATGCCGCCATGCACAACTCAACAGACTCGCATGCAAGCCAAGGGATGATTGCTGTTCAGCAGGCGTATCTCAAGATGCAGAGATGCATCACGACGACACTCATCAAGGTCAACGATATAGACAAGATCTTGAACACTCTAGGTGGCGAAATCAAGCGGATGTACCAAACCTCCGCGGCTGTCCTGGCACAGAAGCAACAGCAGCAGTCGGGCAAGCCCAACCAGCCTGCCGCAGATGCCGCCATCAAGAAGGCCCAGGGGCACTGCGAGCTTAATATTCTCCTCGCCGAGAACCCTCCGCCCCAGTTCTTACCACTGATCAAAAAACTCTTTGAGGTGGATCTCAAGAACCTGGTAGCCTCCACCGACCGATCGGGGCTGTTCTTCGCCGACTTCCAGCTGCTAGAAGTAGAGGAGGACCCGAGAAGGCTGGCCGCCAGGAAGGCACAGGGCAAGTACGTGGATACGTTCAAGCGCGTGGAGCTGACGGCGCACAACTCGGCCAAGGCCACTGGAGGAGACACTGTGCACCGGGCGCAGGAGCAACAGCAACAGGCGGGTGCGGATGCGGCGACTGGTCTGGCATGGAGGAGGTGTGTGAGGTGCTGTGCTGTCATGGAGGATGCGCTGGCGGCGAAACCTGGCATGAACTTTGTGCTGTCACAGCAGAGGAGGTGTGCTTGTGGAGGGGGCTGGGGTCTTCTTGCACCGGGCGAGCTGGTGGTGTAAAGCAACATGCTGCCGGCGAAATGGAACCATGACAAACTTGAGTGGCTTCTTTTTTGGACATCGATATTGGTATCGGGCGCAAACTGCATAGTTCCCAATGTTAAGATCCATTTGGTTGTTCCTAGGCGACAAACCACACAACAGTCATCATGTACTGTCCAAATTGAAGCAATACGCGATGGCAGGGCGGAAGCGGCTCAAGCTGTCAAGGCATAAAACCCCACCAGGGTCGTTGACCAGGAAGCCGTACCCCTGAGGCGTCCGTTTCTGGCCGCGGACAGGTCCCCTCCGCCCGCTATAGGCCTACTAGTCATGGGTACCCTCCACTTCAAATCTCCCCACACTCTTGTCTATGATGCATGCGGCCCGTAGATCTGGGGATGCTGCAGTGTGTGCAAACTGCACGTCCGTCTGGTCACTACTTCCCGCGCCAGGCTCCTGGGAGTGCTGCGGGTGGTCCTGCACGCGCACTTGACCTCTTTTAGCGGCAAACCTGGGCGTCGAACTCGGCGCCTCTGCACCCGCGTACCCAGGGAGATGGTTCGTGGGCATCAGCATATCGTGGGCGGATGGAGGCGAAGTCGCTGAAAGAGTACAAAACCCCACGTCCTCATCGCTCGCCTTGGACTGCACTGCTGCCAATGCAACCTCAGCCGCGACCCCGTGTCCGTGGAGTCCCCGTCCTACACCACAGCGCTAGACCTGCTCTAGCCCTCATACATCACCGTCGTCATGAGGCTAACGTGCCCCCTTCTCCTCGCCGTCGCGGCAACAGCTGCTGCGGATGAGCACACCCTCGGACGGCAGGGGCCAAGGGCAAGGCCCAGGCCGCGGGCGGACACGACCAATTTGCCCATCACGCGCGATGGCTCGACGCTGCTGCTCAACGGGGAGCCATGGAAGGCGGTGGGACCGAACGTGTACTGGCTAGGCCTGGACGAGAACGTGATCCCGCCCGCGGGGGAGCCCTTCTACGGCCCGTCGAACGCGAGCTACCCGACCAAGAGGCGCACCACCGAAGTCATGGCCATCGTCAGGGCGCTGGGCGGGACGGCGATCCGCGCGCACACATTGGGCGTGAGCACGGGGAACCCGCTGAGCGTGTGGCCCGAGGAGGGCGTGGTCAACGAGCAGGCGTTCGAGAGCATCGACTGGGCCGTCTCCCAGGCGCGGGCGTATGGCCTGCGGCTGATGGTTCCGCTGACTGATAACTATGACTACTACCACGGGGGCAAGTACAACTTCCTGCGCTGGGCGGGGTTCAACCTCACGCAGTCAGCCGACGCCAACAACCCGCAAATACAGCAGTTCTATACGAATGCCACCATCGTGGACACCTTCAAGGAGTACGTACACACCCTGCTGATGCACGTCAACCCGCATACCAACCTGACGTATGCTGAGGACCCCACAATATTCGCGTTCGAGAGCGGGAACGAGCTCGCGGGCCCCGTCTGGGGGGACATGGACGTGCCCGCCGAGTGGCTTGAGGACATCGCCGACTACGTGAAGAGCCTGGCGCCCGAGAAGCTGTTTGTCGACGGCACGTATGGCGTGAACCAGACGCACCTGGGACTTGAGGACGTGGACATATTCTCGGACCATTTCTACCCGGTTGATACCGCGAAGCTGCAGAAGGGTTTGGACCTGGGTGAGTTCCTCACGTGCAATTCACGACAACATCAAACGTGTTGAAGGCGTTGACTGACTTCTCGTGCCCAGTGGCCTCGGTGAACAAGAGCTACTTTGCCGGCGAGTATGACTGGGTCGGGTCCGCGGACGACGGTGTCACACCCAGGGGCGACTCCCTGGCCGACTGGTTCAAGGTGATCGGGCAGAGCCAGGTGGCTGTTGGGGACGCCTTCTGGAGCCTGTTCGGCCACAACGTGCCTGATTGCACCGTAAGTGTTCCCTCTCTGCCATCGTCTCACAAGAGGATACAAGACTGACGGAGACTGTGGCGCCCCAGGCCTTTGTGAACCACACCGACGGTTTCACGCTGCAGTATGGTAACCCTGCGAACTCGGACTACACGGACAGTCGTATTCAGCTTATACGCCAGCATTTCGTTAAGCTGAGCCAGCGGCAGGACATCAGCGCAGATGCTGACCTGCCCGTGGTGGCGTGCCCAGCTTCACCGGACGGAGGGAGTCGTCTTCTTAAATGGTAGCTGCTTCAGACGCTAGAAACAAGTAGATGAATGAAATTGTAATCAACAAGTGAGATGGAATGAACTCGGCCAAACACACGGGAAGCGGGACTTCACACGGTGGGTCTGGTTTGAAAGCTCGTCTCTGAATCACAATCGCAAGAATTGGTAAACCAGTTATAAATAACAGGGCTGATGCGAATTGAAAAAGGGAGAGAATGAATCCCTCAGGTTTTCTTGGGGGATGGTCTCCCTGATTGAGTATTTGAATCAAACGAATGGTTGCACAAGTGACGTAGCGGCCCCGGGGGCCCGTTTGCTCCCTCTTTCTGCCCGCCGCAAGGGCTGATGGATCTGAGTATATTTGTGGAGGGTACAGATAGCTTTGGGTGGTAAGAGTCACTGGCAGCTTAGCAACTTGTGATCAAGGCTCACCATAGTAACAAGTTCAAGAAAAGTTCAGTAGCTTGTAAGAGAGAATAACAAGAGTAGGTATCCTTGGAGTTTATCTTCCTTCCCACTCCCATAAGTCGCCTTCAAGCCAGCCCTAGCATGAAGCGCCTACAAGTCTCGCAATTAAAGACGAGCTATCGTCGACTTCTCTTGAAGAACTTTATACCATCAGCCGTCCCCACTGGACCTCGTTTCCGCGATTCTCTTGGGGTCAGCAGATCACCAGCAACAGTCATGTCGAACGGCAGTTCTGGCAGTCGCAAGCAGTCTCTCGTTTCCCAAGCGTGTACGACCTCGGCTATTTCCGCGTCATCTGCCCCGTGGACCTCTCGAAGGTGCACCATGCATTCCTCGATGGATGCCAGGGGATACCCGGGATCACTGAGCGATCCACAATCACCTGCTGCGCAACACTTAAAGAAGGGAAACTCTGTGGCCCTGACTCCTCGATATTTGGTCCACGCCTCATTTAGGTGATAGGCCGCTCTTTCCTGGAACTTTAGGCGAGCATCGTCCGTGACGTGTTTGGTCCATTCGGGTAAAAGCAGGCAACAAGTAGGCATCGGAAGTTTTAGCGTGCCGTCCACGATTCTTCTGCCTGCAATGGGTAGGTGTTCCATGAAGTCGACATCGTTGATGTAGCATTTCTTGACAAATTCATGCCACGGCCTTAGGTGTCGCATTACGAAATCTCTGAAATCGGTCACTCCCCAAAGGTGGGTCTGGTCGGCTAACGAAACAAGTTCCCACGCTCTTCGTTCCGTTGTGGCTCGGCTGCTCCAGATTCTCTGGAAGACCTAGACCGCCACTAGTCAGTTCATCATGGGGGCAAGTACACAAGACAAATAGGCGTGATATGGCTTACATAAACAGACTCGCTCACCCCTTGATATCCTGCATGCTCTCCATCCAGCCTCAATCTTTTGTACCCTACCAAAATGTGCCAGTGAGCACCAAAAGAGGTATAAACAAAAACTTGGCTGTTGCGGCTCTGATCTGTTCGGTACTGGACGTTCTCTTCTCGGGCCTTCCCTGGTTTTCGTGACAGATTATCCAGTAGATCGAGATAAACCTTCCCGGCTAAACAAGCTTGCCGGCGCGCCTCCCGAGCATCGCCGCTCCACCCCTTGGCTTCGTAGACTGCAAAGGGGAAAACGAGGCTTGTTTCACCCCAACGCTGGTCAGAGATGAGACCGCATTGCCGATGAAGAAGAAGTGCTTCCAAGCGGTCGCGGTCAAGATCCCATTCAGCCACAGCATTCTGGTAGTCTCTTGGTTGAAAAGTGGCAAGGCCAAAAGTTGCGTCGGGGATTCTTTTGATATACTTGGACTCTCCCGTCAGAAGACACGAGGCGGGATGTGTTTTCTGTCCGATGGTGTTGTATTCATGTTTATCACTTACTTTGTTAGCGTTTTGAGGACAGCACGAGGATTACGTGGAAATGAGCTCACACCGACAGTGCTGGATCATCTCTCATAAGGCCGAAAACATCTGTCCAAGCATCCGCCTCCCACGCGTATTCGCTCTTACTCCACTTTTCGTTATCCAGGGCGTGCTTCAAGAATGATTTAGCTCTGATCCGACGAGATTCCTCGACGACGTCGTTCCAGTCTATGCTGTCCAGTGACGGCAACCATAAGCTGTGGTCGGCTGTGACCCATCCAGGAGAGTAGTGATGGCGATAGTAGATACCTCGAGCGTTCATTCCCCAATCGTCGCCGAAGCGATCGATGAGATGAGGAGGCGCGAATAATGCAGGTGTCAGATAGCTATGTTACAGGCAATAAACGTCAGGTCACAGTCGGAGTCAAAGAAACATGGAATGGGAATCAATACTGATGAGCACCAACGTAATTCCTTTCAATGGCTGAAGCAATCTCGTGGTCCGTCTTGCCCTGGGATCTTTGCATGTTGATCAAAGGCCAGAGATCGATGACCGATGTTATTTTGAAGTCTTCTTTATCAGTGCTCTTCAATCGCTCGATTTCCACTGCTTGATCTGCTTTCCAGAGATCTCGGTATTCTTTCATGGTGATATCTGGGGCGTATTTCGTGGCGTTGTTGTGCGTATTTCTCCTCTCGTCGATTAAATCTGGATGGGCTATCCATGGCCCATCTGGCTGTTTAATTCGTTGGCGGGGACAGATGAGTTCAGTCGGCACCGTTGGTCTTAAGTGAAGAATTGGTGTCTTTCGGTCACCGATTTCTTTGTCATTTGGCATTGTGTCTTAGTCTGTTTGATTTGGTGACAAGTGAAAAGACCACTAACTAGTAGGGTAGTGTGAGAAGTTTTGCATGTCAAGTTTTCCCTGATGGTGGGATATGTTATACATGCCAAGTTGTGAAACACTCCAGCCAGGCAGCAACCAACAGTCCAAAATGAGAGATATCAAAAGGAGCATGTTTGACGCGGCTGGCAGGGGCACCACTGTGTGTGGAAAACGAAACGCTACCCCCCTCCTGTTTTGCTTCTCAGGCATTCCCCTCACACGTTAAATTTCACACTTGACTTTCTTAAATATAAGTTAAACGAAGAAAACAGAATCTCAAATTAAAGCTTAGGAGTCGTGGATTTCAAATCTAAATTTTTTATCAAATCTTAAAATATATTCATAAAGGTACTCTATGATAAAGAAATGAACAAGGGGGGGGGGGGTAAGCGTTTCGTTTTCCACACACAGCAGCCACTGCTGCCTGTGGAAAACGAAACTTGCCCGTCCCCCTTGTTCACTCTTGGAGTCCGCCCCCTTCGCGAATAACAAGTCTTGTTTTACACGCGCGCCTGTACAGCGTTGACCTTTCTTTCGTATACATCCGTTCTGCCTACTCAAAATACCAAGCCCACGGCCGACTTTCCGCCGTGTCGGTGCCATTAAGTTGGTACCGGCGGACATGACGATTCTTGAAGAATCCAAGAATCCAGCCCGAGCGAACCACCCGGTCGTTCAAGTTGAGACATGCTTAGATTCAGGTTCATAATGAGCGTTTCCGCCGCGTCTCTCGCTTCTTGAGTTCCCTAACCTGAACCGAATACCTCAGGACATGCTTTCGCATCTCTGACTAATGCATTAATGCGGCGTAAGAGGTCGGCGTCCTCAGCTCGATTCCCTGACTAGATCATGAGTCACACGCGAGGCGCCGCGGCATGTGTGCGCCACGAGTGGGATTTGTGTACTCTTCTCCCCATTATCTCGTTGAATGATACGGATAGCATCGACCCAGATCCATCTCAAGGCGCTAGCAGCATGTCGGGAACGGCGCAGACGTTCAAGTTTTGGCTGATTCGGATCACTCCTTCCAAGTTTGCCATCCAGGAGAAGTCCTTCGCTGGCGTCCTCGCTCCATCTGTATGAAAGTGCCACGTATGGTAATTTTATTCCGTCGTCATCGTAATCATCGACTGTGTTGCGATGGTGACTTGAATGTTTGTCTTCTGCCTTTGTGACGGTGTCCGTACTGAGGCTCACATTAAGTACTTCACCGGTTGGTAGGTTAGCGTCAGTCTTAAGGCCCATCTAATATGCCTTAGCAAGACCCGTTCTAAGTACACTCCACATGGGGATTTTAATCCTCAAGAATTGGATTTAATGACCCAAGTCCCGGGGCTTGCAACAAGCACACGAGCAGTTACAGATGAACAAGACTTTCCTCCAAACCTGCCAAAGCGCAGAAAAATAACTTCCAATCTCAAGATCCACCCTACTTCCGCAAACACAGACACAAACACAAGCACAAACATGGTCAACCAAAATAGCAAATCTCTAGCGGCGCAAATTGCCACCCAGGGCCCAACCAAGGGCCAGCAGCGCATTGGCCGTCGGGTCCAGCTATATGACGAGCTCATGAGGAAACAACAGCCCCTGACCAAGAAAGACGCCGAGAGCGTGAGAAAAGTACCGCCGACCAGGCGAGAGAGAAAGATCACCCACATAATGCAGGGTCAGGCCAGGCTAGTCCGAAAAGAAGTTCGGCAGACCGACCGAAGCAACATAGCAGCTCTCCTAAATGTAACCAGGAGCAGCAGACCAACGCTCACGGAAACTGGCCATCTACAATTCTGTGGCAACATCATCATTCAAAGCGAAGACGAGGCTATCCAAAACGCTATAAAGGCTTCTGCCACTCCCTCTAACCCGTACCACCGCATCCTGTTCGTCAGCGCCAAAGTGGGCAAATGCAACCAGGTCAAAATGAGGTCGGCTCATGCCGGCGTTGTGTGCAAAATGGCTTCTGAAAACAAGAACGACAATAGCAATGTGGACCACATCTGGGAAGAGAACTTGTTCAGTCTAGGCCGGTCACAAAGCAATCCTACAAAGCTGGGCATCGAAGCCGGTCTGAGGTCCGTCGCTGAGGCGCTGACACTTGTCGCCACCCAGCTGGCATGCGCGAGCGATCACGGGCTGCCGTACAACGACAAGTTGTCCACACAGCCTAAAGTGACGATTTTTACTGACAGCCATGCTGTCATGAACAAAGTGGGCAACACCAAGCTCACGGCACAGCAGCTGAAAAGCACGCCTTCCGTAGAGAAGCTAATAACAAGATCAGCGTACTTCACCACCTTGGCGTGGAAGTCGAGTTGCGTTGGAGTCCCCGCCTCCAGTTGAAGGGTGACGTGAGGAAACAAGCTGAAGGTGCAGCGCGGAGGGCGACAACATCACATGGGGCCTGCAAAAGCGGTGACAGCCCAGACGACGGTCTGCAAATTTTGATTGACTCATTGGACTACTAATGAAGTTGGAAGCACATATACACAGACTCGGCACGACCATGAATCACCTTGCAACCAAATTCCCAACTTGTGCGAGGACCCAGCAATAACGACTAGGGCAAACCGCTCTCGATGCAATAATCGGCTGACCGCGATAAGCTCTTAGAGCCAGACTCAAGGCAACCGGAATACGTCTGGTGTCCAGGGGTGGATGAGTCTGGGGGTGAGAAATCTTGAAAGTTCAACTGGTCAGTGTCTGTATCCCATCAAGAAGGGACTCCGGAATCCGTTGAATTGACCTGTCAGAAGATTGCAGCCTGCCCGTTGTTCTGGCCAAGACAAGCCTGCCCCGGTCCGTTCATTTTGTCAGTTCGTCAACTGAGCAGGCTTGGACATGAACACCCCGAAGGGCAAAGAACCCCATCCCCAATGGATGTTTTTTTCGGGCCTCAGGAATCGAACCATACCGTCCGTCGTCACAGAACCGCCCCAGGCCTGTTGCCACGGTGAAACATTCCAAGGGGAACGAATACCTACCTGATATGCTCATAGAGAGGCGTCTCCAGGGGCCTGCTGCATCAGAGGGACCCGCAAAAACGTGCAGAGAAGGTTTGAGAGCAACGCGGTGCTGCCTTGGGTGTGAGGACAGAGGTTGGAGAGAAGAAGGACGCGCAGGTGCTGATACATGGCAAGATGACGACGGCACAAGCGTCTGCGGACGGAATGCAGACCTGGGGGCAACGAGGGGAAGCATGAAATGGTCAACCAAGGGCTCCATGGGGGTTCCAGGGAGCCGAATAGAATGATCCGAGACTGCTTCAAGCATCGACAAGTGAGATGTGAGTGACGGAGACTTGTGTGGGAGAAGACTGAAGGCAAAGAGGAGTTTGAGAAGAAGGAAGAGGAAGAAAACATCAGGTCTGCAGAAGGGAAGAGTTGAAAAGGGGAGATTCGGGAGGGACATCAGAACAGAGGTAAGAACCGCAGAAGGAGGAGCAGGCAGACAGCACTGGCAGTTGCCAGTCTATCGCGCGGCCTCCCCCCCCCTGCAGCTCCCACAAGCTCATGATAGCAAGACTAGGAAGGCGCAGCTACTCGACTGTAGCCGGTACATTGCACCTTCTTAACCGCAATGACTTCATTATTTCTGATACCAAATGTCACACCGGAGCGTGGCCTCGTGGGGAGCGATTTCTGGTCTTCTTGAGATGTGAATTGTGGTTGAGCTTGGTCGGAGGGCAGGAGCGACCACACAAGGTGCGAAGGTATCATCAGTAGCAAGTGGCCGTTTTGTTCCTCCCCTGCCCGCCCTCCTGCGTTCGAGCTTCGGCCCTGCGTGCGTATCCAACTTTCAAGGCAATGCGGGTGCGAATGGTCTAATTCTTCAGTCAATGACCTGAATGAGTCGTTGAACCAACTATTGGTGGTGCACACTGCGTTGCAGCTTGTCTCGCTTAGGGAGTTGGAGCGGAATCGAACATCATGTTTACCAAAGGCCTGTCTTCTGGTCTAAGATTCTCTGCGCTGAAAGGAGCAACTTCCTAGCTACAGGATGCCAAATTTCAACAGAAAGCCCACGCTTGAGGCGCCTAGCAAAAAGGGGGGTCCTCCAGTGGCTGTGGCCACCATGTTCCAAAGACAGAAAAGTTTGAATTCCCCTCGTAGATGACCCGGAGGGCTGATGACCTTCCCACTCGTCACCCCCGAGCACTAACCTTGCCTCTTCAGCCAGTCCTCGTGCAGCTTCTTCTGCCTCTCCCAGTCCTTCTGCAGCTTCTTCTTCCTACTCTTGGTGACCTCCTCGCCCTTGGCGTCCTTGGTGGGTATGCCGTTCTCATCCCACTCCGCGTACTCCTCTGTCTTGTACATCTCGAGGTGACTGAGTTTTGCCTTCTCATCCTGCTGCCTCTTCTTCTCTGCCTCCTCTGCGTCCCTCTTCGCCTTTTGCGCGGCCCTGGCAGCGGCCGCTTTCTCACGCTCCTCCCTGGCCTGCTTGATGGTCTTGTCGATAGGCCGGACCAAGGCGGGCAGTGGCGGGTCGCGGTCTTCGAGGTAGATGTCCAGGTCCCATAAGCGAGTGTCGCGCAGCTGGTCGCAAAGAGCGAGGATGTCGCTGGCTGGTGCCTTCTCGCTGGCTAGTTTCTGAACATCGGCTTGGAATTGCGTGAACACCTGTTCGTATTTCTTCGCAGGCTCGCTGGCGGCCGATCCTGCAGGCTTGACCTTCTCCGCTATTTGCACCAGAGCAGCGTGGTCCAGGTTTTTTGTCCGAGCGGCTTGTCGCACTTGGTCGCGCAGTTGCGAAACAGGGTACACAAATGATTCCGCTTCTGTGGGGATACCGACACCGGACCAGGCTACCCGGGACTCGTCTTTCAAGTCGCCCTTTGCGTCCAGACCCAAGATCGTGAGGATTCTTGTCATCCATCGCGCAAGGATTAGCGTAGTCTCATCCGAAACAGTCGCCGCTGAATTAAATTCTGACACAAGCTCGGAAAGTGCCCTCATCGCCGCAGGCGTGTTGAACGAGTCAGAGAAAGCAGCATCAACTTCTTGCTTAGCCTTTCCCAAAGCAGCAAGCACCTTCTGATCGTGTTCTGATCGTTCGGATCCGTTGCTAGCAGCGGCGGTGCTTCCATTCTGCTGATTCCTCGCAATGTCTGAACTCTTGTAGAAGAAGTTGTTCATCTTGTCCTCAAAGGAGGCAGTCGTGCGAAGGATTTCGTCCGTCACCTCAATGCCACTCTCCCATGCCCCGAGCAAGAATGCAATACGGAGACTTCGGTAGGTCCACTCTTCTTTGGCAAGCGCCGACCTGATCGTGGTGAAGTTTTTGAGTGACTTGCTCATTTTAGACCCTGCAATCGACAAATGCCCCATGTGCAGGACTTGGACATGCTATGTTAGCAACTTTTTCATCGGACGACGCACCAGCAACGGGATTGCCATCCAGATCGTTCAGCTCCGGCTAAATCAACTTACAGAAGTTCGACCACTGCTCCTTGCTGTTCCAATATGCCTCAGATTGTGCCAGCTCGTTGTCGTGATGAGGGAACCGGAGATCGACACCTCCAGAGTGAACATCCAGCTTTTCGCCCAGAACCTCGGAAGCCATAACCGAGCACTCAATGTGCCAGCCCGGGCGCCCATCACCCCAGGGACTGGCCCATGAAAACTCTCCAGCTTTGCTTGCCTTCCACAAGGCGAAGTCCGCGTCATTGCGTTTCACCGTTGTCTTCGATGCGAGTGAACCTTCGCCGTCTGCTTGCAAGGCAGTATCTCCCCTGCTCCAGGGTTCGAGGCGGGCGTAAGCATGGCCTGATCTCTCGAACGCAGCGATGTCAAAGTACACCGAGCCGTCGGCCGTCGCGTATGCAAAACCATTGGATATGATCTTCTCAATAAAAGACACAATCTCAGGCACATACTCGGTGACTCGGGTCAGCACCTCGGGGTCCAGAACGTTCAGGGCATGCATGTCCTCGAAGAAGCGTTCCTCGAACTTCTTGGTCAGCTTCGTGAAGATGGCGTAGTCCTTCGAGTCGACTGTAGAGCCGTGCAAAGAGTCCAAGTACGGCAGTAGCACGTCCTCGGCGCCATCGTAGAATTGGTCGGCCCCAAGCGAGGAAGCTTTCTGGAGGGTTGTGGCGGCCGACTTGGCGGTATTTATGTGCATCTTCAGCTTAGCCTCCTTGTCGCCGGGCGTCTCATTGTCACCTGCCAATGCCTTCCCCTCCAGAACCCGTGCGTACGCTTTCTCTGTCTCCGAAATATAAGAGTCGGGAGTCGTCTCGGCAGACAGGAGTGGTAGGTTCTTCCTCAGGTAGAACGTGAAAGCTGCCTTGGCCGTAGATACGGCGGTCTCGTCGACAGTTGGGTGCTCCGACCGGAAGTCCGCTAGCAGGTGCTGCTGGCGCGCACGCAGGATGATCTTGTCGTCGATATCGGTAATGTTCATGACAAACTTGACATTGAAGCCAAAATAGTCCCTCACGATGCGCCTGACGACGTCCGTGGAGACATAGTTGCGCGCATGCCCCAAATGTGCGTCATCGTAGACGGTTGGACCGCAAGTGTACCAAAGCACAGTCTTTCCTTCCGGGTCAATGGGCACAAACTTGTCCTTCTTGCGCGTCAGGGAGTTGTACACGGTTAGGTCGGGCAGCTTGACGGAATCGGCGAGGGGCTTGGGAGGCGTCCAGGTGGGCTGTTTTGCCGACATCGTCGCGAGGGACAGCCTGGCTGCAGGAAAGCCAGATACCAGCTTATTCCTCCCGTCTGGTATGCTTCTCGACAGTGTGCTTCCTCGCGCGTGACGAGGAGTTGCGAGGGCGTGCAAAGATCGGGGCTTGGACGAGCTGAAAGAATGGAGAAATAAAGAAGGGCGGGGGCCAAGTGAAGGGAAGGAAGGATGGCGCAATATATTAAGCCTATTGCTCGACCTCGAACTTCTGGAAACGTGGCTCATCCGGGTCGCCTTTTTCGAGTCACAATAGCAGTCACAGTATGACAGGTGAGAGAGGGTCGCCAGTTGAGGTGGGGTGGGGTGTTTTCTAAAGAGCTCCAACACACAGACACAGCAAAACGGCGGAACTTTGGGGGAGGGGTCCTGCTAGCGGGCCGTAGGCCGTTCCCACCACCCGTTTAGTTGATGTTCCTGGCGGAAGCCTCTGGCTATGCTAAATTTACACACTGCGATGTAGGTAGCCTGCAAGTATACACCGTATGCTTGAGTCACGGCGAGGCAGATTCCATGTGATCACTTCCGTGGGATTGGCGCCTATGTCAAGTGGTCACAGGTTGAGCGAGCCATCTTGTTCTAACCACCTAGCATGAAAGTGCCAACCAGTCCAGTGAACACTTCGTGAAGTCCTCGTCAAGGCATTCTGTAGTCTAGCTGCCAGCCATTCTGGGCGTCATGGCCAGAGAAGCACCATAATCAAACTGTGGTGACTGACTGATCAGTCATTCCGCCCAGCTCCTGGACCATGGACTAACTGTATGAGCCTACCGTCTGGACAGCAGACACGAGCAATGAAAGAGACTATACTCCACTGCTATCCGTGGCCACATCTCTGTACTTTTTGTCGTGCCGACCCCGGCTCCGACAGCTAGATCCGCGCCCTGGACGTCCAGCAATTGAGCCCCGCCAGGGAGACCCCGCGGTTCCGGAGGTCGCGCTCACAAGGGAATCTTCAGGTCGATGATGACGATGATGGGCTGAAGCAAAAACATCCCCCATCATCCCCTTCTCCAATTGCAGCCGCAGCTAGACCAAATCTGCTGTGTCTCTATTTACCCCCAGCCGCGGGAAGAATTCCACTACCAAAAGGAGGCCGAAAGCTCTACAGCTACGATGTTCACCGGCATCGTCGAGGAGATTGGCGGTAAGCCTCCGGAGTCCAGCTCAGCTCACCCTACAGCTCACCTTTTACCTCACCCGATCTCACTCGCCCACCAGGCTAGCAAGCACAGCTGCTAACAAACCGCCCTCGCAGTCGTCGCCGCGCTCAACCCCCATGACGCGACAGGCGGCACCTCCCTGACCATCAACCTGCCCGAGGGCTCCGCCCTGTTGTCAGACTGCCACGAGGGCGACTCCATTTCCGTCAACGGCGTGTGCCTGACGGTGGTAACCTTCACGCCCAAGGACCCCATCCCCTCCTTCACCGTTGGCGTGGCCCCGGAGACTCTGCGCGTCACCAACCTGGGCTCGCTGGCCACGGGGTCGCGCTGCAACCTGGAGCGGGCGGTGCGGGCCGACACGCGCATGGGCGGCCACTTCGTGCAGGGCCACGTCGACACCACGGCCGAGATCGCCGAGCTGCGGCCCGACGGCAACGCCGTGACCATCCGCTTCCGGCCGGCGAAGCGCGACGTGCTGCGCTACGTTGTCTACAAGGGCTACGTCGCCCTGGACGGCACCAGCCTGACCGTCACCAAGGTCGACGACGTCGAGGGCTGGTGGGAGGTCATGCTCATCGCCTACACCCAGGAGAAGGTCGTCATCGCCCAGAAGAAGGCCGGCGACACCGTCAACGTCGAGGTCGACATGATGGCTAAGTATGCCGAGAAGTCTATCCTGTTCTCAAGCGAGGGTGGGCGGTCGTTCCCTTTCATCAAGGAGGTGGAGAAGACGGTGGAGAAGATTGTTGCGCAGGGGCTGGGAGGGCACGCAACTTAGGTGTGGTGTTGACCGTTGATTCAGCCAGTCAGTCCGGTTGCGCACTGTAAGATGATGATGATGTACCTTTGAGTCTATAGACATGCCTTGAACCACCTGCGGGACAGTAAACCCACACTATCATCAAACATCAAGACTGATCAACTTCAGATATCGGCCCAGACCTCGGCGAGTTTGGTGCTCAAGGCCTTGCCAATCTGCTTGCTCCTCACCGCATGGTTTCCCAGCCTGCCTGAGACAAGCTCCTGCTTCCTCTTCTTCCCCACCTCCCCAGTACCGCATTGTTCAAAGGCCTTGACAAACTCGTTCGGCGTCTTCCAAATCTTTTGTATCTGTAAAGCCTTCTCCCCGGTGACCCCTCGTGTACACATGAGCATCTTGAGGAAGAGGTCCCGCAGGGTTAAGAGGTCAGATTTGGACACCAACGAGGCAAAAGCAGGGTAGCTGATGTAGTGGTTTGCCCCGGGCTGTGTTTCCCGGAGGTGTTTCAGGAGAGGCAGGTAGTTCTGTGCTGTAATGACCTTGGTGGGAATCACCCTCAAAGGCTGGCTCTCATATCGCTTCTTCAGCATCTCCGTCATCCTCGCGAGGTACCGGATGGTGTCGTCCATCTTTTGCGTCTTCTTCACGGTGAAGCCATTAACCACCTGTGTCGACGCAATTGCGGACTGCACGCTATCCTCGTACTTGGAAAAGTGCTCCCGATCCAGCGAGATCTCCTCCACAAGATAAGTGACGTGTCGGACGCCAGACCTTTTCAGGCGAAACTTTTGCTCGTGGAACCGGCCGTCCTTGATGCTCCCGATCAGGTCGTCCAGGCGCTTCCGCTCCACAATGTAGTCGAGCACAACCTCGTCGCCCTCGGCGCCGCCCCGGCGCAGCACCTCCGGATCGTGGCATTTGGCTACCCACTGGGCGTCACCTAGCTCCAGGCTACGCATGATGGGCTTGATGCCCTTCTTTGTTAGTTCTTCTTGCATGTAGTCTCGATCTGTTTTGGCGCGGATCTCTCGCACATCCAGCACGAGGTGGACAATAAAAGAGCCAGGATTTAGCCTGATTGTGGTGAAGTTCGGCAATGAGGAGTGGTCAGAAAAGACGGGGCCGTCAGTAACCACATTGCCAAAATCTGGCTTCTCCTCCAGGGGTACATCGTTAGGGCCATCATCGAAACCGCCGGCGAAAGGCAGCGATGGCACTTGGGATCGAGACCCAGTCGAATTGTGTCCAGAATCATTCGTCCTTGCCTCTGTGTTGCTGGTGCCGTTTTGATTTGCCTCCTGGATCCGTTTCGCAACATCCCGACCCTCTTCGGTCAGCGCGTATCTTTTAGTCGGCCTCCCGCGCTCGTAAACAAGCTCTTTCGTGAGCAAGGTCTTTATGGAGCTCCACGCCGTGTAGAAGCTCCCCGGCTCACTGGCCGTAAATGAAGAGTTGCAGTGTGGTTGAGCCTTGTCGATTAGATCGAGCTTTGCCATGCCCTCAGGACCATGCTCTGGCAAATTCGATAAGGCGACAATCAGGGCATATGCGCCAGACCGAAATGCAGGCACGTACTGTTTAGTCTTTCGTGGCTTTTTTGGAGCTTGGGCGGGCTCATCCTCTTCATCGTCGTCGTCGTCAGCTTCTCCTTCTCCTGCCCCTGGCGCTGTGCCGTTACCTTTGCGCTTTCTGGATTTTGAAGGACGTTCCGGCATTGGCAGACCATTTTCTCTGCAATAGATTTCGAGCTTGTCCGTGAGTCTCTTGGTGAGGGTCTGTCCAAAGAATTGCAGCTCGGTCAGTTCCGAGGGATGTTGAAAGACCTTTGGACATTTTTTCAATGAGTTGTAAGCTTTTCTGTATGTAGTGACACCCTTGGTGTTTTTCTCCCTGGCGTCATCGTACCACTCCTTGACCCACGAGAGAAGCAGTGGATTGGGGCTGTCCTCATCGGACGGCATGATGATTCGTCGAGCAAAGCAGCCCAAAGAAGCGGGCAGAGCCAAGACAGAAGGATTGAAAGGAATGAAAACTTTCGAAATTAGAGACAAGTGCGACGAATCTGCCGGTCAGCACAGATTCAAAAGAAGCCAGGCAGGCAATGGAGGTGAGCCGATGCTAATGGATTGCAGGAGCGATTTGATGCGATTGCATTCGGGAGACGCGTTCACGCGTTCGGGATGGCCAGGAGCGTTGGAATTCCAGGGACCTGGGCCTAATGCAGCACAAGCTTTAAGCTCGAGGCAATCCCGCCGCCTCGGGTGGGGGTTCTGGAACCTGGGTTGCTCGCCCAGTACTGTACCTAGAAGTAGACCAAGAAGCATGCAGCAAGTTATGTATCGGTTGGACTAATGGAAACAACCTGCCAACTTAATTTGATTGCTGAACTCTCAGCAAGAACGTGATGGTCTCACTTTTGGAGTGAATTCGTGTGTTATACGGGCAGTGGCAGGGTTTAGTCGCAAACAGGGACTCTTCAGTCTCGTCTTGCAGGCGATCAGCAGTCGAAGCACAGCGTCATGGCACAAAGCTATTCCTGTTGCTCCAAGGCTTGCATCGAACAAGGCTCAGGGACAGGCTGGGGAACGATGAGCTGCATGGCCCGGGAATGTATCCATCCTGTGGTCTGCGTACGGGACTACGGTATGTACCAATACTCTGCCAGTCTGCTGGCCTGCATACGTATAATACACGGTAGATACATACACGTAAATGGCAGCCGGGACAAAGAAGGCGGGGTAGCTTTGATCACCGCTGCTCTGCTCTAATAATAAAGTGGGGGCCCAGGGGTTGGACATTCCAGCATGCGGGCCTAAGCAGGGGGCATGTCTGTCTGTTCGTCGTATTAGCTGGGCCATTGGCGGACTGCCTCGCCAGCTATGACAGCTCACCCGGCCGGCTTTTAAATGCCTCCCCCTTCCACCTTCGGATCCCCCCCCCCATCTAGACTACATAGCCCTATCTTTGTCTTTGTCCAGCTTGTTTCCCGGAGTTGCTTCACCTCCCTCTCCTTCAACCACCTGTAACATCTCCTGGGGTCCTGTGAGCAAGATACACACCATCATGACCTCACATGACGACAAGATCCGGGCTGCGTCAGCCAAGCACCCCATTGTGCCCCTCCCAGCTGGCAGCCTCTACAAGTATGGTACCGCCGGCTTCCGGATGTCCTCTGATCTCCTTGAGGGAGTCTCCTTCAGAGTTGGCCTGCTGGCTGCTCTTCGAAGCCGCAAGCTGAGCAGCCAGGCCATTGGTGTCATGATAACTGCCAGCCACAACCCGGCCAAGGACAATGGTGTCAAGGTCGTTGATCCCATGGGCGAGATGCTCGAGCAGGAGTGGGAGAGTTACGCCACCAAGCTGGTCAACTGCAAGACTGACGAGGAACTTGTCGAGGTCTACAACGGTCTGGCTGCCCAGCTCAAGATCGACCTCAAGGCACCTGCCAAGGTCGTCTATGGCCGTGATACTCGGCCCTCTGGCCACACCCTCGTCACCGCTCTGGCCGACGCCCTTGAGGCCACCGGCACCGAGTACGTCGACTACAAGATCCTGACCACCCCTCAGCTCCACTACCTGACCAGAGCCATCAACACCGAGGACACCCCCCAGTCCTATGGCGAGGTCAGCGAGGCCGGCTACTACAAGAAGTTCTCCGACGCCTTCATCCGCGCTCTCAAGGGACACAAGATCAATGGCGCCCTGACAGTGGACTGTGCCAATGGCGTCGGTGGCCCCAAGTTGTCCGAGCTGCTGAAGTATCTTCCAAAGGATAAGGTCCCATTCAATGTCAACGTTGTCAATGATGACGTTCTCCGACCTGAAGTGCTGAACCTGGATGTAAGTGACCATGGCTTCCTGCCCAGTTGGTCGTTATGCTAAGCCATCTCTTGTTGCAGAGCGGTGCCGACTTTGTCAAGACCAAGCAGCGAGCCCCTCCTCAACCCAAGCCCGAGCTCGGTGCCCGATACTGCTCCCTTGACGGTGACGCCGACCGTCTGATATACTACTGGACCGACGCCGAGACGGGCTTCTTCATGCTTGATGGCGACCGCATCTCCACCCTGGCTGCGTCGTTCATCGCCGACTTGGTGCGGTCCGCGGGTCTCGAGGAGGATCTGCGCATCGGTGTGGTGCAGACCGCATATGCCAATGGCGCCAGCACGAAGTACATCACCGATCATCTTCGCCTTCCCGTCGTCTGCACACCCACCGGTGTCAAGCACCTACACCACGCGGCGTGCAAGTTCGATGTTGGAGTCTACTTCGAGGCCAACGGTCACGGCACGGTTGTGTTCTCCAACGACGCCCTGCGCATCTTCAAGGAGAAGGAGCCTCAGTCTCCTGCCCAGAAGGACGCACTTGAGACACTCGCCGCTGTTGGCGACCTCATCAACCAGACCGTCGGCGACGCCCTTTCGGACATGCTGCTGGTGGAGGTGATCCTGGCGCACAAGGGCTGGACGCTGAAGGATTGGGCCATGACCTACACGGACCTGCCCAACAGGTTGGTGCGTGTTGAGGTCGGGGACAAGGATCTCTTCCAGACCACGGATGCCGAGCGCAAGCTGTCGCACCCCGCTGGCGCGCAGGACGAGATCGACGGCCTGGTCAAGAAGTACACCAGTGCGCGCAGCTTCGCGCGTGCCTCAGGCACCGAGAACGCGTGCCGCGTGTACGCGGAGGCCGCGACCAGGGTGGAGGCGGATGAGCTGGCCAAGAAGGTTGCCGCCGTGGTGGAGAAGTACGGAAGAACCGGCGCGGCTCCGTCGCAGTAGAGCAGCGATACCACGCTAACACCCGAGGGGCTTCTCGAGCCACAGCGGCTTACTCCCATCACCCCAACGCCGCCGCTGCTCTCCGGAAACGCCAACGGCATCGAGGACTACTTCAAAGCAGTTTCCCCACCCCCCTACGAGATCGATGCTGTAGGCCAGGCATTCTCCGACATGATGAAGAAGGGAATGGGGAGCAAGAACGGGACACCGGTGGCATCCGAAAAGGATGTCAAGCCCAGAAAGACCGACGATGACGACGCTGATCTTGTGTTCAAGATGGACATGGATGGATGATTACTCGCAGAAGGAGAGAAAAAGGGTTGAGGCACCGTGGTTGCGGTGGGTGGTGGCAGCGGCGAAAATTCGACATCAACTCCAAAAGTGTTTGCGGCGTTTTGAATCTTGCTGCTCTGCTTGTCAAGAGCATCCTGCGATGAGGGTAAAGAATGTCATATGTCAGTCAGTCAGTCAACTCAACGAATAAAAGAACGTCGGTCGATACAGGGGAATAGAGTCACCTAAATGAGTCGATGGATAAAAAAGAAATAGACAAAATATCCTGATGTTGCATAATTCAGTTCTGTGTGGAGTAAAAAACTGACGGTACGTGACAGGGGACTGACTGTCTGCCATCTCAAAAACCACTTGGCAGCTCCTGCTTCGGACCAGAGCGACCATGTCAGCACGTATTGCCCATCACTTTGTTGTATCTACAACCCCTCAGCAAAATACCCAGAGTTGGTAAGGGATGTGTTGTATTGCATTTTCAGGCGGCCACCACTCTCCCATCCTGGCTCTAGCCAAAGATCCAGCCTGCGAATCTGCATCTTGTAGTGTCTTATCTGAAATAACACGTAGGCGCGGCGTGCCTCTTTTTGTTTACACCACCAACCGATCATATGTATGCAAATAAATCAAGCCTTCCCATGGTCAGTGAGAAGGCTTGGAATGGAGAAGAGACTCCTGTCCGCCCTGCCCTTTCCCTCCCACCCTTTCTCCGTCCGTCTGCCACCACTACTAGAGCCCCGAGCCATTGGCACGGCCATTTAAGGGGGAAGCCCCTGGTGGCCTCGTCTGCTCTTCACAGTGACCCGAGGGTCTCCCCCCCGCCGTTTTGCAGTTAAGATGAGTCTGTTTCACCTACAGGCGCGCGATACGCAGCGTCCTGCTTGCAGCTATTTCCCACCGTGACTGACCATGCCCGCGTAATCCAGCCGGACCCCACCGCTGCGACCAACAGGTGTAGAGTGGGGTGCGGCAGTCTCAGAAGATTACCAGTCCGTGTCGAGGTGGGCACTTGCCGCACTTCCTGCGCCGAGACGAGCACACACGAGGGTGCGTCAGCGCCTCACGGCTTAGCACATCTTGTACGTGCAGCTGCCCTCGGCCGCCCGCGTGGCGTCGGTCGTCTCGAGCTTGTAGCTGAGCTCGATGTCGAGGTCCCTCCTGTTCTTGTCGTTGGGCTTGCAGGTCATGGAGGAGCGGATGGTCTCGCCCTGCTGGACGGTCAGGACGTCCTTGAGGTAAAGCACGGTTTGCTTCCAGTGCGTGTACTTTGTGTGGGGGCCGGTGGAGAAGGCGACCGTCTTGTGGCACGCCGTGAACTCGATGTCGAACCACGCGACGAGCGCGTGCACGAAGTCGTCGCGCCGGGCGTTGAGGTCGAAGGGCACGCTGTAGGCCAGGTCGGCCGTCGTGCACTTGTACAGGTCGAGCGTGAGCACGCTGGCCGGGTCCGTCACCACAGCCTTCATCTCGACCGTGTCGACGAGCGGCTCCGTCAGGGCGGTCGCCTTCAGCGGGCTGTAGTCGAATCCGTAGACGTTGTCCCAGACTAAACGGCACTTGTTTAGTATCTTCCCAATCTCCAGTGCACACGTTCCCTCGCGGGACGGTCTTTTTTTTTTTTCTTCTGTTATTTTGCTTTCTTTCACTCACAGCCAATCTTCTCATCCTTGTAGTCTCCGTCCTCGATACCAGCAACAAAAATGGTAGCCTTGTCGGGGAATATGAGGCCGTTCGGGTTCAGGTACTTGTCGCGGGCGTACAGGACGGTGTCGAGCATGGACTCGTAGAGGAGGAAATAGCCCATCCACTCAGAGATGATGATGTCGACCTTCTTGAAAGGCATCTGGTCGTGGATCTCCTCCATTTTACCCTGGAGGAGCGTGATTTTGTCGGACATGCCGTTGACCTCGACGATCTCACGGGCCTTGAAGATGATGGTGGACATGTCGACGCCAATGACATGTTTTGCGCCGGCCTTAACAGCGAACCTGGGGGAGAAGGTCAGTATTCTCGGGATGAGAGTCTGACAGCCGGCTCTGCACGCTCTCTCTCGCTCCGGAGCATGCATTAAGCCCCGGTTTCGCGAGAGACAAAGGTGTCTTACATGGATAGAATACCGGTGCCACATCCAACATCGAGCACAACCTTGTCCTTGAAGAGGTGCTTGTTCTGCACAATCGCATTCATATAGGAGCGGGTCCGCACTTCATCTTTCTGTGCACGAGCAAAGTCAGCACCTATAGCCCTGGGTTTCTATCGGCCGTGTGTGTCTGTTGGGCTTTGCACATACCAGCATCTCCTCGTGAATGCCTTTATTGTTATAAAGCCTGTTAGCGATTCGAGTTTCAATACAGGGTGAGGCAGTTTCATTCTGTTTGGCATACCATGGTGGTTGTAACTGCACAAGCCAAGATTAGCAACTATATTATGTGCACGCACGTGGAGCGCCACGTCGCAAGACCACTCGTCGCGACCGGTGCTCACCTGTTGAAGTAGTGCTGCTCAGAATGGGCCATTTCCTTGAGCTGCAGCTCAGCCTTCTCGATGTCCATCTTTTCTCCAGACGCCATGATGTTGATGACTGTATTGGGGGATTAAGTCTAAGTGGCTTGGAGGAAAGGATGTAGGTTGCGGGCTCTGGGTTGGGCCGTCGTGAAGGGGAATGTGGTGTTGACACTCAAAAATGTAGGCACGTTCTTGGGCATCGAAGTTGATAGCAGCGGGGCACCCTCGATCCAGGGACGTTCTGATTTTTGCAAAGGTTTTTGGCTGGCAGAATAAAATGGGACTAGCCAGGTTGGGGCAACTGGCCTGTCCGGGCACTACACCGACTTCCCTGGTGGTTTGACGAGTCTGCAAGGGTGCTTCAACTCGGGTCCCTGCAGCGCGTTGTGATCTACAGGCTACAGGGGCCTAGGCCATCTTGCAAAACCAGGGTTAGAGCCTCAACTCCAAAAGCCTGACCTTCTCAGAAGGATGCCGGAGTGTCGACCATCAAGAATACTTCTTAACCAATACTCGTTGAGGACTGAAAGTATTCAATATCAATTTGTGTCTCCAGAAAGCTTATTACATACTCCCAACCAATTTGAGTCGGGGACACTCCTCTCGAAAAACAATATCAATGTTTCTGAGGTCACTCGACAACTACTGGGTCTACTCATGTGAACCCTACTGGCACTTGCTTTCCGATACTGAATTGTCTCTTTCGTTTTCCTTCTGAGTAGACAGCTGCGTTGAGACTAGACTCCATCCGATCAATCAACTCCCTCGGATCTGTATGTCCGTTCTGACTCTACTCATCCAATGGACCAAAAAATTCGATACCGAAACGCCGTATTCCTTCCCCGGGTATCAAATGCGTCAACCGTAATCCTTGAATCTTCCAGGGCTGCCCGCTCTAACACCACCGTTCGTGCGGCCCTCTCCACTTGACGCCGAGGATTTCAAAGATCCTCTTCTCACTCTTGCCTTCGACGAGCTCTCCCTCGGTCAGCTTCTCCCTCTTGATGCCCCTCATCACGTCCTTGTAAAGTCCGCGCTGGTTCAGCCTCATCTTCTTCTTCGACGCCAGCAGCCTCATGCTTCGGTTGAAGATGTCATTGCCCGTGAAGTAGATCAATGCGGCACCATACTCGGTCTCAGGACTGTGATAGTTAACGTTATGTTACGAAGCATTACATGGTGATTCCCAAGAAGGCTATTAAATGGTCGAGATGGGTACTCGTGGTAGGAAGAAGGTGAAACGTACACTAGCAGGAGATCAATACGTCTCCACGGCCTGTGCCCATCATTGTCGCCCTCCGAGCCGGCGACGCGTGGGAGAACACAACAGCCATGCCACTTGGAACCATCCCCGTTCTTCTGACGGCTGGAGCCTCGTGAGTTGTGCGAGGCCAGCTCGGCCGTGAGGAAGCCCTTCTTCGTCAGATTGAATACCAGCAGATCCAGGAACGGAGTGAGCTCCTCGCTCGACTTGGTGCCCGCCTTGGTGATTATGAAGTCGATGTCCCCGCTGGTGTCCGCCCCCCTGCGATAGCTGCCGCCGATGAGGAGCTCGACGTCCTTGTCGATCCGGGCCGCTTCGTCCTTGACGTAGTCGCCGAGTTCCTTGACCTCGGCACGGGGGATGCGCGTGTTGAGGTCCTGGCAGTGCTCGATGCCAATTCGCTGATTCGGGGTGAGCGGGACATGTCGCCGCAAGTCGTTGAGGGTCCGGAAGCCCTGCGCAATCCACTGATTAGCTATAGAGGGGCCGACGCCATAGATGCACAGGAAGAGCTGGAAGACCTTGCTCGTTGGGTCATTTTGTGCGTGCTCCAGGCGTTGAAGGCGGTCGGTGTTGACAATCTCCTCGATCTTACTGCTGAGTCTTTCCCCGATGAAAGGAAGCAGGATTGCTTCTTCGGCAGTGGTTACTTTCTCGGGTTGCCTGGACAGGGTATTGATGCCTCTGCGATAAGCTATAACACGGAAATGGTCGTTCGTATTGATGTAATAGTCGAGCATTTGCTGCAAGACCGCGATTGTCCTGGCATTTGGCCCCCCGGACTTGTCAACCGTACCACCTCTGCTACAAACAAAGTTGTCTTCAACTCTGGGCTTTGATGCCTTCGACTTCTTGGGGCGTTTTGCTGGTTTCTTTCCTTCTGACTCACTCTCCGAGGTGTCATCGCAGTTCTTGTCGTCTGACTCCTTGTCATCGTCGCCTTCGATTGAGGGAAGGTCCTTGTAGTTCTTCTGCACATCCTCAATCAGTCGTGATAGAGCGTCTCCATAGTCGTGGCCAGCTGGATGGTTGCTCTTGGGGCAAGCACGAGACGCTCCATCCCCAGAAGAGGGCTGTGAGGATGGAATAGTAACATGTGCCGCGTTCGTCCCCATTCCGATCTCAGAGTGGCTCCCGTACTGCGGTGCTGAGGAATTCTCACTTTGCGAAGGGGTACGATGTGGATCATGATCCTGTCTGTTGGGATCATTGCGGGCGGCCTTGACCTCCAATGACTCTTTGGCAGGTTCTTCAGTAGTAGGTGCCGCGGGGATGGACAAGTCTGTGGTCTTCGGGGGTGGGACGACGCGATACCACGATGATGTTGTCGGGAGGAGCCGTTTCTCTTCAATACTGTGGAGTGGCCAGTGTTCTCGAACTATCAAGGGCTGGTCTTGATCCATGATGGAAGCCACCCTGTCCTTGATGTGATCGAAGGTTAGGTTGTCATCAACAATGACATGTGTGGCGTCTGTGAGTACTGAGGTGACTACCGCACCGTACTTCCCGGCGAGATCCATACGATGTCTCCGTACGGGGTTTTTTCGATCTCCTGGAATGTAGAAGAATCGCAACCCTCTGAGGATCTGATCACTCAGAGGGATCCCCGCTTCATGCTTACGCTTGCGGGAACCCATAGTAGAGCCTGGAACGGGCTGAAAGGATAAAGCGTTTGATGATAGAGATGACGGGTTTGTCGCGCTTCGCCTCAGCTTAGCGACGGCTGATGAACGAGGCTCCTGGCGGGGTGTATCTTCGACGAACGAAGTGCTGACTGTGAGGTGCTGCCTGTTGGCTTGCTTGCTGCTGTCTAAACCACCAGGCGTAGCCTTGATGACGGTACCGGTGGAGCGAGCAGAGTGCGGCGTCGGTGCGGTGTTGGACCGCCTTGAGACTCTTGTCTGGCTCTCGTCGGCTGTCGAGATTGGGTCCGTGGTTGGCTTACGGCCGCTGGTGCTGGTGGTCTTGTCCTTGGGGAGTGCCTGTTGGAAGAACTTTCGGTTTCTATCACGCAATTTGCGATCCTCTCGAGATGCTTCATCTTCGCTGCCTGATGTCGCATCAAGCCAGCCAAGCTGGGAATAAAAGGCCTCTTTGTCCACCAGGGGCACGTCCGCAGACATGGTGTAGCAGCAGTCCTTGCTTCGAGGCGGGTTGTTTGTTTAGTGTGCCGGAAGCGTTGTGTGGTAGGCGGCGAGCGTTCCCAACCAGCCAGGTGGCTACATGCTGGCAGTGAAGTGTTGCAGGTGTTGCAGCTTACCAAGGCATAAACTGAGCTTTTCACCTGGCTACCGTGCATCATTCACTCCCGTTCGTGAAGCTGGAGACGTGATAGCTGCCTGTCCCCGTCCGAATTGGGAAGTGAAGTAGCAGGGTAGCTGGGTACACTCACATTTCGGCTAGCTCGCCCAGCTCGACTTGCATGCAACAGTGGGTACCTACACCTAGGTACTTGGCTACAGTGCACTAGGTACCGGTTTACATGCCCGGGGATGGGCCGCAAGCTAGCGGGCCAGGCCATCCGTCGGGCCCACTTTTTAGAGCCGCCAAAAAAACCCTCACATCTCGGGGCGGATGCGAAGCAGAGTTTGCCGACCTACCAAGCTCAAAAAAGAATTGTCCAAAAAACGATGCAATCTCTTCTCTCTCGCCGGGAATTGAACCCGGGTCTCAAGCGTTGCTGCTTCCTGGATGGGCGATGACAAGCTTGCATACTAACCACTATACTACGAAAGAATAGTTATGTGTTGTTGTCAACTTGAAACAGAACGGCTCTAATTGACTGGGTGTTACTGCTAGCATCGGTGTGTCCGACCCGGTCCAACCCCCGTTCTGCTGCCGTTTCTGTGACCGGCCCCAATCCTGGCCACCGGGCAGCCCGAACCAACATCCCCGGCTGCTTTTTTACGCGCCCTGATGCGCTCACACCTGCACACACCTCACATTGCCAACATATACCCCAATCCCTAAATGTTTTAAACTGGACTACTTTTAAGGCATCAGCATATCAGCAAATAATTATTTTTATAATAAAAATTATTAAGATAATTTTAAATCTTAGCCCCTTTACCCACTAAATACTTAACCTTATTAAGGTCTATAAATAATATAGCTTTTATTAATAAAGATTTAGGACTTGCTTCCAGAACAGCAGTCCTAAAATTACAGTTTAAAGGCTAAGAATGTCTTTAAATTTATAGCATAGAGGAAGTCATAACTATTAGATTTGGGATAAAACGATCACCTTTATTTAGCGAGTAAATGAATTGATGTCTTCCTTATATACTGCGATAACCTACGTCAGTAAGCATTAGCATTTTTAACTTTCCAAAGCTTTCCAGCTATTAGTCTTCCGGGGATTCGCGTAGCAGCAGCTGAACACATTTCTTGAGAGGGCTGCAATGACAGGAGTGGCATTGCTTATAGATTGTTAAATGTCCAAAATAAAAACCGCGAAGTTGCAGTGTAGTAGCTGAGCATGCACCAGACCTTATTTGGTATAGTATAGATGGAGCCACTCAGATACGTCGATCCGGTCGACCTCCGACCCCCGAACGTCATCGCGACTGTCTTTTCACACTCAACAGATACCGGTACACTTTGGCGAGGTTTCGGGAGCACTGGATTTCCTTGTCTGAGTCGAGATCAGGTCGAATGGATGACGAAACGTTGATAATGGTCTCAACACGCAATCGGGGTCTAAGATCAGTCTGAAAGACAGATTAAGGAAGAATATCAACAAGGGGAGGGGGGGTCGCTCTTGTCCGGATACCATCGCGTACATGGCAGCGCCGACGAACCTCGTCCACCTCGTCGTCTGCAGGCTGTGTGACAGCGAGGTCACGGTCTGGGACGACGTCCTGAACACCGCCCTCAACGTCTCCCTCAGGCCGATCGAGTACAGGATCATGCGCACCATCTCGAACATGGGCGACCACGCGATCATCTACGGGGATCTATCCGACGTCATGGACGGGAACAACGCACCCGGTCTCGAACAGGAAGATGATCAACTCCACCCTCAGGCCCCACTGCGCGATCAAGCTGTTGGAGGCAGACACGGTCAGGTCCGGGCCGGTGCCCGAGATGTTCTTCTAGACGACGTACAGGGACACGTAGACCGACGCCTCCTTGCACGCGCTCGCGGTCCAACACGAGAGGACCTACGCGACGACGACCGTATATGCGAACGCAATCGTGGACTAGTAGCGCTACAAAATCCCGACCGCGGACCTCAGCTCGATCGCCTTGACGGACAGCTGCACGCTCTCAACATGAGCCCAAGCGCCCCGGGGCCTTAACCGCACGCACACACTACCGGACCACGATCGCCTCCCCCATAGCAAGACGGAGTAGTACCTGATCAACATGAGCAACGCCGCCCTAACCAAGATCGTCAACGACAAGCACGAGCTGAACACCAGCATGATGGAGGCCATGAGAACGCGTAGGAGCAGGAGTACGTGAACAGGCAGCAGAGCGCAAGCCCGGCCGCGCAGAGGGACACGACCCCGCAGGAGACGCCAACCAAGACCAAGCCCGCGTCCAAGAACCCACTCGACAAGCTGAGGTAGGTCGAACCCGTCCTCGGTCACGGTGACGCCGAACCAGGGGTACCCGGTCACGAACATGATGGGGGAGTCGCAGCAGAACCCCGTTGTGCCATAGAACTAGCAGACGACCACGCACAGCCAGGCACAGCAGCAGGGGGCCCCGCAGAGCGTCCCGCAGGGCATGCTGCTGGTGTTCGCACAGCAACAGCCGTTCGTCCAGCCGCAGGTACCAGGGCGCGTCCACATACTCGCCGTTCCAGGCGCAGGGGGTGCCGTTCCAGCAGTCGCAGACGATCCAGCAGCCGGGCGTGCCGATGGGCGGACCCGTGAACCAGAACCTCAGCGCGGTCCCGTCGTCTCGGGCTCGAACATAGGCGCGCAGGTGAACAAGCCCAGTGGAACCAGAAGGACCTCGAGATGATCTCGGCCGCATTGAAGACAAGGCTCAACGTCACCAGCGCGGGCGACACCAGCATCAAGGACCCGTACCGCAGGTACCTCGACGACGACGATAGCGGCACGACCGTCGCCAAGCCCAGCGCCTACCTCGGGATCATCAAGACGGTCGAGTACGCGATAGGGCTCGGGACCGCGAAGGGGGACCAGAAGACGGGCAGGTCCAGGCTGTACTTCGACGTCGTGATGACGGGCGCGGACAAGAACTGGCTCCTGAACCAGTGGACGTCCATGGACGTCGTCATCGAGGGGGTCCCGCACGCACGCGTAGAGCCACGTGAACCCGGGTCCACCCTCTCCGTCGTACTTGATCAGGTTCTTGGACATGTCCGTGCGTAGCAACATCTCCGTGCTCTTGTTGGCGAGCGTTATCATGTAGCTGTTCTTGTAGTCGTTCGTTGTTGTGATACGGACGCCTGTGTTTTCGATCACGCACGTTCACATGTCCCTGATCGTGTATGCCCTCTCCTTCAGCTTCTCATAGTCGATCACGCCGGTCTGCGACTCCTTTATCTTCTCCGCGATGGTCTCCCCGTATAGGGTCAGGGTCATCTTAACGGGCCTCAGCGAGAGGACGTACGACATCCCGTACTCGGGCGTGTGCACGAGCGAGGGCGACATCGCGTGGAAGGCGGCGACCAACCTCTGGGGCGGAAACCCGCTCCGAGTCGCTGCTCGCGACGTCGTAGACGATGCCGGCCGTAATCTTGTTCACGTTCTTGCGGAAGAGCGAGTACAGGGCGATGGGCAGGGACGTCCTCGAGTCCTCGACCGAGGAGTTGCAATGGCGATGCAGAGGGAGACGAACTTGAGCATGATCAGATTCATGATCGCGGACCGCGGCACCGGCTCGTACTTCTACATCTTCTTGTCCATGTGGTAGATCTTTAAGCCTCCTGCCTATGCTGTTGTTGATCGCAGCCTTCTCGTAGAACGGGACATTGTTCGCCATGATGAACACGACCTGCGATAGGTACGCGGCGGAGTAAATATCCAGAAGAGAAAGGTATCAACCAGAGAGCAAATATGGTGAGAAAGTATTAACCAGAGTCCCATGCGAATCAATTGGTCTCATTTGACCTAGCAAATAGCCCCGGTCAATACTTCATGCTCTCCTACTCTCCTTCGCTTACTGCCTGTATAAGTGATAAACCCATTGAATCTTAGCTCCCCTCATCTAAGCCCAGCCCAGCCCAGCCTTAAGGTCTAGCTAGGCTGAGATGGCGCGACCCATCGGCTACATTGTTGTTCATACCATTTAAGTTAAGGACAATACTACCTAGGTAGTAAGACAGCGCTAGTAATGTACCTAGGTACGTGGACGGGCTCATTTTAAGCTCATGGATACGGTTAAGTGACCACCATAGATGAATTTAAAATCTTCCTGGCTCGTGCTCGCTCCTAGCCACCCTTTAATTTACCCTATTATACAACGCTGCGCCGTAGTTATTCCCTTAGTAGATAACCCATCCTTATTGATAGTGGCTGTTGATTCCATTAACAATATGTGGCTGGCAATATTATTTCCCATCTTATAATTATGGCTGATAATACCAATTACCCTGGATATTCCGACAAGTGCTTTCTAAATATCCTCCGGCCTGGGATGCTCGCGTAACCCTTCAATGCCTTTCGCCTTCATTTGTAGAGCTAGCAGCGCACTAATGTGAGCCAGAGCGTATGCGTTCAAGCTTTGCGTCCAGGTGGGTGACGAGCAAGTGTAATAAGCGAGAATAAGCAAGCCGACCACTTGGAGTGTGCCTGTAACTGTGCATATCTGGTGAGCCAAGCGTTCCGGACGAGCATGAGGATGGGTGGATATGAACCTGTAGAACTTCCAGCCATACGGTGGATCGATTGCTTGGATCCAGGACTCGTGACTACTCCTGAGGAGAGTTGAGTGCTGAGAATGCTTGGGAAGAAAGACAGGAAGAAAGACGAGAGGCCAAGGGTAGACTGGAGGTAGTGTGATACCAGTCAACCCAGTGTTTGGGATGAGGAAGAATACACGCGCGAAAGGGCAAGGTGTTCGACCGTTAGAGCCCGCTCCAAATGCCAGAGGCAAAAACCATGGAATGGATGGAAAAGTTCCAAAAATTCTCGGAATGGGAAAAGGTTTTTTTTAAAAATTAGACTTGACTGGGCTAGCCTGTTATGACCTTGAGTGCAAGCACTGTCAGTCTAAAGACTGAAGGCTTCCACGAGTCCACCGTTGCTTGTGTAAATACAGCGAGGAGGCCTGGCAGAAAGTATGCGACGATCCTATGCACCGCCTGATCCAGAGGCTCCGAACCGTCCAGACCAGGGGGCAAGAGAAACTGCACGAGCAGCCGTCGAAAAACCCATGATGGGCCAGCCACAAGGGCCAAGCGGAAAATATAATCAATAAGATATTTCGCTGACGCTGAGATATCCATACTGAAAAAAGACAGCCAAACGCTATGAAGAAGAAGAAGAGAGGAGGGGGCCAAGTCCGTGAGGGCGAACCTTTCTTCAACTAATTGGATGTGTCAAGAGACAGGGCAAGAGCTGGCGTACCTCCCAAACTGAGGAAGGCACGTCCTGAAGCCACCCAGGAAGGCTCGCACCGGCTGCTCCAAATCCATCTCCATGATGTCGCGATTTAGGAGCGACAGCGGGCAACCTCAGCACGCAGGTCCATTCCAATGAAGATCAGGAATTCAACGAGACCAGAAGTCGCTCGGGCGAATGATCTTGCCACTCGATATTTGAAATCGATCGCCGGCGTGCAAGCTTCAGTAGGTGACCTCCAGTGAAAAGCTGCCTTCAGGTAGGACAGCCGGACCTTCCTCAGGCGTCTAAGAAACCTCAAGCTTGGAAGGAACCCTGGTAGCAAATGCTCCAGTGAACAGCCCTGTCTTTCAATCCAGAAGGTCCCAGCGAATCACCATTCAAGCGCGTCCGAAGATGCAGCTTCGAAACCAAAGGCAAGAGCTGTTTGGTGCTCAAATGGACTGCATCTCCTAGGCCCTGCATTTTGAGTCCACGGGCGTAAAAAGCACCTGCCAAGTCCGATTGTGATGTTCGAAAGCTTGCCCGGCAATGTGGAGGCCGGAAGCTGACCAAGGAGGTTGAATGGGTTGCCCTTTTTGTTTCAAGCTGAGAATCAATCATAAGAACCTCGGCGCACAACCAGTTCATTCCTACTCATCCAGATGCATGGCGAGCACGAGCTTGGCGCGAGAAAACGAGCATGGCGGAACAGTCTGTGTTGTGTTGTCTGGAGAGGAAGCTACGTGGAGCAGGGCCTGCAGAGCTCGGTACACATGTACTTATATAAGAGAGCTCTGCGATTCCACCACGTACGGAGTGCTTCTGCGCGTAAAACGGTTTTTGTCGCGATGGAAACAGCTAAAAACGAGATGAAGTCTGTTGTAAGAGGTACGAACACCTGCCCAAGTAGACTCCAGGAAGGGTCCCCGACACTGGATGCATAGTTGACTTCACAAAGACAATGACAAGATACATGCAGCTGGCTTCTTTGTCACTGATCCCTGAGTGTTGAGACTTCATCAAGAAGCTAAGTCCAACTTTCGTGATTGTGATTTGCGAAGTCAGTTCTGGTTTCCGTTTTATTTTCAGTCGCCAGTGGTGTGTTGCCACTGTATCTACTCAGAAGAACGGTACGAACAGTTCCTCGTCATCCCAACGCAATGGCTGCTGTTCGGGCAGTAATCGGCTCGTGGCTGAACCCGTGGCAGCACCGTCCCTCGCTGGCTTAGCCATTCCCACATCCGCCCTCGTCTCCTGGCAAGGCTGTGCTACCGGCCCCGCTCGACCCCTCCTGTATTTCGCCCTGCGCCTGGCCGAGACAGCAAGAATGATCCAAAGGAGGATACAAAAGGGGCTGTTGACTGCTGCGAGAACCAGCACGAGATGCAGTGTCATCCCGCACCAAGACCTCCCACCCAGAAGCATCCCCACTACCAGAAGAGCGGATAAGATGAAGCAACAGGCGAGAATCCCAGCGCAGGTTTTGGTATCTTCTTCCGGTATCTCTTGATCATCCGCGGAGAAAATGCGCACGCATTTTGGCAGTCGAAAGAGGTCTTGCAGCCGAAGGACCCATCGTATGACCAGATTTTGATGTTTTTGGATGTGGTTACCAATCTTCACCACGGTAAGCTTCCATACGCACTGAAAGATGACCCGTGCAAGACATTCTCCCAGACAGTCGTCCATTCTTGATAAGGAAGATCCGACTCTAGGTTGGCGTGGGCACAGAGATTCCTTGCTGCTGAGGAGAAAAGTGCTTGGTGTATCAATACCCTAGGGTAGCTTTTGGAGGTTTTGAGGGTGGCCCGGGGATGATGCGATGGGCTAGAGGTCCAAAAGTTGAAGTTTGGGAGAAGGTTTGAAGAGCAGTGAGACGGCGCTTGGGCTTAGCGGTATGAAACTTCGATGTTTGCACCAAATTGTATGGATTTTACGAATAGGCTCACTGGGTTCTAAAGTTGATAGTGACTGGCCCAGTATGGAGAAGGCAGTGAAGGCGCGCTCGAGGCTGGTGCTTAGCACGCTTGGCTGTGGGGCTAGGGCGTTTAGGCACTGCAAAAGCCCCCCAGTTAATAAGGCAGGGCATGTAGCTGCTAGCGCAGCCTACCCAGGTACCTAAGTACCTAGGTAAACCACCTTTAAGATACACGTTATCCTGGGTGCATTAATGCAGCCTTATTAGCAAAACCATTAACTTTAAAAAAAACCGCCGCTTTTTAAAAGAATTAACTGCATAATTAATATAAGCTTAAATAATAAAAAAGCTGACTTACTTTATTAATTTTAATAAATTATAATAATTAAATTTAATAAGCTTTTTTATAATAATTAAGTTTAAAATTTATAAAGTTTTAAATATTATAAATATAATTTAAAAATTATAAAGCTTAAAAAAATTAATTTAAAATTAAAACTTTTAAATAAAAAGTTATAAAATTTATAAAAATTTTATATTTTCCTTATTTTCTTTTCTTTTCTTATATTTAATTTAATTATAATAATATATTAACATATATAATATATATTATTATTATATTAAATATTTAAAATTTTAAAAACTTAATATAAATTTATTATTAATTTAAATTTTAAATAAAATTATAAAAAATAATATTAAATTTTATATAATTTATATAATATAATTTTTATAATTTTGTAATTAATTTTAATAATTAATATTATTATTATAATAATTATTTTAAAATATAATTAAATAATAAATATAAAGCTTAATTAATTTTAATTTAAATTTTTTTTAAAAGATTATTAAAAAGCATTATATATTTTATTTAATTTAATATATAATTTATAAAGCTTATATATTTTATTAATAATACTTATAATATATTATTTTTATAATATTTAATATTTATTATAAATAATATAGTTTATTATTAAGTAATAAATATTATTAAATAGCGATTTTTTTTTAACTTTACTTAACTTTTATTAATTATAATATTATATTAAAGTAAATAAATTAATAAAAAGTTAATATTAATTAATATTAATTATATTTAATTTTTTATTTTTAATTAATTTTATTAATTTAAAAGCATTAATATAAATATAATGCTAATTTAAATAAGTTAACTTTTAATAAAAAATATATATTTAACATTAATTAATATTAATTATATTATTAAAAATATAATTTATTATAAATTAATAAAATAATTATATTTATATTAATTAATGTTAATTAAGTTAAATTTATTACAATATAATTAAAATTTAATTAATTAAATTTTTCTTTATCTTTCTTATAAGTTTTTATATTATGCTTAATTTTACCATAATTACCATACCATTATTTAATTAATTCATTACAAACCGCCTCTTTAGCATTACCACTTATTTTACCAGCTAATCGCTTCCCCTTTTATTTTTCTTAAATAGAAGCTTAAAATTCCTTAATAATAAGTATTTCTTTAA